GGAGTCGTGGTCTTGGCCGAGACTGCCCCGGCGGCTACGACTCCCACATTGGTCGGAGGTCGGGGACGCGGGCTGCGCGAGTCCGTCCTCGCCCGAAGTCGTTGCGGTGAGACCGACCAGTTCTTCCGGGCCGACGTTGAACAGGGAGGCCTGCAGCGTGAGGTCCTGACGCTCTTCCATCCGCTTCCTATGATAGACGCCCCGAGGAACTGAGTTGCCCAGAATCCCACGACACACACGACACACACACCACACACCACACACAACACACACTACGCGTTCACTGTATAGTACTTCTGGTAGAGTCGCAAGTCGAGACGGATCATGGTGTAGAGTGTACGCAGCATAATCAGCTTGGCCACGCCCTGGTTGTGATGAAGCAAGGCAAAGAGGCTGGGTCATTGAGACCACTAGGCGTCGAGGAATGAAGGGGAAGGGGATTGGGGGGGAGGAACGTACGCGAATCGAAAGGATGAGCAGCATCGGACCCCAGAGGTCCCTCAAAATGTACATCACGTACCTGCGACCAACGTTGATGGGTTAATGGGTTTAGCCGGCTGCGGAGAAACGCTGTGGAGAAACGCTTGGGCGATGGAATACGTACACGGCCAGGGGAGACGAGATGAACAGAAGCAACAGACTGGCCGCTATCTGAGAGCCATAGCGCATCCTGTGCGGAATGCCCTGGGATAAGGAATGATTGTGTGCGGTGTGAGACTATGGTGATGTCACATGCAACACGTGGTGGCCAAGATCTCACCTCGGCCAGAGCGAGAACGGCGAAGCCGAAGTAGTTGAAGGTCTAGGAGAGAATTGACACATGTGAGATTACGATGCAGAGCACCCACAGGGGCAGCAGGGACAGAAAGAAAGGTGGATGTACGAGGGTGATGCCAGCGCCCTTGGCAAAGCTGAGCCAGTCCCCGCTCGGGGCTTTGACTTCGTTGGCCATAACGCGGCGATGCAGACCTAAGTGCACGACCCGGACGACCCGTCAGTAACTGGCGAGTACAGCATGAATTCCTCATTTGGGGCCGGGCAGGCATAAAAATTGGGGGGGCACGAACTGCGGATGTTGCTGCGCAGGGTGATGAGGATGCCGTTGAAGAGACCCATGGCAGAACCGATACGCGTGAGGATGGTGGTGAGCGAGGGGTACTGACAGAGGCCGTGTCCGAACAGCTTCTTGTCCTGGTCGAGGTAGGCCACCTTGATGTCGCACAGACCCGCGTAGTCGCCGCCGCATCGGTATCGAGCCTCGGCCCGATTGAGCGGACCCGTATAGTCCTTTTGGGCTGGCGTAGGCGCACAGCACAGGGGAGGGATGAGAATAGGGCGCATGTGTGTGTGTGTAGCATTGCACTGGTGCGGCGCGTGAGGGAAGCGTGCTTACCAAGCCACGACGAGGAGAGGTCGATGCAGTCCGACGAGCAGGAGTCCCCTGGCACGTGGCCCCAGCAACCAATGTTCTGCACCGAGACCCATAGATCGGGCGCTATCGTAGGCTCGTAGGACAGTGCTCTGCCGACACAAATCACCAGTTTGGCCGATCAGCTGTGTGCTCGCGTTGCGCCGCGGTGGATGGTAAGAAGGACGGCGTACTTGGAACACACGGCCTCCAGCTTGCTTTGCACATACGCCACGCACGACCTGACCAGAGCGCAGAACAGCATAAGACTCAAGATAGAGAGTTTGGCCGAGGGAGACTAGAAGGCGGGGTACTGATCGCTGGAGCAGGTGGCGTTTTCGGCCTCGAACACCCACGAGTCGTTGACTGTGTAGTGCGTGGCGCAGATGCAGCACGAAGGAAGGGGCACGTAGACGGGCTGGATGGTGTAGTAGAGGTACGCAAACAGGACGGGCACGTAAAGGTAGAACAACAGGCCGCCTATCTGTGAGCGCGCGTGGCGGCCTTGTTCCCTGTAGGCCGGCGCCAGGTCCAGCACCTGCAAGAGCAACACGACGTGCCCAAAAGGAAGGTTATTGATTATTATTTCTTTACATTATAGTATATTCCTTGATGTGATTCCTGATTCCTTGATTAAGAAAGGGGGACCACAACGTTGGCGATAAAACTAAGTTGTTCTAAGAGAAGGATCGAAATGGTGGCGAGAAGTGATGAAAGATAGATTGATTGGTTCACATGTGGAGGGAGCCTCACGTGCCTTGAAGAACCCGATGGAACGCTCAAGGCCTCCGACCAAAGACGACATCTTCTTCGGGCGCACCTCCTTCCTTGGGGTGCAGTCGCTGGAAAAGTTGCCCCTTCGAATTTAAGGAGGCGGCTGGCTTGGGCAAGCTCCTTCGCGCCAAAACGTGACCGGGAAATCGGGGAGGATTCGAGGATCAAATTACAACATGGAGAACTTGGCGGTTCAGGTAGGCGAGGACGAAGTCGTAGAAGTCCCACGTTGTGCACAATGGGGCGTGCAACTCATCCGCGAACTCACACGAGGGGAAGTTTTGCCCCCCTTCAACGTATGTGGAACTCCGCGTCGTTTTATGCCTCGCCGTGATGTGCTACTTTGGCCTTACATCTCATTCTATCTCCTCAGGCTGATTTGATCGGGAAGATGCGTGAGGATGTGCGAAAAGTGTTCGAGGAAGCAGTGTTCCCCATCGTCGAGTACGCCCCAACTAGTCAACTCTGAAGACGCATCTGACGTAGTGGTGCTCGTGGTTCCTTCGCACAACGCAGCAACATGGACAGTGAGGAGCCCACGCCACTCGAGGAGACCCAGCACTTTGCTTTGACCGTGCATTTGGCCGCAGTGCAGCGAGCCATCAACTGCGCTCACGTCTATGGGTAAGCTTGTGCTCTGCCCTTCCTCTTCCCTCGCTGACGAGTACTATATGGGTTCATCAGCGCTACGAGGAGGAGGGACATCGAAAACCTGCGATGGGAGAAGGGTGCGGTCCTTGAGGAGAACCTCCGACCAAACCTTGATGAAGTGCGTGCTGGGCTCCCCAACAAGTAGCTTTTCGTGGCTGTGACTAGCTTTGCACCTGGTCGGTGCTGAAAGGTTTCTCACCCATTCAACCACAGAGCGAACAGCAGTACTTCCACAAGTACTGCAACCTCGTCGCCGAGTATATGGGCGGTGAGGGACTCGATATCACCGGAGTACGTAGCGTAGGTGTGAAGACATGAACTATGATTCGCGTTTACTCAACCGGGTGGGCGAACGCTTATTCAGGACCTGAGCCAGCCCCCTGTCCACTACCGAGTTGACGTGCGAGCTAACGAGGATATCTACATCATGACCAGGTTGGTTCTCCCTTCCAGCGTTCTGTACAAAGGCTGGAAGCTCACCTTGATTCTCTCCTTCCGCTCAACAGCCAGGGACCGGTCAACCTGAAGAAGGGCTCGGTGGCCTATCTGCCCCGGGAGGAGATCGAACCCTACGTGCGCGAGGGCAAGATGGAGATCATTCGCCACACCTAAGCTTCTTCTCAAGTGCGTTACCGCGACTTCATTGGCTGATCGTGATCAATAAATAGGCTACGTGTGTAAATGTGGGTTGTGTTGAGTTGGAGTGGTCAGTCCTTCACCGGCTTGCTGGAGGCGAGGGTGGTCTTGAACTTGTCCTGCTCGGGGCGTTGGAGAGGGTTGGCGAGGAGGAGGGTGAAGTTGGTGTAGATCCTACGCAAACTCTGATGCGTCTCTGAAAAGTACGAGTTCTCCTCAAGGCTCTCTATGTCCGTCAAAAAATCTGCACAACCGCACACACCCACCCACACACCCACCCACACACACACACGTCAGGCGAGCGCAAGCGTTAGGTCTGACGACGAGGAATAGGTTACCGTAGACGCCTTGTGGGTTGTTTTCCTTGGAGGGCTTCTTGTGGAGGTAGAGCCCGTCGAAGAAGAACACTGGCGTAGCGAGTAGCCGGTCCGCCATCTCGAATACGTCAAGAAAAGCATGTGTCCCGTTATGTGATGTTCGTTTCTCTCTTGAGAAGAGGCAGCGAAGAGGGAGAGGGAGAGGGAGATGTACCTCGCGTCCGTCGATCCACTCCGGCACAACGGTAGTACGAGAGTAGATGAAGAGGACTCGATAGAGGTAGTCCGCACCGCCCCTCTTCAAGTCTTCCATCGTCACTTGGGGCAGGGCCACCTTTTTGGCGCTGCGCATCACGTAATGTCAGGAGACACCGCGTGTGTGAGCGTAAAAAAGCCAACGACGAAGCTTCGAAGGGCCCAACGTACAAGAGATCAAACACGGAAGACATGTTGAAGCGCGGGAAGTCACCCTGTGTCTGGAGCGTAGACACCTTCTTGGCCAACAGCTCGACGTCCGACGTGAAGTCTTGGAACTGAGCGTGTGGGAAGAGAATTGAGCGCTTCTCCATGGAAGAGAAAGGGGGCCAACAATGGGTACCCAAATCGCGGCATCGGTGAGGCAGACGATGGCGAATTCGTGGCGAGGGTTCATCTTGTGCTTCAGGTGCACAAACCTGAGCGTGGCCGCCTAGTGAGGCCCAAGTGCCATCATGCTGTTGCAAGGGGAAAGTGGTGCACGTGCATTTTGAGCATGTGTTTGACGAGGTCGAGCCGAGTGAAGGTGTTCTTGCGCGACCTGTGACATGGCCGCACGTGATACGCACGACACGACACCAAGCCCGTGAGATGGGGGAAGGCATTGTGTTACAGAAAGAGCGACTTACTTGCTGAATTCGATTCCGTTCATCTCGTTGCACAAGTCGATGCAGAAAACCTGTGAGGTGGGGCACGAACCAAGCAGTCTCATGATTACTCAATTCCAAATCAATAAACGAAAAGAGGTCGGGAAGGTACAAGCCGCTCGGGTATAAAGGGGCGCAGGAAGTGCAAGTGGTCGCCCATCGGGGCAGTGCCTACACCAGGAGCGCTGGCGGTAGTTGTGGATGGGCTTCCATTGCCGCCTTGGCCAACGTGTTCCATGTTTGCTTGTAGATCACCAAGTTATTTTTTGTTTAAAGATTTCCGTTCTCTTTTCTCCTTTTATTTATTAGAGGGATCAATTCAACCCCATTTCTGCCGCTACGAGCAAGATGGCGAAGATGCTGACCAACCTTAGGAGCGAGGTTTCTCGGAGGGGCGTCTTGGGCACCCTCATGGCTTGGCACCGGGGCTACCTCAGGCCCGGCGTCAATTCTGTCCTTGTTGGCACTGACGAGCGAGGCAATCGTTATTTTGAGGCCACTGAGCTCCCATTCGGTACCTACACCCTCCCCAGATTTGCCATTTTGTGCGCTTGTTGCCGTCTAATCGCCCCCCCCCCCGGTTGTTCGGAAAACAACAGGGCAAGACAGATGGGTGGAGTACTCCACCTCCGATGACTGGGGCCACGATTACGATGCTTCGCAAGTGCCCCCTGCCTGGTACGTTCTGTCTGTGTTTGTTCACGTGTTCGTTGGATTATTGGATCCATTCATTTCGTGCCATTTAATCCTGCGCAGGCATGCGTGGCTGCACCACGTCCACGACAAGCCAGTGCCGCACCAGGTACGGCTGCTTTCTGTTCTTGCCTTGGGGCGACCCTTTATTTTTTGAGGCTGTTGAGGGGCAACTCATCACCGCACGCCTTCTCTGATGGTGACTACGCAGGCGGTGTACAGCAAGCCTCACAAGGAGAACAAGACCGGCTCACAGGAGGCCTACCACCCTCACAACTACGTCTATGGTCCGCGCGTGAAGAGCACGACCGATCCCAACTGCGAGGAGTGGGACCCCACCCGCCACTCGCCCTTCAAGGAGAACGAGCTCAGGTGAACGAAGTCAACACAGGAGAGTGCACCGCTTGTGAAAACAATAAATAAAGCCTTTTGTTCGTTGCCACGTCCGCACAGGGGAAGAAGCTTACACTCGGTCGCACTCTGGTGATGTTCGCCTAAACCCTTTCTCCTCTCTCTGTCGCATCCACTTGTGATCACTGGTTGGCCGCTTCGCACTGATCAATCCACTCGCTATATACATCAATCGGTTCCGACAGATCTGGGGTGGGCAGATTGGAAAGTAGAATAATAAATCACATGCAATTTGCCGGTAATCGCGCATCGATTGCGATGTAAGAGGTACGTACAGTTGGTAATCATTTGATAGCTTTCGTTGCACACCCTACACCGTATCGATCCGATCGAGGTGTCTTTATCGATCTTGCAGTCCACAGCCTTTTCGTGGTTGCAGAAGGGGCAGTCGAACGTAGTGGGCACCTTCTGTTCCATGCGCTTTACGGGCTTAGCCCGCGACTTCCTCTTTCCCATCTGATCTCTTCTCCTTCTTCTTCTCTTGGTTTGCTTCTTCTGTGGCGCTTGCGCCTGCCGTTAAAAACCTTTTCCATTCTTTTTCTTAGGACCTTTCTCTCTATTTTTCCCGCCAAAGCGCTTCGCCATCGACATCGCACCCACAGCCCCCCTCCCAAGCTAGCACAGAATGGGCGTCAAGTGGTATGCCTTCTAGATCCAGCCTATCATCAATTCATATGATCGATTAGCGTTTATAAATTAAATCTCTCTTGATGCTATCGGTGCAGCCTGATACCGTACCGGGAGCAGGCGGACGTGCAAGCGGCGACAGAGCTCAAGGAGCGCATCGTAAAACGACTACACGGGCGCAAGCTGGGACGATGGAACCTCACCTGCACGCTCTACCTCCACTCGGCCGCTGGCAGCCTCTTGGCACCAGGTATGTGCCCTTGAGCGCCCGCACTGCGACATGCTCCCTTCACCACCTCATCGCCGTTGCGGGTCATGCACACACAGACGGGTCGGTGATGGCGCAGGAGCAGCTCTACCTGCTCAAGGAGGACAGTCTCTCGCAGAAGGATGGTGACAAGACAGCAGGCAAGTGTTGCCTGATGGCACAGAACACCATCATCGAAGCCGGCCTGGAGATGGAGCAAATCCTCGAGAAGATCAAGCTCTACAATCCACGACAGACCGTTACCATCCGCGTAAGCTCTCACCGCGCTCTCACTCTCTCGCTCACTCACCATACATGCATGACTGACTTATTCATCTTTTTCCACTCGACTTCTAGGGCATGCAATACGAGGTGGGCGACTTTGTGGTGAAGGTGGGCTCCATCATGCTCGGCGACACGACGCGAGGCGTCATCCTCGAGGTCGAGTACCGGCCGTGCATGATCCCCAACGGGTGCTCACAGATCCTGCAGAGCTTCATCGGCAACCTTGGACCCTTTAACGCGCCCTTCTCCGCCAACGTGAACTACGGCGGGGTACCTTCCCCCTCCCCGTTACGAGTGCTCACTCAGTGGGCACCGCGGCGGCTTTGGTCGTGGTGTTGACGTCGTGGCTGTTGGTGGCCAGGTGACACTCCCGCGACTGTACTCGGCGCAACATACGGCGTTGCAGTACGTGAGATTGTTCCAGGGCCTCAAGTACTTCAAGGCCCACCACTGATCGTCCTTCCCTCAAATAAAAAGCTCTCGGAGTTAAAACTATTAGTTACAACGTGGGAGTTTTTAACTTTTAACTAAATGTTACACCCAATTGTTTAGTCGAAACAGGGCAAAAGGTACAGCTTAAGGGATCTTGGGGCCTTAAGCGCAAGTGCGCCTTTCACTGTACACCTTTGTGCACCGACAAAACCCTGGCTCTCTTTGATTGCCAACATTGCTAGCACACCCACAACCGCCCCACCCTCCTCGCTAATCTCTTGTACTCAGCTATGACGCTTCTGCTCAACCGACCCTTCACCTCGGCGGTGTTCATCCTGATAGTGGCGCACCTACTCCTCCTCCAGCCTCTCTCCGTCTGGTCGCAGTCCACTTGCGAAACCACCTGCGAGTTTGTGACAACCCTGCCCGCCAGCGTCGGTTTGCGAGGCGCAAGCTGGCTCGGCCAACGATTCGAGGTAACTCCGCCCAATGGCATCGCCTTTGCTTCCGCGGCCATCGCCACGCGCGCCCAGGCGGGCGACCTGGGCCTCTACTCGGACCAAGCCGTCAGCGGCGGCCAGTTCCTCCCTGGAGCGCCAGTGTCCGGCGCCCAACAACTCGCCCTCGTCTCCAAGGTGGCCATTCCGGAGTTCAACACCTCCACCATCAGCACCTACACCGCTAGCGTCCATCTGCCGAAAGGCTTCTACTGGCTCCGCTTCTCTTCTCCCAATGCCTTGTCCGTCAACTGGCACACGCCAGTGAACGCGTGGAACCCCCCACCCGATCCGGCCGTTGTCCCTGGCATCTCCGTCTACGGGTCCAACCAGACCAGCCCCACCTACTTCAACCAGTCCTACAGCTTCTCCATCCGCGGCTGCCAGGCCGCCCTGATCTCCACCGTCAACTCCACGTCCGCCACGCCGCAGCTGACCTTCAACCTCACCGCGCCCACCGTTCAGATCGCGCCTAAGAGTACGCTTCCACAACTCTTCCTTTTTCTTCATCGTTTTCTGGTTCCTCTTTCGACACCACACTCAATCAATCGTTGGCTGACGACGCTGCTGGCGGCGGTGTGCATTTTTCAGGCGACAGCGGGTCGGTGGTCAAGTCTGCCTCGGTGGCCATCAACATGGCGCGCCTCTCCGAGATGAACGGCTCCACAGTCGTTCGCTCGGCCGTCAACATCACCGAGAACGGTATTTACATTGATGACGACGATGATGATAATGGATCACACCTCACGTCGGTGTCTTCTTTCCAGGCCAATGGGCTCAACTCACACCGAATCCGGAGCTGGGATCCACCCAAGCGTTCCTCTACAACGCGACGCTGGCCTTCGACGACGATGCCGTGCCCACCGCTCAGGGCCGCGTCGAGGTCCAGTTCGACCTCTTCGACCGGGAGACCAACGTCTCCCTGGGCAACCTGACGGCCTTCGCCATCAGCCCCAACTTTGCCAAGCTCACCCTCCGCGTGTACGAGTGGCCCTTCTCCGAGCCGAGCGACGGCGACGAAGAGCAGCACAGGCTCGAGGTGCGGCTCAACATCGACCCGCCCGTGTCCGGCGTGGACAGCCAAACGACCGGAGCCAACGGCGTGACGGTGTTCAAGCTGCGCCACGCCAACGACGCGGCCCAGCGCACGACCGAGATCCGGGTGGTGAACGTCGTGGAGCGCGACGGGACCAACATCCAGGCCGACGGCGCCGTCGCGTACGAGGTGAACGTCGCGCAGTCGCAGCTGGTGCTTTCCTTTGCGCGCTTCGAGTCGTCGCTCGTCTACGATCCCGGTACCGCCCCATTGCATCTCATCTCCAAGTTGGTGACCTCCACCGCGTAGGCGTGTTTGTGACGTTGACTGACAAGTGCGGGTGTGCAGACCTCGGCGTGCTGCTGGGCTCGAAGAGGGACGGAGAGTCGGACGGAAGTGACAGCACGCTGTGGATCATCGCCGTGGCGGTGGTGGTGCCCGTGGCCGTTGTGTTCGTCGTGGCCGTGATCGTCATCGGAACGGTGGTGGGCTACCTGAAGCACCGCAGGAACTTGCGGCACCTGGCCCAGATGCGGTCTGCCGCCGTCAACTTCGAATCCGCCGACCATCGCGATGCAGACGTCTAGAAATGACGACTTCGACGACTTTGGCCTCGGGTGAACCATCTCAGATAAGATTGAAGAAGACTTCTCCATTCCACAACAATCCTATTCAAGCAACGCCATTGGCGGCTATGTGGTCTTGAAGTGAAGCGCCGAAGAGTGCGCTTTGGAGCCAAAGGCTTGCAATCGACCAAATGGAGCGAGAGGACGTGAGTGGCCGCCTGGCCTCCCTCCTCTTCGAGCAGGTGTGCGAAAGTGTGGAGCTCGAGGAGTGCTATGACTCAGCATCAACGGCAGGGCCGTCGACGCCGGTGCAAGAAGAGGGGGACGAGAAGAAAAGGAAGAAGGGTTTGCTCTCGTTCCTGACCAGGGAGAAGAAGCCAAAGGAGGCCGACAGCAGCGGTGGCAAGGAGCCGCAGGGCAGCGACTCGGCAGCGGCGGGCAACGTGCTCGTATCGCCCTTCTCCGTGGGGACCGCACTGAGCCTGGCCCTGCTTGGCGCTCGCGGCGAAACGGCCGCCCAGCTACGCGCCCTTCTCTCTTCATCTTCTTCCTCTTCCGCTTCCTCTTCCTCCGAGGATGAGCATGCCATCACCCTCCACGTCGCCCGTCAGTGGGGCGCCCTCTCCAACACCGTACTCCTCTTCCTCTTCAACCGACCCCCCCCCCAAGGTGAAAAACCGGTGCTGACCGTCTTGGGCACGCAGGTGCGTAAAATGAGTGGTGTGGAGTGGGCGGCGAGCAACGGGGTGTGGGTGGGCGACGACTGCCCGGTGGCGCCCGAGTTCGCAGCGCAGGCGGGCGAAGCGCACGCCGCGGGCATCGTGGGCGACATGCCCTTCTCCACCGACCCGGAACGGGCTCGTGCCACCATCAACGACGCCGTGGCCAACCAGACCCGGGGCCACATCACTGACCTCTTGCCTCCTCGGTGCGGCCCCTACCCCGACTTGGGCGGGCCTTGGCCGACTTGTTGATGGGTGGTGTGGGCGTGTGCGTGTGTGTGGTCGCACACCTAACGGGCATGGGCGAACACAGGTCGATCACGAGCGGTACGCGAATGGTGCTGACCAACGCGGTGCATTTCAAGGGCCAGTGGGAGAAGACCTTTGGGAAGCACCTGACCAAGACGGAGGCCTTCCACCTCCTCGGCGGCAACGCGCAGAAGCCGGTGGAGATGATGCACCACCCGTCGCTCAAGATGCGACACCGAAGCTTCGAGCACCACGCCGTCATCGAGCTGCCCTACAAGGGCAACGACGTCACCATGCTCATCCTCCTGCCGCACACCAACACCTCAGCCAGCCTCAACAACGTGCGTGTGGCATTGGTCGTGTCGTGTTGTTGGGCGTGCCGTGTCGTGTGTGTCTAACATATGCCCTGAGGTGGCGCGTGTCGTGTTAGTTGTGTACGGCCGGGACATTGAGAAGTCTGGCGAAGGCGCATGCGGACCTGCTGCTGGAGCCGGTCTCCCTCAAGCTGCCGCGCTTCCGGGTGCGCTACGCAATCGAGCTAAGCCACGCCATCCGCGACATCGGCGCCCCCGTGCCCTTCATCGACGAGCTGGCCGACTTCACCGGCCTCACCAGCTCCGGCGAAAAGTAAGTGCCTCCCCCCAATCACACCAGCGCCACCTGCTCTACGGCCGCACTCACCAACGCGCGCCGGTCCGGCGGTCGGTGGCAGGCTGGTGGTGTCGGCGGTGTACCATCAAACGTACATGAACGTGGACGAGGAAGGCACGGAGGCGGCGGCTGCGACGGCGGTGGTGATGAGCCGCGGCGGCGGCTAGGCCGCCACCCCCGCCCGTGCCGTATGTCGTCAACCGACCCTTCGTGTGCGTGCTCTACCATCCACGCACGCAGTGCATCCTCCTCGTCGGACGCGTGTGCGACCCCACCTCCGCCTGACCCTATCGCACCATCACCGGGCGCCAGACGCTCTACATGAACTCTTTGTCCTCTATTTCGAGTTTTCTGTTCAGAGGGGGTGGTAGCGGCCCTCCTTCTCGTAGAGCAGCCCATCAAACATCATCTGTGTCGCGTGGCGAGGGGCGTGGTGAGCTGGATCTGATTCAAAGGGGAAAGGGGCGGGGTGTGGGGCAAGCGAGGGGGTGTACGTTCTCGAGTACGTCCACGAGGTTCTGGCAGCGGGGGAAGCGGCGGGCGATGTCGGCGAGTGTGGCGCTGCCCTGCTGTCTCAGCATGGCCTCGATTGCCGCCCCTGTGCCAGCCGCACGACCAACGACACACACGTCACACACCCTCCACGTCAGCGTACAACGCCTGTCTGGCCACTCCGAGCGGGCGGGTACCGTCGACGGGTGGCTCGGTGCTGATGACTTGAGGCTGCGAAGGCGACGACGAGTACGTGGCCCGCTGGCCCTGCACGTGCGTGAATGGCGCAGCCTTTGAGGACTCCTCGTGGCGACGATGCCGTGCAGGTCCGCCACGATTGGAGCCGCCCGACGATGCCGCGGAGGCGGACGCGCTCATCGCGGCATACTCGGCGTTGCGGTCGCCGTCAGCTTCCTCGTCGTCCTTGAAGGCCTCGCGGTAGTAGTGGTGTCGGTAGAGATCCACCATCTCCAGATACCGCAGCGCCTCCCAGTTCCCGTCCTTCTTGTGGTCCATCCTGCACATGATCATCGCCACGTCAGCAACCCACACCACCACCACAGCAAGGCAGGGGTGGATGGATGTGGTGAGGACTGACCCGTAGGCGTTGATGTATCGTTCGCCGGTGGTGACGTCGGAGCAGATCTCGCCCAGGAAGTCGAGGAGGTCGCCCACCTCCGGCTGCTTGGCGAGGTAGGCCAGGTTGATCGCGGGGTACTCCACCCGCACCACGCCCGTCGCATCGTCGATGTAGAGCACCACGCTCCGCTGACCCACCTCGTGCCGTAGTCGAAGCACCACTCCCATCACCCTGCGCCAGGCCTGGCGTGAGTGCGACCGTCGGGGGGGGGAAGTAGTAGGAAAAAAGGGGGGGGGGAGTGCACCTAACGCAGCAGAGGGCGACGAGGGGGGCGCCAAAACGTAGGACCAGCCGGTGGCCAGCTTTGGGCGGACCGGCGGCAGACCGCGCACTGGGCTCGGCGGCGGGGAAGTCTTCCCAGACGGGCAGACGCAGCACGTCCCCCAGCGTCACCTTGCGGTGGAGGAGCGACCCGTCCTCCTTCCCCTGCTCCATTTTCCAGGAATAAATAAATGAAAGTAAACAATAAAAAGAAAAAAAGAAAAAAGAAAAAGGAAACCTTTCGCGGACTGGGCAGTGATGATGAAAGGCAAGGCTTTGGGATCAGTTGGTGCGGGGAATAGGGGCAAGAAACTGGGTGAGGAGGAAGTTGGGGTCTAGGGCAGCGGGAGGCGCGGTGAGCACCCACTCGTCGTCGGGATTGCGGCTCAGGGCATCCCGGCACATGGGACAGGTCGAGCTGCGTTCTCGCCTGTGGTCCACACGCGTTGGTCAGAAGGATGAAACGACCATGATCGTTATCATCATCATCATCATCCGAGTTTGGCGCACCATGAAGTGATGCACGGTTGACAGAAAGCGTGGGTGCATGCCAGCACCACCTCCGCATGTCGTTCCTGCCGAGAGATAAAGGGAAGCGTGGTCCACACTTAGCGATCAGCAAATGTTGCACCGCATCACGGTGCCGGCCTGGTGGGCAGGAGGGTACCAGGCAAATGGTACATTCGCCCTCGCTTTCCTCCTCCGGCTCCTCTGAGCTGTTGAAAGAAGGCCATATGTGCGTGAACTATGCAATCAGATGTGACACATAAAGGCGATCGATACCTGTTTGTTTGCGTGAGGCGCCCGAGCAGCGCGAACAGTCGGTAGAAGTCCCGCCACGAGAGTTTGTATACACCATTCCTCACCCCTGCCGTCTCTCCGTCCCTCTGCACACAAACGCCGGAGTCAGTCCATCCGCGACGCAAAGCAAAGAAGAGCAGAGAAGAGAAGTGGCTGATGTACGATGGTCAGGAGAATGCGTGCGTATCGTCGCCAGAGGGGTCGAATGGGAACGGCCTGCAGGTCGGCCGGCACCAACTCAAGGCCCAAGCTAAGTCCGCCTTGCGTGTGCCACACCTCCCTTGCCCTGCCGGATTTGTTGTAAATGATTATTATTATTATTTATTGATCAATGAAATAAGGGAGACGAGAGGGGTGGGCGATGAAAGAAAAATAAAATAAAATAATATGATTATTATTATTGTGATTAATCGATCATGGGGTGGCACCGTCTTTGCGCATTTGCCACATCACGTTGGAGGGCGGCGAAGGAGGGTGCACCCCTCGTGCCTTGGCTATCATCGTCGAAGGAGCCCTCCCCTGTGTCTTCTCGCGACCCACTTGGCCTGCGACCCGCCCCTCCACTGTTGCCCATCTCCTGCACTTCTTCTTGCTTTGTTGGTTTGTCGTTGTTTTATTGGTTTTGTCTCCTGTTGCACCCTCCGCACTACGTGTCGGCAGCCGGCGAGGGCCGCTTCTTGAGGTTGAACCTCCTCTTCTTCTTGACCGGCGGTGAGGCAGAGGTAGTGGAAGCACTGGTGGTCGCCGTGGTGGTTGGGTCTGCCTCGGCTTCCACTTGCTCGTGTGAGGCTTGAGGCTCCGGCTCTGGTTGCGCGGCTTCCTGGCCGTCGGAGGAGGCTTCATCACCGTCGCCAGCATCATCACTCCTCCGTGCCGGTTGCTTCTCCTTGCCTCGAGCAGCACGTTTCGTTTCTGTTGTGCCGTTCTCTTCCTCTTCCTCCTTATCCGCTTCGGCATCTTCGGCTTCATCATCTTTTTCCTTGTCGAGCGTTCGTTTCTGCAGGAAGAGAAGGCCTTGTGGGTTGGTGCCGTATACGGCAACAAACTCTTGCGTTTGCGCGTACCCGTGATGGCGGCGCAGAGCTGGGCGACGTCGTGTCCGCCACAGGCAGGGAATCGGGGGTGGCATCAGACGATGCAGCCGGTGCGGCGGGCGCAGGTGCTGCAGGGGCATTAGCACTGGGCAGTGGTCCCAATGGTAAAGCTCAGGCGAGCATACCAGGTGTCACTGCTGGGGTCGGAGCAGGAGCTGGGCTCGGGGCGGGAGCTGGGGCGGGGGGCGGAGCAGCAGGAGGGATCGTGCGCTTGACCTTGGTGATAAGCATGGCGTTCTTGCCGTCGTGCTGCTCCATCCTGGCACAACAAAGCTCGTCAGGCACACAAGCACTCACTAACGAAAAGCGCTGCCATCCTTGTACCTCATAAAATCTATCCAGTATGGGCCGAGGTTTATGTTGGACTTGCCAGTCTGAGACGTGGTTGCAGGGTGCAATCAGAACGAAATCAAAATAAAATCAAAATCACAAGCTCGAGTGCGCACCTGGAATGCAAGTTCAATTTGCACAGTCTCATGGGCACCATAGGCCAGCCATGAACCCTGCTTATAGAACGTCCACACAGGCGCAGGAGCGGCCATCTTGTTCCCAGTGTTGGCAACTTGCTAATTAGTGATAAAAAAATGCTTTTACAAGAATTATTATGGTGATTATTGTTGTAGACAAAAGTAACTGATGCGTTGGAAAAAGTCGTAGATGAATAAACGCAATGGAAACAAGGATCAGCACAACAAAGATTCCACCTCCAGTGCAGGCAATGATGACCACCAGCTCATGTTGGTGAGAGTCATGAGTGATTCTGGTGGCAATGGCCAAGCCCACATTGTCAAGGAGGATGGTAGTGAGGATTGGGGGTACTCTGGTGTGCATGAAGGTGGAGGAAACAAAGGCCTGGCCAGTGTTCATTTTTTATTATTTGTGCAATATAATATAATTGCATTAATACAAGAACGGAAAAGTGTGAGGCAAAAAAGAAATGAAGAGAAATGAATGCGTTGTGGCGTGGATTTTCTTTGATCTAATAATCAGCAACATGGCTACTTCGATGGAGACTGTCTCTTCTTTCCCCTCCAAGTGGGCGTGGATTTTTGGAGGAGCGGCAGTTGCACTTGCAGCTGGCGGTATCGCCTTCCTACTTTCCCGCCAGCGCCCCAACAAACACATTCAGGTGCCCCAAGCTTTTACTTGCATCAGTGTTATTGCCGTCTTTATGTCCTTTATCTCGCTGCCACTGGCTCTCGCGAGGTGTATGCTCACGCTCTCTTTGCTTGGGGCGGTAGACTCTCGTTACGCCCGACCGACGACTGACCGACAACTTCAAGGCCAAGCTCGCTGAGATCTTTGCCGCGCAGCTCGACCTTGATGGCGATGGTGCTCTCAATGACGCCGAGCTTGATCGCCTGGTGTTCCTCACCGAGGGTGCGCATTCCTACACTACATATCTGTGTCTTTGCAGCGCTGGTGGCTCACTGCCGCCTCTTCATACATAGGCCAGCGAATCACACCAGAGATGGCCGAGTTCATCCGCTCGCACTTTGAGACCAACGACGAAGTACGCAGCACACTTGGCAATGCTACGCAGCCGACGGCAAGGCTGCTGTGGCTCCAGCTTGCGTCTAATCGTCTTGTATTCCCTCTTTCTCTGTTCCGTGTCGTTGCGCAGGGGTGGCTGACGTTGAGCGGGTTCGTGGCCTCCTACGAGTGGATCCTGCAGCACCTAACCGACGATTCTGCAGCGGAACAGGTACTGCAGCCTCACCACTCTGTTCCTCCCTCAGCGTCCACACATACTCACACCCTTGTGCTGAATATCAGGCTTTCGCGAAGGACTTGCAAGCGTATGGTTATACCTACGCCCGCTTCAAGCAAAACTGAGTCTTGCTCACCGCCACTCCCGCCCGACCTGACAATAAAATGATTTATTTATTTTTAATTTTCTTTTCAATCCGCCATAAGTTGATGAATGGAGAAGGAGGTCTCTACACCAGCCTCTGCGCCAAGTGCCGTGGAGTGGAACAGGAGCGTAGCGGCGATCTTGCTGGCTCGGCATCGCGAATTCGCACAGAATGGAAACGCCAATAAATCGCATACTCTCCTCAAGGTCCCTTCAATCTAACTCCCCACATCACCTTTAAACTGCAAATGCAAGCACACCAGGCCACACATCTGTGTGCACTTACACTTCGCCTTGTGACTAGGTGGTAGAGTGCCTGCGGGAGTACCCGCTGCCCATCCAAACGGGCGAAGAGCTCAAGGCCTATCGCGGCATTGGCGGTAAGCCTGCCCTCCGCGGCTCCTCCGTCGTTGTCTTTGGCGTGAGCCTTGTTGTGCAAGGAGGAATCTCACCGTTTGCGCTTCCAGCGTGGGCCTCCGATGAGCTGGACGTTGCCATTCGGACCTGCCTGCTCCACCGCCTTGCTGCCGATGCCGCGGCCGGCTCTCTCCTTCCCACCAAGCGGGAGGGAGAGGTACCAGCCACCCAGTCTGCTGGCTTCCTTGACTTGACGCTCGAAGACGAAGCGGAGGGGAGCGAGGCCACAACATCCAGCAACCCTCAGGCAGGCGAAGAAGAAGAAGACGTCTACGAGATACCTCCACCGCCCTCCGCGGCGGCCTCACCTTCTCCCAGTACGTATGCCCATCACGACTAGGCACGTGTGTCGTTCTCAAACTCACGTGTGCCCTGCCCTGTATAGCTCGGCGGCGTGGGAGCTCAACCCCAACACCTAATAGCCACCGCAAGTCGACCACGACCACCCCTTCGGTGCCACGCCAGCAAGCGAGTCATACAGCCGTTACAGGTACCGCCAAGATTCCGGGCATCGCTGACACTCCTCCTTCAAACCTGGGCCGGGCACTCACTTAAGTCCTTGGTGGCAGGAGCCTCTGACACTTTGTTTGTCAGTGACTGGCTGCAAATGCTCGGCTATCCTCAGGTAGTTCTACTTACGCCAATGAGTTGTCTGGGAGCGATCACTGACACCAATACCTCCGACACCAGTACGCGGACCAATTAGCGCACAATGGCTTTGCTCGACCCCTGGAGCTGCAGTTCCTTACCGCGGAGGAGCTCGATGCGATGGGCATCACGCTACTGGGTACCCAGGATTCGCTTCTCGTCCTATCCCTCGTTTGCTTGCATTCCACTTCGTTCCTCCGCATACGACCACCCACGCCTAAGGCTGCATGTGTAGGCCATCGGCGCGTGATCCTCCATGCGGTAGAGATCCTGCGGAAAGAGCTTGCCCAAATGCCAGCAGCCCCAATGCCGGTGGCAGCGTCACCGCCCAGCAGCAGCCGTGGCTCGTCTGCCCGGACGTTGAGCTTCTCCTCCCCCTCTGCACTTCCAGGTATGTGTCATACCACTTCCCTATCTTGAGAAACAAGGCCAGCACCCCGCTGAGCCCACGATCCGATCCCAGGAAGCCACAGCGCGCCCGTATCACCGCGGGTTGCTGCCAATCCGCCCGTATCTAGTGCTGTGAACAGCGCTCCTGCCGGCGGTACGATGAGCCTCCCCTCTGTTTCCGCTGAGCCTTGAGAGCCAAGTGTGCTAAATTAACCCGGTACACAGGCAGTACCAAACGACCGCGTCGCAACGCGTCGCTTCCAAATCTGCCCGCTGTGGTCTGCGCAGACGCAGCCGCAGCAGCCAGCAATCCACAGACGGACTCACCCCACGCCAAGAGGCTCCGCACCACCGCAGCCGCCCCTTCACCCTCTAGCAAGATGCCCGAACGCCTGCGCGGTAGGTCACCTTGGCCTTGTATGTCCTCGTGCCAAGCCAGCGCCCGACTCTGTGCGCTGTATATGGAACCCCAGGTGCGACCGACATCAAGGAGTTGTTCCCAAAGTACCTGGAAGTCTACGCACCAGACGGGGGGTCTGTGCAGCGAGGCCTGGCCTACTACCTCGCCGGCGCGGTGGTCATGCGGCGGGAGCTGCCCGACCGCCGCATCGAGTTTCGGGTGCTGGGCCAGCACGAGGACTCGTACCGGGTGATCTTTGATTTCGGCCCGAATTACAAGCGTGCAGAGTGCCTGTGCGCCCGACAAACCTCCGCCTCACGCCACCAGGTAGGGACACACTGCGCTGGCGCTTCGAGAAGATCGCTGCTCACCTGTGTGTGTGTGTGTGTGTGTGGTGTGTGTGTGTGTGTGTGGTGACAGAGGGGTTGGTGCAAGCACATTATCGCCTGTCTGGCGACGGTCGTTTGCGACAGCGTGACCGCCCCTGAGTGGGTTCGGCGTATGCCGGGGGCGAACGAGGTGATCGCGTTGGTCTCCTTTGACTTTATCGCGCGCTGCAACAACTACGCGCGGTACGAACGGCTCTCCCTTCGGGATGTACCGCATGTTCTCATCAGCTAAGCCCGTTGTCTTTCCCACAGCTCCGAGGAGTCGGCAACCCAAGTCAGCGCCCAACAACAACAACAACCTGCGGAAACCGCGCTCGAAGAGCTTATACCGAGCAGCTGCGCTGCGGTCGTCGGGGAGGCGGCATCACCTGTGCGGCGCCCTGCCTTAGTCGGTAGCGCATCGCCACCGCCACCGTCACCACTATCACCGCCGCCTACGGGTAAGCAGGTCTATCGCCCGAATGCTTTCACCGGACCCTGCGCGCTCCTCATCGCCCTCCACTTGTTGCGCCAGGCACCGCTCCTTCCTCTCCACCGTCATTGATTGTTGACAGTTGCGTCTGAGCTCACATCGCCTGTGTGCGTGCGTGCGCTTCTGATTCTCCAGGAGGGCTATACGAGTGCGGGTCCGCTGGAGCTCTTTCCCATCATGAAGCTCTACAGTCCTCGCATTGGACCGAGCCCTCAGTGCGTGTGGAACATCGTCAAGGCCTGCGTCAAGAAGGGCGCTGTCGCCATACTCGACGAAGGTCGCTTATGCTGCTTGGAGGGGGGGGGGGCTGTGCGTGCAAGTCTCACCCGCATGACCCCGCCGGTGCCGAAATAGGGACACAGAGGTGTGGTCTCACCGAGAGCGGCTGCGCGGCGGCGCTCGAGGCCGTGGACTCCGATAGGCAGAGACGCAGCCGGGAGGCCGTGCCCCTGCCCGTTGTCCCCGCATCCCTACTATCGCCGGCCCGGCAGGCCTCCCCTGCGGCGCAAGAGTTGGTGCGTGCCGCCAGCGCGCCCGCTCTCTTCCCTACATCCTCGGCTCCCCTTCCCTCGTTCGCTACTCCGTCGCCGCTGTCCAGCGCATCTGCCTCTTCGCCCCATCGCACCGCATCGCCGCCAGCAGCGCAGTCGTACCCGGCTTCGCTCTTTGCCGTCTCGGGCACCGGTGGTGCTGCCCAACCAGCGTTGTCAGCTGTGGACAGCATGGAGACGACCACCGAAAAGCCCGACAGCGACCACATGGAGACTCGCCCCTTCGTGTCAACGTGCACCACTCCATCTGCTGGCAACGGCGCCTTTACCTCAACCTCGACCTCTAGCTCAACCGCGGAAGGTCCAATCCCTGGCACGAGCACCAGCACGAGCAGTAGTGCAGCCCGTGGCTCTGAAGCTTCGCCGTACCGGGAGGCCAGGCGAGCGGCGGTGAGTGCAGAGGAGTTCAAGCGCGATTGGGAAGTGGTCCTCATCACCGACAGGTTTGGCTCCGCCCTACTCGCGTTCCGTCTTTTGGCGCTGGTGGGGGTGCTAACGCTCGCTCCGCCGGAGCTTTGCTTTCACAGTGCGGAAGCCGAAGGCATCACCAAGAGGGTGTGGGAGCACTTCACTGAGAGGCAGGAGTACCTCCGCGAGCGAGGCATCGCCATCGATCGACGCGGTCTCGCGCTCGGGGACTACATCTGGGTGGCCCGCAAGCGGCAGCACCCCTGTGGCATGCCCAGCGTACGCTGTGCACCTCTCTTGGCTCAGTTCCTCCTGGGCCGGTTCCTCACTAGATTGTGCGCGTGTAGGACCCGCGCGACGATATCGTGCTGGACTGGATCATGGAGCGCAAGACGATACGCGATCTCAGGGCCTCGCTGCATGACATGCGGCTCGACGACCAGTACCAACGGCTGAAATCCAGTAGACTCAACACTGTCTTTCTCCTCGAGCAACCCTTCACTACCAACCCGGAGCTAACTCGGTACCTTCAACGCTGCATCCTTCCATCGTCGTCATCATCGCCATCGTCATCTCCTTCTTATTATTATATATGGACCTTGTTCAGCTGACACTGTGCACGATCAGGGAGAGCTTTGATGCGATCATCGACTTCTTCCTGATGGAGATAGAGAGCCAGCCGCGAGGCCGAGACAACCTTTTCGTCGAGCACGTGCTCTCGCAGGACGAGACGGCGGCCTACGTGTGGCGCATGACCAAGCGTCTCCGCCGCCACTACGACCAGCACGGCCTCGACGGGACCGAGTACTCGTTTCGTGCCTTCCAGAAGGCCTTCAAGAAGGGCAACTTCCGCCAGTCCGAGCTGGGCACCCTGGCCAGTATGCTGCTCTGCGTGCCCGGCATGTCGCACACCGAGGCGATCGCGATCGCTCGTGCCAACCCCACGCCCACCGGCCTCGTCGACACCCTCCACCACTTCGAGGAGCAGCAACAGCAACAAGGGCTCGAGGCTGACGTCATGCTGGCCTTGTTGGAGGAGAGGAAAGCAGAAGAGAAAAGGATTCTTTAAAAACAGTGAAGGGGAGATGTGGCGGCACAAGGGCGGAGAGGCGGGGATGGAGGAGGCTCTGCGACGGCTGAAGGGTGCGCTGGGCAAGGGACGCGGGTGGACGCGCGGCATGGTGCGTGCATTGGAGGAACGACGATTTGCGGGCGAGGCCGGGGGCGGCATGGTGGAGCTACAGATGAACGGGCTGGGCCGATTACTGGATTTCAAGGTCGACCCTGCTCTCGGACGCCACCATGTGGGAGCCATCGAGGACCTCACCCTCACCGCGTGGAACAACGCCATGCTACAGGCAAGATCTACATTCATTTTTTGCATTATGCGGTATTTTATTGTAATTTTAAATACTATGTTGTGCAGGTGGAGCGGGCGACGATAGAGGAATCGCAGAACGCTCTGTTCAAGATGCTGCAAGAGGACCCTAGCGACACCACTGATGTGGAGCCTGAGCAGAAACACGATGGCGACGGTGACGACGATGACCGGCGCACCCCACAGTGAGCCAGCGTCAAAATACAGGGCGGCAGGAAGAGTACGACTACAGGGCCAACAACACCATTCAGCACGCCGGTGTGCAGTACATTCTCGACTCCATCATCGCTGCGCTCCAGAACCCCGAGAGAAAGTACCACTTCTTGCTTCCCGCCTGCCCTCACGGATCACTGGTGGGTGATTGTATTGTACCATCAAGAGGTGGTGGAGCGAGCAATCGGAAGACCTGAAGACCATCATCGTGCACAGCCTTGTTGGTGCGCGCCGTTGTGGCGAGGAAAAGGAAGCAGGCGAGGAGTCGCCGGCCGCCAGAACGTGGCGAGCGTTGTCGTTGTTGTTGTCGTTGTCGTTGTCATTGTTGGGTATCTGCAATGGATAGTTTTACAAGTGGATTCTAGTCTTTCATGGAGTACTGCAGGTGCATGGCATCACCACTCCAATGATTTTGAGTTTTAGGTCTACTAGGGTGGCATCCACAGGACTAGGGGAGAGCAGCTGTGTGCCTCCCCCATCCCACTTGTTCATCCATTCCCTCACATTTTGCCTCGCCTGGAATTCTATGCTTGAGGACTGCCTGTCTACACAAAGTGAAAAAGCACAGAAGAATAAATTTGATTTGAAAAAAGAAATGATGTCAGTTTTTTTGGTTTTCATAAATAGTTGAACCAAGATGAAGAGAGGCGGCTCGGGTAATCGCGATGATGATTTGCTGCGATCGTTCCTGCCACAATCATTTGGTGCCAAGAAGCAGAAGTTGGATGTGAGCGAAAAGTTGAACGAGACCAAGCGCACCAAGAGGGTTACCCTCGTCCGCAAACGTAAAATCACAGACGAAGATGCAGATGGAACCGAGGAACAGACCAGCGAATCGGGCATCTCCGTCTCGGAAGCCAGCAAGGCCATCATCACAGATGAAGGCCAGTCGCTGCTGGGCAAGAAAGGGTACGTCGTGATCGGGCCGCCCAAGCCCAAGACCCGCATCGTGGAGGAGATCGAGGAGGTGGAAGTCGAGGAGGAGGATACCGAGACCAGCGAGTACGACAAGTTGCTGCCCGTTTCGCACGAAATCAAGCTCAAGGGCCACACCAAGGTACCACCCTTCAACTTTGCAATGTATTCGCGTGTGATGTGGTCTAACCCGCACCGCTGCACGCGCCCACAGGCGATCACTGCGCTGGCACTGGATACGGGCGGTGCGCGTCTGCTGACGGGTTCGAACGACTACATGGTGCGATTCTGGGACTTTGCGGGCATGGACAGCGCGCACCGCTCCTTCCGCGACGTGGAGCCACACTCGGGCCATCAGGTGCGTTCGCTGTCCTACTCCATCAACGGCGACCAGTTCCTCGTCACCACCGGCAACGCCAAGGCCAAGATCTACTCGCGAGATGGACATGAAATGTACGTGCTGGTCTTCCTCTTCTTCGGCATTCCTCTCTGGACGAGCTTCTCGCAGTGCACACATCTAACGATTCTCTCTTGTTTGCTACTCGCTTGTTTTGGTACCAATTGCTGCAGTGCGGAGTGTGCGAGGGGAGACATGTACCTGCTGGACATGGGCAACACGAAAGGCCACGTCGCTGCGCTGACACAGGGTACGAAGAACGAACCTGCCAGCTGGTGAAATGACGTTGCTTGGCCGCACTCGCACTCACGAACGTTCACTCCAATATACACCAACAGGAGTGTGGCACCCGACGGATCCCAACACCTTCATGACGTCCGCGGCCGACAGCACGGTCCGACTCTGGGACGCCAACGACGTAACCAAGCAAAAGACGGTCATCAAATTCAGGGACGCCAGGAACACCACCCGCCTGCCAGTCTCCGGATGCACCTTCTCGCCTGACGGTTCCCTCATCGCCGGCGGTGGTGAGGTGCGAGCTTCATGACGGGGTTAGGGTGTGTTTATATCAGTGTGTGGCGCTGATGCTGATACTTTCGCTGTCATAGGATGGCTCGGTTTGGATCTGGCCGACCAAGGGGCCCTACGCGCGGCCCAAGCAGATGCTCCGCAACGCTCACGGCGGGGATATCTCGTGCCTCACGTTCTCCAAGGACGGATACACGCTTCTCACGCGCGCGCAAGACGATACCGTCAAGGGTATGTGCCCCTCGCCACGGTACACCGGCTTGGCTTCTGTGGTGCTGCTGCTGACGCTCCTTGTCGACTTCTCTAGTTTGGGACACGAGGAACTTGAAGCAGGCGGTCAACACGATGTCTGATCTGGTGAGCTTCGGCAACACGGATGTCATCTTCAGCCCCGACGAACAGTTCATCGTCACCGGCACGAGCGTGAAGAAGGGCGAGGGCACCGCCTCCCTGGTCTTCTTCGACCGGAAGACGGGCGAGAAAGTGCGACAAATTGGTACGTCGGTCGGCCGGCCTCGTTACGCTGCTGCGTAATATTGTTTTTTTAATCGACATTGCCTCATCGACGCGACTCACCTCTCCTCTCGTGTAAACAGCCGTTGCTGGTGGCAGCGTGAACCGTCTGCTCTGGCACCCGAAGCTCAACCAAATCATTGCGGGCTGCGGAGGTACCTAATTCCTCCTCTCCCGTTGTTTTGCGCATCATGCATGGAGGCTTGAAGGGCTCACACCACCAAATCCTCGGCACTGGTGTAGATGCGGTGGCGCGCGTGTACTACGATCCCATGCGGAGCACCAACGGCGCGCTGCTGTCGGTGTACAAGCAGAAGCGGAGGAAGGACCCGTCGGACAGCATCCAACACTTTGCCATCCACACGCCGCACGCGCTGCCCATGTTTAAGGACCAACCGTCGGCCAAGAAGCAGAGGCTCAAGGACAGGCAGGACCCCGTCAAGTCCCGCAAGCCAGACCTTCCCCTCAACGGCCCCGGCCACGCGTGCGTCATCTTCGCCACCGCTCGCACATACCACCATATATTGGTCTGGTCGTCTTTGCTAACCTTGGTGATGTTGATGATGTTATGTGTTTCTATGCAGAGGCCATGTGGGAAGCTCGTTGACGCACCACATGATGAAGACGCTGATCAAGAAGACGGAGAGGGAGGTCGACCCGCGCGAGGCCATCCTCAAGTACGCGCAGGAGGCCGAGGCCGATCCCTACTGGTTCCGGGCCTACAAGGACACCCAGCCGGCCCCCATCTTCAACCACGAGGCCCTCAGGCAGGAGGCCGAGGAGGAGAAGAAGAAGGCCGAAGAGGCCGAGAAGAAGAAGCGACGAGGCTAGAGCTGCACGCCGACCCGTCATGACGTCATGTTCGACTCTTGCGAACCAAGAAATATTCCACTTGTGTGTTCTTCTGTACAAACCGCGTGTGCGTGTCGTGTGTCGTGTGTGTCGTGTGGTGTGTGCGACGCGGCCGGTTCTTTATTGAAGGATGTGCAGGGTGCCCTCGTCGACGAAGTCATCCGCGCCATACTGCATGAACTCGTCGTGGAAGTAGAGGTCCCCTGTGTAACAACAACATCAACAACAACAACAACAGGATGAGGTCTTGTCGTCTTCAAGAAGAGAAAGAGGGGGAGGAAAAGAGGCTGCGGGTACCGGGCTTGACGTGGTCGATGAACAGCTTGGCGTGCAGGTGATCGATCTCGTGTTGGAGCATGGCCGCGATGAAGCCGCTCGCCTCGAGCCGTCGGTCGTTGCCCTCCGTGTCCACGTACTCCACTCGCACGTAGCGATGCCGCCACACTTTGCCCACCAGCCCTGCACCGCATAGCGATGTCGTCAGGCGCAAGCGTGTGGCAATGGCGTGGATGTGAGGTGGGGGAGGGTACCGGGCACGGAGAGACAACTCTCACTCATCGCGATCTTGTCCTGTGGTCGGTGCACCGTGAGCTTCGGGTTGAACAGCACCATCAGCGGCACCGCTACAAGTCGTAAAGATGAAAAATCGAAATAGAATAAATTTCAATTAATCAATCACACAAGAACATAAAAGTCACATAAAAATCAGCAGAACATCGACCACAAAAGAAGTAAAATCACAGCGTACGTTGGAGATTGGGCAGATCGGAATCAGCCGGGAGATGGACGATGACAAGCTGTTTGTTGATGCCCACTTGTGGAGCGGCCAAACCCACGCCCTCACTCGAGTGCATGGTGGCGGTCATGTCCCTCACCAGCCCGCGCGTCGTGCCACTCACGATGTCGTCCTTGCTCCAGGGCCGAGATGCCAACCGCAGCGCCGGACTTCCCATCCGCAAAATGCTCAACGTAGACGCTGCCGTGGTCGCCGGCGCAGTCGCCGCCGCGCCCTTGAAGATGGAACCCATGAGCGACGACATCTCGTGTTTTTTCAATCTCTGATCAAAAGTGGTTTTTTTTTGTTTCCTTTTATTTTGTGTTCGCTGAAGACTCAGCAAACAAGCGAGCTTGGACCCGTACAACAGAACAGAACAAGCAACAACTAAAGAGATGGAAGCAAAGGACGAAACCAAGACACTGTGGGAGGAGCTGCCCCACAAGGCCCTTGACAACGGCCCCGGCGCCTTCCAGCTCGCCGACGGCCGCATCGCCTACCTCGCCTTCGTACCCCTCCCATTTTCTATTGTTTTTTATCTATTATTGTTTTAATTTATTGTTTGTTTGTTCGTGGCAGGCCAAGAAGGACGGGTTCCCGAGCGTGGACCAGCGGGCCGGCCTCACTGTGGCGCCGAACGCCGGCAGCGTGGAGGACTTTGTCCAGCGGCACGAGCAGGAGCCCACGCTGGTGCGGCAGGTGCGCAACAAGGTGCGCAAGTGCGCGGGCTGCGGCAAGCCCAACGCCTTCACCCTGCCCCACTGCAACGGCTGCGGACTCGACCTCTCCACCACCGCCATCTCCTTCACCAACAACGTCTTCGTCGGCTTCGTCTACGGCATCGAGAAGGGTGCGTGCGCACACGACACGACACACGACACGCACCAATGACACACGACACACGACACTCATCAATGACACGCGCAGGTCCATTCCCGTTGACGGTGTCGCTGAGGTATGAAGATGAGGAGAGCCTGGTGTTCGACGACCTGCTGGCCCTGTCGCCGTGCCACCTGAACAGCGTGCCGACGACGGCCTACATCCCGGACTGGCGCTACCTGCTCAAGGACCCGGTGCAGGGCCTGGCCCTGATCGACCGCCTGTTCGGCCGCTGCTGGCAGGCCGTCGAGGAGCAGTTCTACGCCGACGAGGCCTGGCACGCCAAGATCCTCAAGAGCGGCGTCACCCTGGCCCAGCTCAAGGACCATGTCGTGGCCGGGTTCAACTACCCGCCCTCTCAATACCACCTCCACATCCAGTTCATCGTGCCCCCCTTCCTCCCCTTCCAATGGGCCCTCTACCTCCAGGGTACGCACTACTCTCTGCCGTCTTTTTTCTTTGTTTAATTTAATATTTATTTATATATTATTGATATTAATTGTGTGGGCTGGTGGGCACAAGGTGTGCACTTCACGCCCGGCAGGTTCTTCCCGGTGGAGTACGTGCGCGCGGTGCTGCAGCTCAACGCGCCGCTCGCCGAACCCGACACCATGCCCATCGAAGACGTCGTGTCCCATTACAAGGGTTTGTTTGCGCCACCACTCTCCGCCGCCATTTGTCGCGTTGGCTCATCGCGTGTCGCACGCGTGTCGTGTGTCTGTGTGTCGTGTGTTCGCGCAGGCAAGGGTGTGGACTACGACGAGGTTTTCCGTCAGTGCTACGCTCGCTATGGAGCCAGCCACGAGGCCCTGGCCCAGTGGCAGCGACAGGACTTTGGCGGCGTGGGCGTGCTCGGCGGTGGTCCGGAGCGCGTCTATCGCTTCACCTCCGCCGGCGACGCCCTCGAGGCCGCCACCGAAGCCGACGCCAAGGCCACGCAGGCGGCCGATAAGGCGGCCCTGCAGAACTACGGCCGGCCCTACACCGCCGAAGGCAAGCCACGCGGCAGCTACTACGGCCACACCAAGTCCTTCCCCGACTCCTTCCCCGACTACTGAGGCAGACCACAACTGTGAAAGAGACGAGAGCATCGCTTGTACACAAAGAAGAAGAAGAATGAAGAGTGGCGCTTTCTCTAACGCCTGGTAGAAGAACTGGTCACTGTGAACTCGCCTTGGTCGTAACTGATCAATGCAAAACCTCTTCTTCCAAAACGTCGGTTTTTACAGGTGGCGCACACACGCTGGCTGATTGTGAGACTAGAAGTGTACTCACTTGGACGATGACGAGGGCTTGGTGGTCGTGGTGGTCCGCTTGGCCTTCTTGACGGGTCGCGTGACAAAGTCGCCCTCGTCTTCGCCTTCGTCGTGCTTGCCGTTGCTTTCGCTGGCGGACTGCTTGGCGCCGTTGGTCGATGATGTCTTGGCCTTCGTCGACTTCGTCGTCTCCTTGCCCTTACTCGGCTTGGCCTCGTCCTTCTTCGTCTTCTTCTTCGTCTTTTCCTTCTCTTTCGTGTCCTTGACCTTGTCCTTCTTCTTGGTCGTTGTCTTCTTCGAAGAGGAGGAGGACGCAGCCTTCGTCGTCTTCACGACCTTCTTTGTCGGGCTCTTGGCGGTGGGCGGAGGCGTGGGCTTGGCCGTGGTGGCCAGCTCCTCGACCAGGCGCGTCAGTCGCTTGTTGAGCGTGGCCGCCGTCGGGAAGTCCGGGTCGTCGACATCGCCATCATCGCCCTTCTTCGACTTTTGGTCGTCTTCTTCCTCCTCCTCCTCCTCTTCATCATCCTTCTTCTCCTTCTCCTTCTTTTCTTCGCCCTTTTTCTTTTTGTCGTTGCCCGACGTGGTGGCCTTGCCCTTCTTCTGCGTGCGCGCGCGGAGCGCCGCGGTGGAGAAGCCGAGTTCGACGTTGTCGCGGAGATCCTTGACCCGGCCCCACCCGTGTCGGTGCACGCCCAGGAGCAGGTTGCGGTCGTCCTGGGCCGTCCACCAGTCCGCCGGCAGGTTCAGGTTCAGCTTCGGCATCTCCAGCGTGTCCCACTTCTTCTCGTGTTGCTCTGTGTCGTGTCGTGGTGTGTCATGACACGTCAGCACCGCCTCATATAAGTGGCCACGTGGACTGCATTCACGGCCGCAGTACGTACCGATGAGGGCCTTGAGGTGACGCAGAATGAAGAGCCGCACGTTGTACTGCTTGCGCTGGCGCTGGAGGGACTCGATGGGCTCGCCCGAGACGAGCGGGTGGGGCACCACGGAGAACCGGAAGGCCGTGGGCGTGGCCGCGGCCGTGGTCAGGGAGAGCTTGGGCTTGTTGGCCGCCTCACCGCCCTCGACCGCCGCACCCTCCGCGCCGGCCGCCTCCGTCGGACTCATCTCGTGCCACACATGCATGCTACATCTCCTCTCTGCGGGTCCCGCCATCGTCAGCAGCCATAGCGCACGCATGGTGTGTGTGCGTGTGTGTGTCTGTGTGTGTGTCTGTGTGTGTGTCTGTGTGTGTGTCTGTGTGTGTGTCTGTGTGCGGTGCTGTATGCGCGTACCGGTGAACTTGCCCTTGGCGTTGGTGGAGTTGGGGTACTGCCGTGTCTCAAAGTAGACCACATCGAGCGAGTACTTGCCCTCGAAGCCCGGCGCGTGCACCACCGCCGTGTAGAACCTGCGGGGGAGACATGGATGGTTTAGCTCAGCTGAGCTCAGCTTTTTGGCCGCCATAGCGCAGTGTTTGGGGCTGTGGAGTGAAGAAGGTACTCTTCGTCGGCCTTCTTCTTGGTGAGCGGGTAGGTCCGGAGGTAGCCGGCGTCGATGTGCTTGGCGTCGGAGAGCAGCGAGACGAGGAGGAACAGCTGGACCTGGTCCTTCTCCGGGTCGCGCACCTTGACCTCGACGTAGAGCACGTGGCCCGGCCAGTACTTGCCGTCGAATCCGTTCATACGGCCCACGCCGTCCCGCACGAGTACGTCCACCTCCATGGTACCTGTCGCAGCGACAACACACGACACACACACACCACACACACACACACACGTCAGCACATGGCAGACCGCGGGAAGCGGCGAGGCACACGGACCCTCGACATTGACGGGCTTCTTGGCATGCGCGGCAGCCCACTTCTTGTGCATGGTCATCAGGTCCGTCAGCGTTCCGGACAGGGAATCAGACAGCACCTGCAGACCCCACAAACGTTTTATCTCAGTTTATGATTGCATTCCATGCATTGCGTGTGCGTGTGTGCGTGTGTGCGTGTGTGCGTGTGTGCGCGTGTGCGCGTGTGTGGTGCTCACCTGAGCGTAGAAGCTCTTCTCCTCGAGGATCTGGCGGTACTGGCGTTTCCTAGAGCGGGGCTTGTCGGCGGCGTCCTTGGCCGCGGGGTCGCTGTTGTGGAAGCAGAGCTGGATCAGGCACTCGGCCAGGGCCTGCACCTGCTCCGGGTGCTTGGTGATGTTGAGGTTGTAGTTGTCCTCGAGCAGCTCCTGCCACCGGCCGTAGCCCGAGGCCAGCAGCCACGACTTGAGCACCTTCAGCTGCTTCGCATTCCACGCGCCCGACAGTCGCTCGCGCCGCACCTGCAGGGTCTCCCGCACCGGACCCTTGCCGCCGCCGGGCTGGCCCTGTCGGCCGGTCTTGCCGCCGGCCTCCGACGGGCTCGAGCCGTCGCTCTCCTCGGCCTCGTACTCGGAGGCCTCCTCGCCCTCATCCTCCGCCACGGCCTTGGCCGCGCGATGCCCGCGCCGCCCGCGCTCCTGCCCCATCCGCTGCACCTGCGTGCGCGTACGCTTGCCGTCGCCCACCTCGGCCTGGAGCTCCATCAGCCGCTCGCGCTCCTATGTCGAGCCGAGCGCAGCGTCAGTCGTACATCCGTGTGTGCCGTGTGTGTGTGCTGTGTGCCGTGTGCGTCGTGTGTGTGCTGTGTGCGTGTGTGCCGTGTGCGTCGTGTGTGTCGCGCAGTGAGTACCTTGTCGGTGAAGGACTTGTGAGTGATGAGCTTGACGAGGAAGGCGTGGAGTTCGCGACCCGAGTGGGCAGACTGGTAGGCGTAGGAGGCCGAGCGGGACATCATGCCCTCCTTGACCTCCTCAACCAGCGCCGTGATGTCGCGGATGAACTCCTCGCGCTGGGCCTCGGTCTCGACCTGGCCGGCGGCAACACGCGCCGCGAGCGACTTGGAGGTCTTCATCTCCGGCAGGACCTTCTCCCAGAAATTGTCGTCGTCCAAGTTGATGTCCATGTCGCTCGACGACGTGGCGTAGGTCACCTTCGACAGACCCTTAAACGCAGCCGCTGCTCCCTTCTCCTCCGTGTCTCGATCTATCATACCGCATCACAAAACACACAACACAACACACACACACACACACACAAACGAGGGCGGGTCAATGACATACTCGTACACACTCGGCACCGAAAGAAAGGGCATAAGAGAGGGTACCGTATTGGATAGTGTGAGCGCGGCCCAGAATGGAGTGGATGTCCTCGTTGAGCATTACGTGCTCCTGTCGCTTCTGCTCCTCGGCGTCCTCTTGGAAGAGGTGGTAGGCGCCGTACTTGAGCAACTTGTCGATGTCCTCCTTCTTCATCTCGTCGTCGTCGTTCATGATAGCGCTCTCGAGGCCCAGCTTCTTGGACACGATGTCGAGCATGTAGCTCTCGTACGTGTTCCGCGTAACGAAGCGATAGATCTTCACCTGCTGCGTCTGGCCGATGCGGTGCGCACGCGCCTGCACCCAACCACAACCCATGTTCACGTTAGACACACACACAACACACACACACACACACAACGTTACCTGGGCTTGAAGATCATTCTGCGGGTTCCAGTCGCTGTCGTAGATGATCACGGTGTTGGCCGCGGTGAGGTTGAGGCCCAGGCCGCCGGCGCGTGTGGAGAGGAGGAAGGCGAACGAGTCGACCTCGGGGTTGGTGAAGCGGTCGATGGCCGCCTGCCTGTCCCGCCGTCCCACCCCGCCGTCGAGGCGCTCCATCGGGAAGCCGCGCATGATGAGGTAGTCCTCCAATATGTCCAGCATCATCACCATCTGACTGAAAATCAAAACCTGCACAGCCGCACATGGCACCCGTCAGCTGTGTGTGTATGTGTTGTATGCGCGTACAGGGTTGGTTGGCGGAACAAGAAGGGTACCTTGTGGCCATCTTCGCGCAGCTTGGTGAGGAGCTTGTCGAGGAGCACGAGCTTGCTGGAGGAGTTGACGAGCGCCTGGTGCGCCAGCACGTCCTTCTCCTCGGCCGACGCCCCCTTGCAAGGGGGAGCGTCGTCCAAGATGCGTCGTTCCGCGCCCGCGATCAGATACGGGTGGTTGCAGCACTTGCGCAGCTCCATCAGAATATTGGTCTGCACAACCGAGGAAGCGGTCAGGGCACACGACACACACACGACACACACGACACACACACACACGATACGGAACGCAATAAAAGAGAGGCAGCCACTAGGCCGCACCAGCTGTGGCAGGTTGGAGTTGGACTTAGCGCCGCGGTACAGGAACTCGCGGTTCTTGTCGAGGATAGCGCGGTAGTACTTCTTCTGCGTCGAAGTGAGCTCCACCTCCACGATGGTCTCCTCCTTGAGCGGAATCGTTTTGTCGACGTCCTCCTTCATCCTCCTGCATTGATTTATTATTATGATGATGATGATGATCGCTGTGCGAGTAGGTGCGCCGGACGAGATGCGGATATGAAACACGGCATGTAAGGGAGAAAGGGGGGGTACCGAAGCATGTAGGGTCGGAGCGAGGCCTGGAGCTTGTCCACCTGCTCCTTGGTCTTGAGATCGCCGTACTCCACCTTGAACTCGTCGACATCATCAAACTCCTCCGGGTTGAGGAAGTGGAGCATGGTCCACAATTCCTGCGCGGCCGCCGCCGTGAGGCCACAGCGACATAGAAGACAGGGTCGAAGCCTCTGGGTGAAGGTACCTCGATGTGGTTCTGCATGGGGGTACCGGTGAGGATGAGCTTGTGCTGGGCGTTGTACTGGAAGAGCTGCTGGAAGAGCTTGGTCTTCTTGCTCTTGATGCGGTGGCCCTCGTCGATGACCATGTACTGCCAATCGATATTGCCGAGGAAGGTCTCCTTGAGCACCATCTCAAAGGTGGTGATGAGCACGTGGAACTTGTACAGGCCGCTGCCGCCCACGCGACGACCGCGCGAGTCGGTGTAGTGGAACTCGTGCTTGCGGATTAGGTTGCGCGCCTCCTCGGTGCCGTGGAACACGACGCAGTTCATGAAGGTCCTGCCCTCCACCTCGCGACGCCACTGCTCGATCGTGCTCATCGGCGCCACCACCAGGAATGGCCCTCTGCGTGATACACGATATCATCGACGGTGTTAGCAGTCGACAGATTTCAAGTGTGTCGTGTCGTGTCGTGTCGTGTCGTGTCGTGTCGTGTCGTGTCGTGTCGTGTCGTGTCGTGTCGTGTCGTGTCGTGTGAGGAGTGCGAACCTGTTCTCCTCCTCCTGGACGAGGTACTGGAGGATGGACACGCTCTGCAGGGTCTTGCCCAGGCCCATCTCGTCGGCGAGGATCGAGTTGCGGCGCTTGTACCAGCAGTACACGAGCCACTTGATGCCCTCGACCTGGTAGTCGCGCAGCGTCAGGTTGGGATCCGAGTAGTTCGGCACATACTCGGCGTCGTCATCGAACGCGCTCGGCTTGGGCCTTCGGAACGTTTTCTGTTGAATGTTGTGTGCGCCGGTGGTGCAAACGGTCAGCTGTTGAACGGGCGCCACCAACCAAGACGCAGAACACAAACGAAGGCAATGAATGAGGAGCGTACGCGGCTGGCGAGCGAGGGCAGCTTCTCGCGGGCCTTGAACTGGCGGAGCTTCTTGGCCCAGTTGGGCGCGAGGAGGCGGAGCTCGGCCTCGGCCTCCCACGTGGCGTCCTCGTAGGGGAGGGTGCGCCACTTGATCAGGTACTCCGGGCCGCCCTTGGCCTCCCGCCGCGCCACCACGCGATCCACGCGCACCACGTCCCGATCAAAGTGGCCCGCCTCCACCAGCTCCTCCAGGAACTTGCGCTCTGGCGCCACTTCATCCTCCTCCTCCTCCTCTTCATCTTCATTCTCCTCATCTTCCTCCTTCTTGCTCTGTTTCTTCTTATCCTCCGCCTCCTCCGCCTTCCTCTTCCTCCTCGTCGTCTTCATTTTTCTTTTCTTTCTTCGTTTCCTTTTCCTTTTCCTCTTCCTCCATTTCGTCCTTTTCCTCCTTCTCCTCCTTTTCCTCGTCCATCTTGTCGTCATCGCCCTTCTTTTCCTTCTTCTCTAGGCCCTCCTCTTTCTTCGCCGCGGCACCGTTGGCGTCAGCAGGCTTGGGGAGCGCGGTGGCGGAGTGGCGCTGGCGGTTGAGCAGAATGCGGCGGCGACGCGCGAGGTCGTCGAGCAGCGCCGCGTCCTCGTGCTTGGAGGCAAAGTGCTTCAGGCGCGCCTTGCCGCCCGGGATGGACTCGATGGTGGCCTTGTCGACCCACTCGACGTGAAGGTAGGACCGGCCCCGGTACTTGACCAGGTACTCCTCCTCCCCCTCCTCGCCCTTCTTGCCGGCCTTGCCCTTGCGCACGCCCAGCATTTTGTCGATGTGCAGCACCGCGGGGCTCTCCTCCTCGCTGGCGTCATCACTGCCGTCCTCCTCGTCATCGTCGTCCTCGTCTTCGTCGTCGCTCGCGACCGCATCATACTTGGGATTCCTGCTCACTTGACGAGACGAGCGCCTGTGTACGCGGGCGTGGGGAGTGGGCAAAAAGAAAAGGTAAGTGATCACGATCGCACCCAACGTGGGGGTTGGTGGTGGTATACCTCACAACGGCGCCACGCTTATTGGCGCCCTTGCGGGACCGGCGGCTGGTGCCGTAGTCGCCGTCTTCGTCGTCGTCGCTGTCTCCGTTCGCCACCTTCTTGGAGCGCTTCTTGGCGTCCTCCTCCTCTTCGTCTTCGTCCTCCTCTTCGCTGGGCTCGGCTCGCTTCACACGCTTCGCGGCCGGTCGCTTTTTGCGGGAAGAAGACCTCTTCTTGGCCTTGGGCGCGTAGTCCTCCTCCTCCTCCTCTTCGTCGTCCTCTTCGTCCATGTCCTCTTCGTCGTCATCTTCCTCGTCCTCTTCTTGCTCATGCTCGTCATCGCTATCTACCTTCTTCCGCTTGCCACCAGCGCTGCGCTTCTTCTTCGGCTTGGCCTGGTCTTCTTCCTCCTCTTCCTCCTCGTCGTCGCTATCCTTTTCCTTGGCTTCTTCGTCGTCCTTCTCTTCACTCTCCTCCTCGCTCAGGGCCTCTCCTTTTTCGAGCGACTTGAACGTGCTCGAAAGAGACCGACCCCCGCTGCCGCTTTTCTTCCGGGTGGTTCTCCGTGCCGCCCTGCGCGGTGCCGCCTTCTGCGTTGGGGCGTATTGATGAGCCGATGATCATCAAATGCATTGACAACTACACGCATGGCGATGTTGCCGCCAGCAAGAACGAGCAGTAGATGAAAAGAATTGGAAAATAATAAATTAAATGGGGCGGGCACGGTACGGGAGGAGATGCGGGGGCGGCCCGTTTGCGCGACGAAGAACGAGAAGAAGTGGGGGCTTGATCCAGGAGCCGACTCACAGGACGACGTCTTCGCGTGCTACTCGCTCCCTCGCCCGCCGTGGCGAAAATATGGGACAACGACCTCTTGGCTGATGAATCGCCCATCCTGCCGCCTGCCTCCTGTCCACGCACAAGAAAGCCCTGCGCTTCGGACTTGTGCCGGCATGTGGAGCTTCGGTTTTGGCGCGAAAGACCGCACCGTTTCCCGCCAAAAGTGTCACATAAAAATTCCAGGAAACAATATTGCTTGTCTGCTCCTCTCTCATCAAGAAGGGTGAACACAGTCGACTGCTTACTCCCAACTCGCCGTGCAACTCGCCACCAAGCAAGTTGGATATGCTAGTGTGCATGGCCACAACAAGCAGCAAAAACATGTAGCTACACCCACTGTAAATAAAACGTGGTGCATCTTTTGTACGTACTCAATGTTGATTCCAGGTGCCAGACATCGCCCACAAGCACAAAGTAAGTCAAAGAAGAGGAGGACAAGCGTGTTGTGCGTCGTTCGTGTTGTTCTTCAAAAAAGGAGTCACCCACTCGTTTGTGCAGGAGTTCTGTATTTTTCGTTGTCTGAACTGCGAAGGTCGGTGAGAACACGGTGTGTTTTAGGCGACCTTGTTGAGGACGACGTTGTGGATGCTGTGCAGCTGGGTGCCCCACTTCTCGATGAAGCGGTACTTGGCGCTCTCCAGCCTGATGGTGCGGGACACAAAAAAAAGTGTTGGCGGTGGGCAAGCAGAGAGGAAGAAGTGAGGAAACGTACTCGCCACGGAGGATGAGGAGCTGGTTGACCTGGTCGATGTTGCCGTTGACCTTGTGGTCGAGGATGAGGAAGACCAACAACTCTTGCACCTCGGCAGCCGTGATGTTCAATTGCTGCACCAGGTGCCACGGACAAAGGTCAGTTCACCGCAGCGCGCACAAAACCGAGAAATAAAAAGCTGCGCGGTCGTAGAAGAGGGGCCACCTACCTTGGCGATGAAGGGAACGGCCACTCGGGTGTAGGGCCTGATGAGCTCGAGGAGCACCTTGGTCCTGATCTCCCGGAGGATGTTCTTGATGAACTGCTCGATGAAGGGATCGCCCATGATCACCGTCTTGTTCTCCTTGAGGATCTTCTCCACCCTGTTGATTTCGTTGTGCTGGTAGGCGTTGAGAAGGTCGGCCATGGGCTTGATCTCGGGGTTGTTCTGCAGCCTGTGGGCAACACGCGTGCGAACGCACAACAAGGCGTAAGCCCGAGTGAAGTAGAGGACAAGACACCACAGGCAGGGGGGGGACGTGCGTCTTGGCCTGGGCATCGGCGAAGGGGCTGATCTCGCCGAGCATGAGCATGGTGGCGACGACGATGTACTTGAGGCACGGAATCTTGAGGCGGAAGTAGGACTCCTCGAAGAAGTTGAAGGCCTCGAAGAAGGCGGCGTAGGCCTCCTTGTAGTTGTGCTGCTCCATGTGGAGCTTGCCGCCGACGAAGTGGAAGATGGCCAGCTTGCTGTTGAGGATGCCCGGGTTGTTCTTGGCCAGCGCGAAGCCCTTCTCGGAGAGCTCCTTCGTCTTCTTGCGGTCCTTGCGCTCCATGTGCAGCTGAATCTGCAGCGCGTAGACGTCGAGCAGCAGACTGGCCTTCTTGGGGTTCTCGCTGCCGTCGGGCAGCTTGCACGACTCCTCGAGCTCGGCCAGGATCTTGTCGAGCTGCTTCGAGTGGAGGCCCTTGTCGAACATCTTCTGCGCGAGCTTGAGGCTGGTCTTGGACCACAGGTTCTCGTTCTTGGCAGCCTTCATCGCGGCCAGGGCCTTGCCGTAGAGCTTGAGCGCGAGCTCGGTCTGCGCGGCGGCAGCTGTGGAGACGGTGTTGAGGATCTTCTCGATGCCCTTGAAGAGATCGTTCTCCGAGATGTCGTTGGCCTTGGAGTTGTACGTGAGCAGCTCGTCGAAGCGCTCCATGAGGCGCTTCTCGTCGCCCAGCTTGAAGGTGAAGCTGATGATGCGCTTGAGGGCCTTGAATGACCAGGAGCCGTGCTTGCCCTGCCAATCCTTCTCCATCTTCATCACTTTCTCCAGACCAGCAATGGCCTCGTCGATGCCCTCCTCATCTGCCAAATCTGTGTGTGCATGATTGCAGGTGGTCACCAAGTCATGCCATTGCGCGAACACCAGTTAATGGAATCATAATAATCCCCCCCCCAACAAAAGCAGCAGCACCATTACAACATTATACAGCATTTGCGGCACTGGTCTTACCTCTGCTCATGTGGTACTGATTGCGAATCTTGTCCTCTTCCTCGATTTCACCCTCAGAGCCAGACCCCTCCTGGTCGGATCCACCCATGTCAAAGTCTTCCTCCCCATAGTCGTCCATGTCGAACTCCTCATCCTCGTTCATGAAGTCTTCATCGTCCGACATTTTGGCTTAGGGTATTGTTTTACACTCGATGCAAAGCACTTTTTTCGTGAAGGTAAAAAGAAAATGGAAAGCCAAAATTAATGTGGCATGACTGAAGCATTTTCGGTGAAGCATTTGACACCTGACCCGCATACCGGGCATACCAGTGACATTTAATAACTGGTTATTAAAGGGTTGTTCTTCGAATGGGCCGCCCCTTCAAGGAACAAGCCCGCCACAAAGAGCAGGAGCGAACCGGGTAGGCCCATCAAACAACACTCGCACACACGGCATACTCTCATCATCAGATGGAAGACCAGAAGGTTGGTGGGAGGCACAACAAGACCAGCAAACTGATCCTGAAGGAGTTCCAGGACACCAACTACAAGTCCTTCTCGGACGGACAGATCACCATCACGTTCCCTCACAACGATGACCTCACCCACGTCAAGGTGGTCCTCACACCCACCGGCGGTCTCTACGCGGGCGCCACCGTCGCGTTCACCCTTCGGCTCCCGGCCGCCTACCCCAACGAAATCGCCACCGTACAATGTGTCAGCAAGATCTTGCACCCCAACATCTCCAAGACCGGAGCGGTCTGCTTCAACGTATTTGGTGGTACAATGCCTCTCCACCCACACACTGTTTTCACACTTGACGTGACTCACGGACATTCGTCTTGGCCGTGGTGTGTGTTCACACAGCTGAGTGGGACTCATGCATGCGGCTGGTCGACTACGCGCACTCGCTCCTGTGGCTCCTCTACCAGCCCAACCTCGACTCTCGCCTTAACTCTGAGTGCCCGCACAACGGCCACGAATTCGAGCGGCTGGTACGCTCAGCGGGCTTGCCACCGCGCGCAGCCGCAACGCCACGTCGCCTGACATGCTCGCTGTTGCCCCCTCTCAGGTCAGGTAAATGATCGAGCGTGAGGAGCGGCATAGACAAAGGCAAGTGCAGGTAACGCCCATCACGCCCCGGAGCGTGGAGGAGCTGGCCGCCCTGTTCCGAGAACGATCAAGCTCGAGGAGGAGAAAGCCCGACCAATCGTAGTGCCGGCGCCACGGCGTGCCGCGCGCAACCTGACGGAGACCGTGGAAGAAGCCTCTTCCTGACCCACCTCACCACAACAGATACACACAACATTGAACAAAGAGTGATGAACATACATTCAACGGTCTTCATGGCTGGCCAGCGATGGCCGGGGGAGGTGGGCAGTCGCTCGACAGCTGGTGGAGAGCGGCGGCGCAGGTGGCATCGGTGGTGGCGTGGGATCGGAGGAAGCGGGCGAGGAGAGCCAGCGCGTTGTGGGCCGTGCGGAGAGGAGTCGCCAGGGCCAGCGCGCGGCCCACCAGAGCCGCGGCACACAAGTGCTGTCGGGCGATGCACAGCGACGACGCAGCGAGGGCCAGCGTCGACGCCGCGCCTTCGCGAAGAAGGTGGCGGGTGAGGTGCGGGAAGTAGGGGGTGGTTGTGAAGCGAGGCAGGTGAGGCGACGCGACGATTGTGGCCAGCAGCTCGGCGTCCACCCACGGAACATTCTCGTCAGTGGCAGACTCCTGCACCATGCGCTCGACGGCGGCATCGGCGAGCGATGGGTAGCGCGACAGAAGGCAAAACTTGCAGTACACCCGCAACAGCTGGTGGGGATCGGCGGTGGACTGGCGGGCGCTCAGCGCTGCGGCTATGGCCTCCTCCTCCTATTACACAACCCAGCGAGTCAGGCGACATGAAAAGCAAGCCGCACCCCGCCAAAACAGATTGCGACGTACAGCTTGGTCGAGGAAGCGCGAGGTGGGTCCTCGCCGCAGGGAGATGAGCATGACGTCCTCTTCGAGGCGCACAAGTTCGCCCAAGAGTCGCGCCCACGACGCACGCCAAACGGACTTGCCCTCCTCCATCCTATCGCCGATGCCAGCCAGGGTGAAGATCGTGATGAGTGGTCACCGGGCGGGAGTAATAGCAAAGTACAGTGTAGCGGGCATGAAAAAATATACCAGAGCAGCAGCAATTGAGCCAGGTTCTGGATTTGCTCCGCGCTGGGCGACGACTCCAACAGCCGATCGAACAGCGCCACTCTCTCTTCCGCGGAATGAAGGCTTGCTCGCACGTCGTACTACGTGGCCGAGGTTAGACCAATGCCAACCGCGCGCGCAAGCTGGGAAGGGAAATGTACCTGACCGAGGTCAGGCCACGTTGTGAGCAGGATGGCCGTGGCGCGGTGCCGCGCGAGCGTAGTTGCGTCGTGGGTCGGGGCAGGGTCGCCGTCGCGGTTCTCGTGGCTCGTTTCCGCTTGTGGGCGGTGCCACCAAGCGTGAGGAGCGTCGTGTTGCGCCCAGTAGTCGAGGGCTTGCCCAACGATGATACGGCCTCGCACATCTGGCAGGCTCAACTGCACTTGCTGCTCCTCTGTGGAGACCGCGTCAGGGTTCAGGAAGGCACGGAGGCGGCCAGACACGCTCCGTCGGGCGCTCTCGATGTGTTGTGCCAACGCCGTCGTCGAGTCATTCTCGTCTTCGCCGCAAAGCGAGGCGAGGAGTCGCAACAGGGACGGCAAAAGAGCGGAGCGCGGAACTGGGTCCCATGGCAGCAGAGACGAAGGCGTGTCGGGTGCTTCATGCGCCTGCGAGGTGATGGCGGCCATGTCCTTCTCGGCCAGGGAAAACGACGGGGGCGGGAGTAGCTCTTCTTGCCAGGCTTCCGCGTTTCTAGGTGACACGAAAAACATAGGAGGCAGATTAGATCCGAGAGTGACCGGAAAGTGAGAAAGCGAGAAAGAGAGAAAATGAAGGAGGAGGCGATGTGGGAATGAGGGGATTGGTGGGGAGAGAGGTGGTACTGGGTAGCGGCGGCGAGAAGGTGCGTGAGGGCGGATTCGTAGAGGAGGGCCAAGGAGGAAGGACCCGACCCGAAGAGGGAAGAGAGGGCCGGCGAGCATGACGTCAGCTGCCGCAAAAGCCGCAGCAGCGCCCCAGAACGGAGGCCGGAGCACGCCATCTGTTGCAAGCGCACGCTCACCGCCTGAGGGCGCGTGGGTAGGTGTGATCAGACAGTGCCGCTGGGTCAGGCGGGCGGGGACGGTGGTACGTCAGCATCGGCGTTCTGCAATCGAGGAGCAAGGAAAGTGGCCAGGTCGGTGAAACTCTGCGCCGAGGCCTCCGGGTTGCGCAAGGTGTGTTCCAAGCTCTCGATGGCCACCTGATGCGCGTGATCGGACATATAAGCCACACGTGCGGGCGACTGGTGCCCGATAGGAGGTGTGGGGGCAAAGGTCCCAGCGAGGAGGGCGTACGAGGTACTCAGGGAAGGTGTAGCGTCGCGCAAGGGTGAACGCCACGGTGAGCGCGGCCTTCTTGGAGGTGCGACCCAGCCCCAACAGTACCTCCTTTCTGAAACCAGTGATGGACAGCGTGTGAGAGAGGGTCCATTATATTCATGATCGGAGATGAGTGAGCGAACATACCCATAAACCTCGTCTGTGGTGAGCCGGTCCTTGTCGACGTCGCCGCTTACCTCCGCCAGCTGTCGTTCTTGTCGGGCGGTGCAAAGCCGGGCGTAGCTGCTCTTGAATCGACTCAGCGTTTCTTCAATGGGCGCCACGTTGACCCTGAATGGGGATAAACGATGAGCGAACAACCCGGGAATCGATCGAGGGACGTCCACGTACTTGTGCTCTTCGAGGAAGCGACCATCGAGCAGGTCCTGGAGCCGCTGCACTACCGAGGCCATGTCCTGGTCATGGAACAGACTCTGGTCCACACCCGCCTGCGCGTGCGTGCGGACACCAGGAACGAAAGTAAGAGGGCATTGTCCCAACCATGGGCCATCTGAGTGTCACGTGTCGTACCAGGGTGAGCGAGGGCACGGCGTAGAGCAAGTAGATCAGACAACGGAGGGCAAAGTAGTAACAGCCGGCCAGCCTCCACCTTTCCTCCTCGGCGCGCATCGCGCCCCAGTCACCATCACGCGCCCGGTTGGCCATGTCTTCGAAGAGCTCGCCTGCCGCATCGTCCTGGACAAATTGCGTGGGCCCTTGCGCTTTAGGAGAGCGCAGTGAGTGATGCGCATGCGCGATGGGGTACCTGATCAGCCGCGGCGAGGTAGGCAAACGTGAGGGGAAGATCGACGTGGGCGTTGGCTCGCGCCAGCCGGGCCACGAGGCTCGGATCCGGTCCCTCACCGCCGGCAACCAGCGACAAGCGGAGAAGGGCTTCGTCTGCTCCAATCTCGGTGTGTGGCGTCTCCTCCACTGATCTGTGCGACGATGCCAAGCCGAGATCAGCTCCAAAGTACAGAGAAAGGTAGAGAACGGGGAGGAAAGTGTGTTGAGCACGCACTCCTTGTGTTCTTGGTGGTGTTGGGGGGAGTAGAAGGGGTGTGTCGGGAAGAAGCGCGCGGCCTTGAGTCTCCGCGACTCCGCTGCCGTTGCGTTGGACAGCACCTGCAGCTCTTGACTCAACATTGTGCTCACGATGCCCTGCTCCGCCTCGTCCTCGTTCGCCGTGGTCGCCTCGCTTTCTGCAAACGCGCAGACCGTCAGCGAGCTCAGCTGCAGTTGGAATCAGATATCAGAGAGACGCGTGCTTACCGGTCTTGTTGACTTCCATAGGTGCGGCGGCTAGAGTTGCGTCCGCCTGCACACGGGCTTCGAGCTGCCGGTAGAGCGCCAAGAGATCGCCCACCGCGGTAACCTCGCAGTGACTCAGCGCGAACGAAGCCTGCGTGCAAGTGGGTGTGTGAGTGTACGCGCAAAAGTAAGAAATGAAGAGGGCTTTGCACGAACCAAGGACAGCCGCGCGCGAACATCGCGGTAGTCCTGTGCACGAGCCAAGTCGGCGCAAATGGCGCTCACTGTCGTGTTGCCCAGGCTCATCAGCTTCTGGCAGACCTGGGTATCAATCATCGGAATATTAGAGCCCGCAACGTGGCAGTGTGACCATCATTAGGGAAAAGAGTACTTCGTGCGCAGTCTCGTAGTCGTGCTGCTCGAAGGCAGCACGGGCGATGAGCAAGCTGATCTTTTCCTTAGTTTCCACACTCGCGCCCAGCAGCGAGCCGACCTGCTGTAATTCATCCACTTCCTTGTACACCCTGCGATGAATTACAGATGTTAGCAACAACAGAATCGACAGCACATGCCGATTCTGTACGCACTCGGGATTGGTCTCGAGGAGCTGAGCCACCAGTTGGTCCACGGCGTTCAGGCGTAGCCTTATCTGCACGGGGAGCAGGTGCAGTCCGAGCCTGTGGCGATGGGCGCGTTAGTACAGACCTGCCGTTAATGATGTCTTGGGGTGGGGCAGCATTACTTGCTCAGAAGCTTGACACCGTCGATGAGGTCGCGCTCGGCGGCAAGCGAGGCAGAAAGGGGCACCATTGAGAGACTGTTGGTGGTTTACAAATCGAAAGGAAAACGGTCAGCGGTCATCTGCGGCGCAGTTGGTGCTGTGGTGCAGGGTAGATACCATCGCTTGGCCATGGCCATCTCGCGGTGGTGCGGTGACGCTGCCGAGTTAAAATGAAGTCGCGCTGCCTCCACTATCAAGTCCTCAGCAGTGGCCCGGCCCAGCTGTCGCAGGTACTCTGCCGCCAACTCGAAGCCTAGCGAACCCAATGGAGTCCCCGTTAGCAGGCAATCACTAACTTGGCGCCAACAGCGGCCTTGAAAAAGAGGCTGGCATACGCCCAGTGTGGAGCAGGGTCGAGCAAAATAGCCTGTAGCAGAACTCGTCGCCGATGTTCGTGAAGACCTGCGCGGAGGGGATATCGGGCGTGGGTAATGAGAGCAATCGAGGAGTGCATCGCGGTGAGGTGTACCTGGTCTCGAATGATGAGCATGTCCCTGAGGAGGTCGATCCACACCTGGTTAGCCTCGCCTCCGCCCCGCACCACCTTTTGGGCCATGCGGTGGAGGAGCGCGTGTGCCGTGCTCAGGTCTGCCGGGTTGGCCTCATACTGTTCGAAGAAGCTCATCGGCTGTGCGAGCTCGCTGGGGAGGAAAGTAGGAAATTTGGAAAGTGCGCCGTGAGCCGCTCTCGTGTCTGAGGAGGCGAAGGACACAAGAAAGGCGTACTATTTGAGAAGAATCTCATTGGTGTTGAGGTGCTTCTCCAGCCGGTCAGCGCGGCTATGCAGCTCCGTATCGTCCTCGGTCGCTCCGACCACTCGCTCCGGAAGTGACTAAAAGAATGTGGAGGGGAGAGGTAAATCTCTTAAGACGTTGCACATGGCGGGCACCGGGACACGCTGGCTGGGGTACCTCGAAGATGATGCCCATCTGCTGGATGGCGTGAGCAGAGGTAGCAGGGCAGGCGTAAACCACTTCCAATGCAGTCCGCATGAGTTCTAGGGGAGATTGTATGATGCGGTTCTCCTCCGGATTGTCTTTGGTCGGCCGGCTCGCCTGCAACGCACGTTAACCTTCAGTTCGGTTCAGAGAGGCGTGAGGGAAGGAATCCGTACCTGTATGATGAGGGCGCACCAGTGAAAGCGGTCGCCTTGGGCCACGCTCACCATCCACTGGCGCAGCAGGGAGGTTTCGTCAATGTTGCGCTTTCGCAGCCGCTGCAGGAAGGGAAGAGCCCGCGTCTTCATGTTCCTCATCAGCGTCGCGTCTGTCGAGTCGGCCAGGAGCAGATGAAGCTTGGCATCGTCGCTCAGGTCGTGGAAGCGATGGAATGTGATGAAGGCGTTCGACGACGATGCACGGGCCTCGATCGCGTGAGATAGCTGTTTGGGGTCACTCCTTGCGGCGGTCGGTGTGGTGTGGGTGTGTTGCAGGGCCTCGTCGTCATCGTAAACGAGGGAGGAGAGAGTAACCAGCTCGTTGTGCACCGCCTCGAGCCCCTTCACGCCTCTTCTAAGACCGCACTCGATCAGTATCAGCGCGTTCTCCAGTTGGCCTGACGTCTCATCGATCTCCTTGGCCCTGCACGTCACGGTGAACAGGGCGCTCGGGGTGAGCACAGGGGCTGTGCCAGCAACAGCGCATGACAGTAGAACCAGGTTCACGTACCTGTCCTGGTACCACCGTTCTATTTGCTCCAGCGAAAGCTCCATTCCCGCCGCGGCAGGTAACGTTTCCTCTCTCACCCTCTCGGCGAAATACTGCTTGTCGTCGTAGTACACGTCCTCGTTGTTCCTAAAGTCCTGGCGAGTAGCGTCTACTCCAAATGACATCAGAAGAGGTTAGTGACAGGTCAACGTGGTAGTTGCTGGCGGGCTACTGCGTACCCGCGACCACAGCAGAGCCGGACGAAACAGAGGACGACGATGCTGATGGCGGCCGAGGCGAGGCACCCGAGGATGACGAGGCGTGGAGCAACGAGTACATCTGCTGGAGATCGTTCTTTGAGCTGATGCCCAGGGCAGCCAGGATGTCGTCCTCCTCCACCCAATCGGATTCGCGGAATGGCGTGGCTTGCTTGTCTGCAGAAGACGTGCGACGCATCAGAAGAGAACGAGCGAGAGGGATTGCGAGAGTGAAAAGTTGCCAGAGAGCGGAGAACGGACCTGGTAGGGAGAGGAATGGAGGCAGAAGCCGCTCGTAGCTGGAGGGCGGGGTGGTCTCGGGACACTGCGATAAGATCTCCAGGAGGTGGGGCACCAGAAGTTCAAGGTGGCGGGCGAGCATGACCTCGACCGCGTCAAAGTTTTCGTCCCGGGCGTACTCCTTGGCAGCCGCCAGCAGCTCGCAGCTTCGGAATTTGAGGAATGTCGATGCGCAGAACTCGTCTGCGAGCGCAACAAGAGGAGTGAGCCGCCCGAGCGAGGAGGAGCAGATGAAAGTGTGGCCAAACGTACTGTCTTTGATTATCTGGCGGAATGTGCGCAGTCGGTCGAGGTACTGCAAGAACAGTAGCCGATGCAAGCAAAGCTCCTTGTCCCCGCCCGATAGCCTGCGGTGGGAGAGTTAGTTGGCTGTTTGTTGTAGTGAATGGGTGGATGTACGAGAGGTTTGCACCGTTTGGCAACAGGCTTGGTGAGTCCGAACGAGAGACTCGAGCTCGCAGTCGTGCCAGTGCGGTCAACACTGTCGGATGCGCGGTATTCATACATCCACGTCGGCACCGTGTGTTGTAGTCCTGTGGCCGATAGTCGTACGATTAGATGGGTACCGATTCAGTCCGCGCGTGCACGACAGTACCGTATTCCAGGAGGAGTTCGACGGCTTGTGGCTCATTGGGTACGCGTCTGTGGCACTCCCACAGCACCCAGCGCTGATCGTAAATACGGTTGAGGTAATTCTGCGTGTGGAAGCAGAAGAATATGATGAGTAAACTGAATGCAGAACCAGAAGGCCAAGGTGGAGCACCTTGACGGACTCTGGGCTGACAGGTGCAGCTGCCCATTGCTTCTGGTACACAAGATCTGTGTTGAGGTTGTACACCTGCGCTAGATTGAGCGCTTCCTCGTACCTGGACACAGAGGAAAAGTTGAGTTGGTTGAGGGAGAAAATGTGAGAAGGGGCGGAGCAGTACCGCTCCTGCTGCAAGAGCTTGAGACAAAGCTTGAGGGGAGTAGTCTGTCTGAGGGCGAGCAGTCGGTAGGTCTTTCGCAAGTTGAGGCGACGCATCATGGATGCACTGCAGATGTGGTTGGTTAGGCCATTGGTGGCTGATAAAGGAGGAAGCTGAACTGAGCTACGAACCTCAGGGAGTTGAGCCACCAATCGGGGCTCCAAAAGTGTTCGGCCACTTCCCAGGCGTAGTTGCGCAGCCACTGCGCCAGCCACCGCAATGTACTCAGCTCCTGGGGCGTATCGGCAGGGCGGCTAACCAATCACACATTTGATTAGCAGCGCCTTGTTGCGCAGAATTGTGTGCGATTAGAAGTTACCGGTTGGTACGGTGCTCGAGAGTCGATGAGTATGCCACCGCTACAGACTGCTGGCGACATTCGAGGATGAACGCCTTGTGGCCGGCGATGCTGGTGACCGACGGCTGCTTCTCGAATATCTCGGCGGCGCCAGACAAGCCTGTGCGTAGAGGGTACGCGGTCAGGACTCAACCGAGCAGCTGTATGTGGGAGATGGGACGAACCAAGAAGATTCTGAAGGTGATGGAGTGGGGAGATGATGACCTCGCCAGTGGCGAAGGCGAGAAGCAAGAGCTCGTCGGACCACCATCCCAAGTCCACCACTGCGCGAAGGGGAAAAAATGATTGGAACGTGCAGGAGAGGCCACAAAAGAGCCATGGAAAGGAGGAAGCAAACCGTGGGTGACGACTCGGGAGGAAGTCGCCGGCGGGAGGGAGGTGATGAGGAGGGAGAGCTCCTCGGAACTCCAGCTGGCCAATTGAGTGTAGGACGGACCCACCGCGGTGTGCACGTCCACTCGCCCCGTGAGGTCCACGACTGCGATCTTGTCACCGCTGGGCGAGAACACGGCCTGCAACGGTGCACAGGTGAGCAGATAAGGACCGAGTTGCCCGCGGCAGTGCAACGTGCCTTGTGATAGATGGCCTTGGTCTTGGACTTCGAAAAGTACTGGGTGACAGGGGCGAAGATCCCTCGGCCGGCCATGTGGTCCGCATGGGTGGCGTGCATGGTACTGTGAGCCAGCACAAAATGTGGGGCATTGTCGGACAAGTGCCACAAAGACAGCGATCCCTCTGCATACCACTGGAAGGTGAGCATGGGGATCGAGGTGAAGAAGGATCGATGGGTCGCACCGTCCTTGGAGCGGTCGCCCAAAGGGTGGGGGCCTCCAGCGATGGCAAGGAGATCAGACCGAGAGTAGTAAGCGATGGCCCCAACGCTGTGGTGGTAAGTGCTGACATCCAACGCTCGAATGTCCGGTGATGCAGGGTCGATGCCGATGGCGAGCTTGGGCAATGGAAGCCGCCACACTTTCCTCTCGTGCGTGATGAGAATAAGCTCGAGTCTGGTGGTGTCAGACGGGTGAAGTAAAACAACACATGAAAGCACTGCGAGAGGCTGACGAACGCACCCTTGCCTTCTTATCTACGGGGCCACCTCGGCGGAACGCAAGGCCGGCCAGAGCCTTGCCCATACCCAGCTGGCGAACGTCAAAGGTGTGCTTGACGCTACCCTTCTGTAGGACTGATAGGCGACGCAAGTGAAAATGAAGTGAGCTCAGCGCTGCAGCACACTGCAGCCAACTGCGCGTACCGTATACGAGGCCTGTAACGGTGCCGACGGCGAAGTACTTGGAGTCTTCAGTCCACGCACAATAGCGCCATTGGGAAGCTGGTCCCTGCAGCGGGGCAGGCACTGCAAGAAAAAGCGAGGTCAGTCATCTACTCGTGCACCTGGACGAGGAGGAGAGAACGCACTCTTCCACGTCATCTTGGTGATGCGGAAGTTGTCGGCGGCATAGCGAAAAGACACCTGGAGGTTCTGCACTATGGCCAACGCATCGCCAGCAGGCGACAGAGCGAGAGTCCATTCGGGTGCGCCCCTGCGATGCTGCCTGAGGGCAGCGGGAGCCCACCGCACCACTGCACTCACCGACTCGGCACCATAGAGTGATGACAGGCCCAGCTCACTCAGAGCTGCTGGCACTAGCTCCTGCCAGAACCACTGCAACTGTGCTGCCGCCAGCTTCAGTGGACCCAGGCGACGTAGCCTCACATCTTCCTCCTCCTGCAAAGCAGTGGAATAATAAATCAACTTCACATTCGTGCCAAGCAGTCGATTGCGGCACTCTAGAGAAGGGAAAGGTTTTACCTGCTCCTCATCGTATGTCCATCTGTCCTTGGGCGAGAGATCCAGCAAATCGTACAAGACTCGAGCAGATGGGCGTGCTCCTTCCCCTTCTTCTTGATCGTGCTGTCCAGCGCTGCCGTCTGCCCAGTCATCCTCTTCCCTCTCCGCGTGTATTGCGTCTTCATCTTCCATCTCGCTCATCGTTGGCCCACGCACTCAAAGAAACGTTCAAGAAATTTTTTTATTCTGATTTTCCCTGCCTTTTTAACCGGCGAAAGGACAGAAGTCTGGGGCACAGGCGGGTTAGGAAAAGGTAAGGCTTATCTACGTCTCCAATAGGGAGCACAGGGGTGGACCTCAAGACATAAAAGAAAGTGAGAATGAGGAAAGGGAACTGCGAACGGGGCGACCAAGATCGCCTGTGAGCCATGGCAACCAGCACTACTGACCACAAGGATGCACGTGGGAGGGAGATCTGGTAAAAAGGTATTCTTGGGGTTATTCTTACCCGCCGTTTGGGTTCCCTAGGGCATGGCAACGAACCGGTCACCATTATCAAGGCACTGACTCGACAGTCCTTTCGTTATCGCCTCCACGTATCTGCAACACCTCCAGCGCCCTTAGACCACGTCATCCTTCTCCAACAGCTTCACCGCCAGCTCCACACTCTCACCCAACGCTGAACCTCGGAAATCCCTCCAAACCTGCCAAGCCGAGACTAGACTTCAACCCTCTTCTTCTTCTTCTCTCTCTCTCCCCAAGGTTCCTCCTCTTAGGCTCGGATCGCCGCCACCCCACACCATGCACACTACCGCCAAGAGCCCCACGCCCTCTCGACCGGCCCGACTCATGGACAACCTGGAGTTTCGCAGCCGGCTGTCATCGTGGAGCAACAAGCAGCACCAAGACCATTCCAAGGCCGGCACCATCCTTTGGTACGTCTCTCCTCTGTCTGTCGTCTCGGAGGCAATTACCTGGCAACCGTGCGTCACAAAAATTGCGTTTTTTGGCCTTTCTTGTCTGACTGTGCGGCGACCCGACAGGTTGCAGGAGAACTACGAGGTGGGCTGCCGGGAGTCGATCGCCAAGGAGGACGTCTACCACCACTACGTGGCGCACTGCCAGGCGGAGGGGACCGAGCCCCTGCGCGCGTCGATGTTCGGAAAGCTGGTCCACCGCGCCTTCCCGGGCCTCAAGAGCTCCCGCATCGGCACCCGAGGCGCAACGCGCCACTCCTACAAGTCCTTCCGTCCGCGAGACGCCTACGCCATGCCATCTCAGGCCGCTGCCAAGGGAGGCAATATCGCCTCGCGCTCGGCCGGGACGAGGAAACCCGAACGACCAGTAGTGCCGCTGGTGCAGGTCAAGCAGCAGCTGCCGGACGAGGGCATGGACAGCTCCGTCGACTCCAGCAGTTATCCATCCTCGCCGATGTCGTCCTACTCCCCTCGGCCGCAGGGCCAGGACGAGCCCCGTGGCCAGGTCTACCGGCAGTACGCCTACAACTACTACAACGACTCCTCGCCTACTTCCTTTTCCTCGCCGACTCTACCTTTCGAGACCTTCTCCTACACTTCCAACGCCTTCTCGGCTTATCTGCTCCCGCGAGCCTCCGAGTGGACCACCTCGAAGCCCCAGGAGCTCCAGTCAGCCGACTGCGCGTGCGAGGAGTGCAACCAGCTGGCGGCAAGCTGGAGTGGAGCTGTACGTGGTTCAGGACCAGCCTATCTCCCCGGATCTGGCCCCAGCGCCGGCAGTTTCTACGGCCCCGCCAGCGAGAACAGCTACTGGGCCACCCAGGACAGCAACATGATGAGGCGCCAGCTCCCGATGCAGTTTGCGGACTACCTCTGCCGCGACCTAGAGGCAGAGCGCTTTACTCGCTAGTCAGCACACTCTGTAAATAAGATACAATCTGTACATGCGGAACCATCATCTCCTCCAGCGATCAGGACATGGCTACCAAGATCACCCTGTTTGCGTGTATCTGGTATGAATAATCGAGTTCACCAAGCTCTGCAGAGCACACGGTTACACCCCTGCGCGCCAAAAGGCAAGCACATTGAAGGATGGAAATGATCAAGAAATTGTTTAGGGAAATTACAACAGAATAATTCGAGTTCGTCGTGCAGGACGCGTTTTATTCGCGTTGTTGTTCACGCCTCCCTCGTCTTCGTTCATCGCGATGTTGAGGGAGCTGCACAAACAGCGGGCCGGTGTGACGTCGCCTCTCAAGAGCCAACAAGGGGCAGTGAGCAAGAAAAGTGGGGCTGGCCGGAAGGGTTCGGCAACGTGGGGCAGTTCGGACCTAATTGTGGCCCCCCGCCCATCTTGGGTGCCCGATAAAAATGCCACCGATTGCTACCTCTGTGCCGCTTCCTTCTCCATCATGAACCGACGGGTAACCTACCTTCCCAACTTCCCAATTAATCAGATTGCGGAAAATCCCGTACTAATGATGAATTCATTGCTCGTGGGGTTTGCTCTCCCTTTTCTCGTGCGGCCTCATCTCGAAAAGCATCACTGCCGTCAATGCGGAAGTACGACATCATTCACTACCTGAGCTTTCATCCCATCATTTCATTAACAACGCTGTTTCGCAAGATGTATTTTGTGGGCAGTGTACACGATTCAGGAAGGGTCTGCCAGAGATGGGCTACTCAGCCTCCAATCAGCTTCGGGTGTGTTTCACCTGCTACGCGCTCCCCGTCACCGACTCCATCGCTGCCGTACGGTTCTTCGCTTTCATGAGGTTGTTTGACCCCCAACTCAAACTCAACACCTTCTTGGATGCATGCAGGCCGCCAAGAGGAAGAGGGATGCCGGGGACAGCGGCCAGAGTCTCTACACCAGCACAGCGCGCCAACGCCCCTCGCAACGAGAGGCAACCAGTGGTGGCAGCAGCCGCATGTCAAGGCGGAATCCAACACCTCCGCCTGCAATGCCCAAGCGATCGGCCTCCGCTCCCACGAGCCCTGCATCTTCTCCTCACCCATCGCCTCCGACGGCGAGCAACGAGCAGCATCATCAACAACACCAGGAACACACGACGCCCGAACAGCCAGGAAAAGAGGAAAGAGGGAAGCACGTGATGAACGCCGACGGAAGCGGCACGGGAGCGTACAACCCACTCATTTTGGATGGGACCGCCCTTCGACGAGAGAGCCGTGGGGACCGCTACGAACAAGAGATACAACCAATGGAGAACGAACGCGAAGAGGAAGAGGAACGGGAAGAGAAGGAGGGGTCGGGTACTGCAACTACCACCAACAACGTGGAAGGCGAGGCGATGAGCGAGACAGGCAAAACATCAGAAGCCACCTTGCTACCCTCGCTCCAGGACAGTTCGCCACTCTACACCGATCCCCCGCCCTCTGGTAGTAGGGTCCCCGTACATTCTCGTCTCACCGCAGCGTCGCCCGTCGCTGTGCCTCCGCTCCTGCTCGCCTCCTTGCCCACCAAAGCGCCGTAGGCGGGGTGGTACCAGAAAAGGAAAACACAAAACTAAAGCCTGTATTTATTATGATTGGTGGCGGATGACGTCAGCCCATTCTACGGGCGGGCCGTGTGGCCAACCAAAACTAAAAGTTCGTGGCCACCACAAAACAAAAGATGTCGCTGTCACGGCTCGGCGCCCGCACGGTTCCGCCGTCACCGGTGGAAAGGTACCTGGTGCTGGTGCCCCCAGGTGGGGCAGAAGGGGAAGAAGAAACGTTGGCAGCCCCTACCCCTCCTGCTTCAACTCTCCCGCCCCACTACCAGCGCCTCTCCGCCTGCCTTCCACGTTCGCCACTACTTTTGTCCTCCTCTTCTTCTTCCTATTCCTATTCCTCTCTCTCTTTCTCCTCCTCGGCCCTACCCATCACAGTCCGCCCTTCCACAACTCAGAACGAGAGTGAAAGTGAAAGTGAGAGCGAGAGCGAATGTGAAAGTGAGAAAGAGGAGGGCGAAGAAGAGGTGGTGGGCCACCGTGCGGACCCACCACTCGTGGCTACGAGTGCAGACGAGAGTGCCAGCGGAGGTGCGGCGGTTACAACCGTGGTGTGGCGGCCCGACCACGAAGTCGAACTCTGCACCGAGTGCGGCGCACGCTTCACCCTCATCCTGCGAAAAGTACCCACGCCCTTCCACTTTTCCCCCTCACTGAGTCCAGTGGCTGACGACGGTGATTGGATACCGTGTGCACATTCGTGTATGCACCTCATACTTTGTGGTTTGGGCCAGCATCACTGTCGGGGTTGCGGAGGTGCGGCCCCACACGTATCAATCGAGCGCAGCAAGAGTGTACATGCGCTAACCCTATCCCGTGACAGAGATCTTCTGCGACCAGTGTTCAGGACACCGGAGGCAGCTGTGGGCCAATTCTGAGGCGGTGCGGGTCTGCCGCATATGCGCCTCATCCGCTTCCCTCTCGTCGTCCTCTTCTCATGGTACAGCATCTGTCAAACGCGTTTGCAGCTCTTCACATTAGACACGACCACTTACAAACCTCGCTTATGGTTCGAGGTGCAGGTGGCTCGCCGTTTTCTCTGCCCGCGCTCTTCTCTTTCCCCCTTCCCCAATACAAGCTCCTTGATAAAGGCACTCCCCAATCCCGCCTTACAAGATGAACCATTACCATTGCGTTTGCTCACTTCTCTGAGGATTAGGCCAAGAACGGAGAGAAAAGCGACACAAGCGACCACCCACTCCAGGCCCATCGCCACGAACGAAGTTGCCGGCCTCACACACTCTCTCTCCGTCTCACAAAACCTTACTTCCCCCAAGGCCTTCCTCCGCTCCGACGTCTCCCCGCACCGAGCACCGTCACCGACCCCGTACGTCGGTTCTTGCCACGCACTGGTGTGGCACAACTGAAACAACGCGAGTCTGGTGCTGAGGCTTCTTCTTGCCCACCACCACCACAACAGGTCAGGAAAGGAGGCAACTCGTCATGGACCTCTTGCAAAAGGAGAAGATCTACCTCTTCCGCCTGCACCTCATCCTCGAGGTACTCAGCGGCTGACTTGGCGTGGTGTGGGCATGGCTCTGATATCTGGATGTTGGTGCGGACAGCATCTGGGCAAACCCCTGCGCAAGTTCAACTCGCTCGACTACCTTGATCTCCACAGTGTACTCGATCCCTTCGTATGCCTGCTGTGCGGTGGGTATCGCACTCACCTTTGATCGCACACATAGATGCTAGTGCACATGGAGACCATCTACCGCTGCCACTCGAGCCTCTATCATACTCTGCTGAGGATCGCCCGGCAATGGGGCACCCACTCTACTATTGGTGATGTGTTCCTCCGCCAGGTACGTGCCCTCGTAGTATGGCACGGCGATGATGACGCTCTTTGATGCGTGGGTGTGCAGACAGAATGGATGGGAGCGCACTACGCTCCCTATATGTGCGCCTACAATGTGGCCCTGCACACCCAGCGTCTCCTGCCCACCGTGCCCGAGTTCCAACCGCTCCGAGAGGTGCCAACTTCACCCTCACGTTTGAGTAAGTTGAGGTATGACCTCAACTTACTCTGCACAGGAATTTGAAAAGAGGAAGGAGGTGGGTGGAATGCCACTGGAAGCGTTCTTGCTGCTGCCCATCCAGCGAATCCCCAGCTACAAGCGCGCCCTCAAGGTACAGGCCCTGCCCTTCACAGGCCTACTTGGGCTTTGCTTTGTTTTGTTGGTGACGCCAAAGATGTTACACACACGACCAGGAGATGAGCCGCAACACGGAGGAGGACCATCCCGATTGGCAACTGCTTCAAGCCGCCATCAACCTGCTCGACCGTCTCCTTGCCGACCTCTCCTCGCGCGCTCGCCTGATCCGCACCTCCACCAAGCCTTCGTCGCGCCCCATCCATGGCTCGTAGGCGAGAGTAGAATGTCCAAACGCCCACCTTTGGGCCAAACAGCGGAGTTGTAATTCTTCGTGTTCCTGCTTTGGGTCAGGAGCGGTTCCTGTCCCGCTTTGGCGCCCACACCGAGATCAGTACAAAAACAGACCAGCACTTTATCGGCGAGGCAGCGACTGGTGGAGGATGGTGAGGTGGGCTCCTTTAAACGTGCCGTGGTCGCGGCGACTCCAAACATGTACTACGCGCTTAATCTTGAAGATTTGTTCATTAGTTTGCTCGTGAAGTCACATCGATTAATCGTTAATCCTGCTGGTGCGTAAATGGCCCAGTGGGTGTGGTCTTCTGGGTTATATTGAGCCCCTTGGTGCTGGTGCCTCTCTCGTTGACGCTCTACGTCATGCTCCTCCCCACCATGTGGCCCGTCCTCGTGCCGTATGTCTTATGGTATCACTGCACAACCCCATGCACGCTGAAGTGAGCGGGCACAAACGCTGACCACAAGTCGTGGCTACAGGATCATGTTCTTTGACAAGGCACCCATTCAAGCCGGCAGGCCTAGCAAGTTCTTCCGCACATTGCGCATCTGGACCCTCTTCAAGTACGACCATCACCTTCCACCCAAGCAGCGCGCGTCACTGGCACCAGACTGGATCATACTCTAACCACTTAACCAATGTCTGTTTCACTCTTATCAGGGACTACTTCCCGATTGAGCTGATCAAGACAGCCGACCTGAAGCCAGAGAAGAACTACATCTTTTGCTATCACCCTCATGGTGTCATTTCTCTGGGCGCTATCAGCAACTTCGCCACCGAGGCCACTGGCTTCTCAGAGAAGTTCCCTGGTAAGTTGATTCCCCAACGCTACTTGCCAGGTGCGCCTGAGTCTCACGCAATCATCAACAGGGATCGACCTGCGAGTGCTCACGCTGAAGCTCAACTTCTACACTCCCTTCGCCCGTGAGTTCGTGCTGGCCGCTGGCATGTGCGACGTGTCGGCGACCTCTTGCCACTATAACCTGTCTCGTGGCCCGGGCAGCTCCATCCTCATTGTCATCGGTGGTGCCCAAGAGGTAAGCGCTGTCCTCAGCCTCTTTGCTCCACACTGTTCTGACGAAGACACGCCGCCTATTTCAACCACACCACGCACGCTTACAGGCGCTGGACGCACACCCTGGCATCAACAACCTCACGCTCAAGAACCGCAAGGGCTTCGTTAAGGTCGCCCTTCAGCATGGTGCAGCTCTGGTGCCCATATTCAGCTTCGGCGAGAACAACCTCTTTGCCCAGATTCCCAACCCCAAGGGCAGGTGCGTCCACGCTCCACCTCGCCCTTTGCCTGCAATCTCTTATCTCTGGCATGGAACTTGATCGCCGTGTTGGTGTGCGTGATTGCTTGGCGAACGCAGCAAGTTGCGTAACTTCCAGGACATGTTGCAGAAGAAGCTGGGCTTCTCCATGCCGCTCTTTCAGGGGCGCGGGGTGTTCAATTATGACTTTGGAGTACTCCCCCATCGACGACCCATTACAACTGTTGTTGTACGTGCCCCTTCCTCCTCGGAGTGTGAATGGGCGTTGCGAGTTGAGTGGAGTCATGACGTCTCACCATTCTCCTTTAGGGCGAGCCGCTCGAGCTACCCCACTTGACCGCACCAACACAAGAGCAAATCGATGAATGGCACGCCCGCTACGTGGAGGCCCTCGTCGCGCTCTACAACCAGTACAAGGATGTCTACGACAAAGATCGTAAGAGCGACATCCAGATCCTCTAACACGCAAGACTTCTTTTTGTGTCAGTCCCCACCCCTGTTCGCGAGCCACTGTGGATAACTGTGCGGGTCACTCGTGTAATCCTTGCTGGTGGAGGAGTGCGACTTTGCCAAAGCTCTCGCAACTCACCGTCACGTACTTTGTGTACCACAGTGTCCGTTGCACGCTAGCGAAGCCATAAGGACAGGCTAGCGACCTGTGAGGCAAGAAGAAGAAGAATGTAAGAGCTCTTGCCGCCCCAGGTCAGACCCAACATCCCACTTTATCCCCCGCTTGCCAAAGAGCTAGGCGTTGAGGACGCGCCAAATCGGCTCTTTCCGGGCGAGCGTGCGCGGGGGCACGTGATAGCTGCCGCCTCGGGACTGGCAGTGGCCTGGACGCCGTCCGGCATGCAAGGCAGCTTTTTATTTCTCGCTCTTTGCTCGTTCTCTTTCTTTGCTCCCTCTTGTTGCCCTCAGTCTCGTACTACCGCCTTTGCCATCTGCTCTCGGGTACGGCAACCTTCGTCTTACCTTTCTGTCGTTTTGTTTGAAGAAATCTGGCATCTTTGATTTTAAATTACTCAAATTTTCATCATCAATCGCTGATCTTCATTGTTATCACTGCAGATTCTACCGCGGATCGCCATTCCAAAATGAATTCGTACTCTGCGGACTGGGCCACCAAGCTGTACGATCTCGCGCACGTGCATGGGCCATATCTTGCGGCTTCGACCATCATCTGGACGGCCATCTACCTCGCGTCAGCGCCCATCTCTCGCCGCGTCTCAGCCACCTACCGCGGCCTGCCCTTCAAGCTCAAGATGCAATGGGACAATCGCATCGTGGCCTTCCTGCACGCGGTCGTCATCTGCTACGCTGCCTTCTGGGGTCTGTTGTGCGACGAGCCGCTCAAGGCGGACCATCTGCACGCCTACTCGACCTGGGCCTATGCGACCATGATCACCGCCTGCGGCTACTTCATCTGGGATGCGGTCATGTGCATTATCTACTTCAAGGAGTTCCAGCTGGGCTTCCTGCTTCATGCCCTCGGCTGCCTCTTCACCTTCCTCGGCTCTCTCGTACGCCTCCCGTTCATTATAACGTGCAAATAATCGTCGATCTGATCTTTCACGCACACTCACGTTTTCGTCGCGTCCTACTGATCAACAGGACGGAGTGTTCATGTACTACGGCTACTTCTACTTGACGTTCGAGGCCAGCACGCCTTTCCTCAACCTGCACTGGTTCATGGACAAGCTGGGCGTTTCGAACAGCAACCCGTTCAAGAAGCTCAACGCTGGCCTGCTAGTGCTCAGCTTCTTCCTCTTCCGCATCATCTCCGGCTGCGGCTACTCGGCCGTCGTGTGGCAGGACATCCACCGCTACATCGCCGCCACCTCCAACATGGCCAACGTCGGCATCATGTACTACTTCTACTTCGCCATTCTTCTCCTTAACGGCCTCAACTGCTACTGGTTCTACTCCATCGTCAAGTTCGCCACCCGGGCACCCAAGGTCCACCCCTCGTCGACTTCGACCTCGGCCACCACCACGGCCCTCACCGCCAACGACAAGGCGAGGAAGAAGGAGTAGACGCGCTCGAGCGAGAAGGAAACCGACGACATGGATGGAGAGACAACAGAGCCCGACGGACGACCGACATGGATGGAGAGATGTCAGAGCCCGACGGACGACCGACAAGTGGAGGAGCACACACACTGGAGGACAGACACACAGATACATCACAGATACGGTGATTGATGTTTATGTATTTGTTATTTATTTTTGTTTTTTGTTGTTAGCATCGTTCCACCAACGAATAAATAGACGCAAAAATACAAGTGTGTGCATGTTGGAGCCGACGAGGAACGGCATCACGCTGTCGCGTCCTTGTCCTTGTTCATCTTCTTGGCCGACGAGCCACCAAAGAAGGCGCTTAGTCGGCTGATGTTGCCTTTCTTCTTTTGCGGCGACTTGGTGGCTACCCCGCCTCCGCTGCTGCTCAGCTTCTCGCTCACCGGCGAAGGCTGGGGCGGCATTAGCGTCGGCGGCAGCGAGTACCGTGCCGATGCCACCGTGGCACTCCTACCTCCGGCGGGACCCGCTGGCTGCTGTGGGACGCCCAACGCCTCCTTGGCTGGCGGCAGGCCCGTGCTCAAGCTTCGGCTCTTGGTCTGGGGCGTCTCCTCCTGTATGTGTGTGTCTTTGTTAGAGTTGTGTGTTGTGTGCAGTGGGAAGGAGAAAGGTACGGGCTGTTGTCTGAGGGCGGCCTGCCTCTCCTTCATGGCCTTGAGTCGCGCCTCCCACTTGTTATCTTTGCCTCCTTCGGCAGCGGGCGTTGGTTCCGCTGTGCCGATTCACACATTTTGGGTTTAGTGTCGTGTGTCGCTCCCGCACTAGTACGTGCACCGTGTGAGAGGAGACGTACTCTCGGACGACGAGGAGTTGAGGTTGTATCTTGCGTCGAACATCTCCTTGGTCTTCTCTGCTCGCTCGCGTGCCCGCTTGTCCACCAACTCTGGCGCACACCAAAATGGCAAATCGTCAATCAGGCACCTCACCAAGCTCCAGCCGTGGTGCACATTATCGGGGGGGGGTACCTTCGTATTTCTGACGGTTGACTTTGAGCTCATCGAGCACCTTCTTCAGTTCCTCCTTGATTTTGTCGCGCTCGACCTTCTCCTTGAAGAAGAGCTTGAGCAAGGGCTCGCCGCCCTCCATCAGGAGGAAGATCCCGTAGTGGTGGTCCGAGCGACTCTCTGTCGAAAAGTAAAGAGCAACATTGACTTCCGTCAGACGACGAAGTGAATGAGCGCGTATGCGCTTGTGTGGGTGTAGTGCCTTCATCAGAGATGACTGGATGCAGGCGCGTCAGGTGGTAGTCCTGTATGAACTTCACCTTGTCCTCTTCTCCACCCTATAATTTGTGGGAGGGGGGAGGGCAAAGTCAATGTCGTGCTTACTCCGCGTTTGTGGCGCGCCTAGAGGGTACCTTCTTGCTTGGCTTGGCTTCAACGATGAGATCGTTGAAGAGGAAGATCACCCGCCTCTCCGCTTGGTCCGGCTTCATATTGTTGTTCCACACCAGCACCAAGCTGCTTTCCACGAACCGACGGCTAGGCGACACCAGGCCCTGCACGCGTCACATCACTTGACCCGACGCTCTTGGGTGTTGGCGGTTTGGGGGGGGGAGGTCAGACGAACCACTGCGCAGCCGATCAGGCGGTTCTGGATCTCGATGACCTTGGCGATGCGCTCGGCCTCGGCGGCCTTGCTGTTGACGATGCTCGCCACGTCTCCCACGAGGTTCGTCGCCTTCTCCAGGTTAGCGTGGTCCTTGTGCGTTGGCCCCGTGTGCTTCAACAAGTCCGCCAGCAGCATCCTATCAACAACCGAAAGCAATGATAATGACGATGAGTCATGGCGGTCACTCCAGTGTCACTTGAGCTGCAGGTGAGGGGGCGGCTCACCTGTAGCGAGGGATGCGCTGCACGGGCTGGATGAGGTAGGCGTAGATGGATTGGCGGGAGGCCTGTTCGGATTGGGCCTGAGTAAAAAGAACCACCCAATCACATCAGATGCATGGTACGACAAGTGACTTCAAGCAAGGGGTGGGGCGTACGGTCAGGAAAGAATCGATCTCGACGTTCCGCTTGCAGCAATCAACGAGCTCCGTCGTGGCGCCGTTGTAGATGCTGACATAGACGGTGTACGACTTCAAATACATGCTCTGAACATAGTTCATTCGACGCACGGGTGAGAATAAGAATAAAACAGATCATGTGCCGCACTTGGTGTCCTGCACGTACCGTAGAGACAAAGATGTCGCCAATGCATTGACTCTCGCTCCAGGCTTCGAGTCGTGGTCGCATATCTTGCAGCAGCGTCTTGTTAAAGTTCCTGATGATCTACTCACAACAGTATATAAGTTTGGCTCTGTTGGTCAATCCGGCTCTCTGCGAAGAGTAGGTACGAACCACCAAATTGGACACGAGGTTGGTGATCTGGGGGAGCTGCTCCTTCTTCAATGCAGCCAGCTTCATCAACGGCTCCAAGAATGTCTGTACGTGCACGTGGTGAAAGGGGATAAGATGGAAATGGGGTTGGGTCCTGCCCATGAGCAGTGCGAGAGCGTACGCAAAGGAGGACGTCTAGGCTCTCCACGTAGAACTCCTCCGTCTTGAGGATCTCACGCGCCACGTTTCGTCGATAGTGGATGTTCTTCACTTTCTTGCGGTAGGGCGCCGCCAGCCTCTGAATGCGAATCATGCCCTTCACAAACTTGTCCACCTCCCCTGCGGGCCTTGTTGAGTCAGCTCACCGTCACAGAACACGACACGACACGACACGAAAGTACGAACGACACGCACAACACTGGTGGTGGTACCGTCCGAGTTGAAGCGAGCGCCGATGGCGCGCTCGAGGGCGTTGCAGGGCGAGCCGACGGGCCTGCCCCACAGCCCTGCTAGACGCTCCTCGGCCGCGAGCTCCTGGGTGTTGAGCGCGCCGAGCTCTGTGATGGCGGCGGCGCGATGCACCTGCGAGCCGGCCCGCGACATCCTGGCTACCGCCCTCGACGATGCGTCCGCCGCCAGCGACTTGGTTATGGCGGCTTGCGTGTAGGCAGCCGACACCGGCCGCTGCGGGGCTGCACCGCTGGGCCGGGTGCCCGTGGAGCGCGTGATGGATGAACCCATCGCTGAGGCTGGCAGCTGGACGGAAGAGGCTGTGGCGGCCCGGGCCGATGTGGTCCTGGTCGGGGCGGCCGGACCTGCGGCGGGCAAAGGGCGCGAGCCGGGTGTGGAGGTGGACACTGTGGAAGACGGTGGCGTTGTAGCTGGTGCGAAGGAGGACGGCCCGAACGACACGCCCCCTGGCCGTTGGATCTGCGAGCCTCCTCTCGAGCCCGCGCCCGCGCTCGAACTGCTTGGAACCGCCGCACCCGCCACAGGGGCTTGTGCGGCGCACCCGCCAGTTGCCGTTGGCGAACGCTGGATGAAGGAAACGGAAGAGGAGAGGGGCCTTTGTTGTGGCGCGGCAGCTGTAGAGACCTGTGGTCGAGGGTTGGAGGAAGCAATCGGGGCTGGGGGTGTAGAGGGGAGCGCGCGCGTGGTTAGGGCTGAGGCTGGCGTGGAGGAGGACGCTGAGGGAGCAGAAGCTCCAACCGGCCTTGGGGCCGGCCGCACGAAATCCTTCTCGACGAGGCCGGTCCGCCCTGGTTGGGGCGCGCCGTGCTGCTGCGCTCGCCCGGCGAAGAAGGGGTTCTGGTGCAAAGGCGGCATATCCGTAACTGGGGGTCGATTGTTGTTCATCTTTGATTTGGGCCAGTGAATGTCTTTCTAGCAAGTCTCCCAAAGAGCGAGATGGTATGTGGGGGAGGGGAGCGAATGAAGAGGGACCTCTTCTGGCGAGATTGTTGATGTGTTGTGCTGGTGGTGGTCGGCAGTTTTGAATTGTTGTAGTCGAAGGGGCGGCCCTTCCTTTTTGGGCGCTGGCGGTTAGCTTGCTTTCTTTCGGCCCACCTGGAGCTCGATGATATCATTGCGCTGGGGTCATGTTAGTGGGAAGTGCGGGCGGTGTTGTGTTGTGTGCGTCGTCGTAAAGCTTGTAATGATACCATATGTACGAGGAGTAAATTACACACCACAACACCATATTGTTGCACCTTCAGGTCTGGTTCTCCACCCCCCTGGGGGTCAGGATGGTCGTTGAAGAGGAGAGGAGACAAAAGAAGAGAAGAAGGGGAGGGTCTAGACGTCCTGCATGGAGCTCACGCGAGGCGGCGCCCAGTTGTTGTTGCCGCCGTTCTTGGAGAAGGTGGTGGTGTGGGCGTCGATGTAGCGGTCGTACTTGATGCCCAGGCTCTTCTGGTTATCCTTGATCAGATCGCGGATGCTCTTGTACCGCTTCAGCTTGTCCGACTTGAGCAGCTGATCCCGTTCCGCCTCCACCGACTTCATGTCCGCCCCCTTAGGCGCCTGCACCACAACCATTAGTTTGCAGCACATACACGACACGACACGACACGACACGACACGACACGACACGCGACACAAGCCGCGCAGGCACCTACCTGGAGCCAAACGAACTCGCCACGATAGGGCTCTGTGTTGACGACCACGAAATGCTTGAAGGTGATCCGTCGCCTCAGGTTGTAGGGGATCACCGAGATGCGGAAATCGCCCGGACGCGTCGCGTACCGCACCTGCGCATCGCACACACACGCGCGCACGAGTCAGCATCGCCCTCCGTACGGAAACTCGCGCGGGGGGGGGGAGATGCGTACCAGCCAAGCGCCGTTGTAGTTGCTTGCCGAGGCGAGCAGGCCCTCGGCTTCCTTCTGGGAGAGATCACCGTGGAACCACTTCTGGCTTCCCAGGTCGTACAACTGTGCGATGATGTGCGGGGGGGGGGGGCGTCAGCGCATTAAGCCCCCAAAAAAATCCGACGTTCATGAGGAGAGGGAGGAAACCCGAGAGATCATGGCCGGGCAGTCGAACGGGCCGAAGTAGTCTACAAATTTTTGCAGGTTGGCCGCAGTGACCACGTCCTCCTTCGTCACTGTGGCATCGAAGAAGAAAGGGCGCATGGTTAGGCGAGGGTCTTCGGTGAGGCACTCGCAACTGGCTGTAAGAGTACCGAGGGCGGAGCGGAACATGATGATGGCCTCATCCGAGGCGTGGACCTGCAGGCGGTAACAAGTCGCCAGACAACTCCAAAACACTGGCCACGTCGGCTTCGGCTGTACAACCGGCCAAACAAAGAGTTAGCTCGAGCCGGCCAAGAATGTACAGGAATGCACGAATGTGGGAAGGGGGGGGGGGAAGAGAAAGAGCGTACGGCAGTTTCGACGAGGAAGTATTTGCTCCAGAAGTCGCGGGCCTTGCTGTCGTAGATCTCGGCCTCGAGGAGGATGCGCGGGAAGGAGTGGTGGGCGAGGATCTTGGAGAAGGTCGGGCGCATAGCGGGGTCGGGATGCCAGCACTCCTCGATGAGCTTCTTGAGCGTGTCGCTGGGGCACCAGTCGGGCACTCTCAGCTCACGCGGCTCCCACACGTCCTGGTCGCCTCGCCTCTCGTACTTGAACGGATCTATTGCGGCGGCACATGAAAGAAACAGACTAGTGTTAAGGAGGCGGAGGCGAAGAATGACTAAATAAACGGCAGCTGCGGACGACCGACATACTCTCACGCGAGAGGAGCTGCCACAGACACACGCCAAAGCTGCGTTGTGTTGTTTTGGGGTGGAACACGGGTCTTAGCGTCTGAACACACGAAAGAAGGAAAACCGCAATCTAGGGTTGTACCTGAACACGTCGGCCTTCTCGGTGACAACGGCATCACCCCTCTGGGCCTCGGGCGACATGTAGAACTGCGTGCCCCACCCGGCCTCCACCTTGCCTCCCTGGATCTTGGCCAGACCTGCAGGTCACAATTACGGCGCCACATACAATCAGCCTCCGGCGATAGTAGCATTATCTTCTATCTGCATGAATGCATGCGATGGAATGGAGCAGGGCAGCACGCACCGAAATCAGCCACCTTGACGGTCATGTTCTTGTCGAGCAGGAAGTTGGCAGGCTTCAAGTCCAAATGCAGGATCGGCGGGTTCTGGTGGCGAGGGTAAAGGATGAAAAAATGGGTCCGCAGCAGTGGACACAAGGGAGGACCACATGCATGTGCCCTACGTACCATGCAGTGTAGCCAGTTCATGGCCAACGCCACGTCTCGTGCGATTTGCATTCGCTGGAAGAACGTGAGCGGAGTCTGACCGTTGAGCAGGGTGTGCACATCGCCGTTCTGGCAGTACTCCATCACCAGCATGAGGTTGTCCTTCTCCATGCACACGCCCATCAGCTGGCAAATATTACCGTGCCGCAGCTTCCTGTGCCCGCGTACGCCCGGGTTTGTGCCGCGCGTGAGTTGCTGACGTAAGCAGCAAAGGGTATGGACTGGAGGGGTGGGGGTGACATACGTCATCATCTGAACCTCGCGCAAGAAATCCTGAATAATGCCCCGCTCGTTCTTTATATCCTTGATCAGCAGCTTCTTGACTGCCACCTCGGTGCCGTGCACAACGCCCTTCCACACCTCACCAAACGCACTGTGGTAACGCACACAAATACAGCCAATGCACAGAATTAGCCAAAAGCTGTGAAACAAAGGAACGTCAACGAGAATGGCTGACGTGCCCTCTGCCCAGAAGCTTATGGAGTTGCACGTCCTTCGCCTGGATGTCTGCTCCGTGGCTCGCCGAAGAGCGTAGCCTGTCAATTCACTCAGACGTGAGACGGTTGATATGCAGAAGTGAACCCACAACGAAAGGTCCCGACGACAACGTACGTCCGCCTGCGCAGTTGGATCTGCTGAAGCACGGATCTCATCGCGGGCTTGTGCAATTCCTGCGCCACTTTGCTGTCGACCTGCAGTCGAATGGCCTCCATCTCCTCCTGCGTCATGTTGATGCCGCTGTTGCCACTCCCGAGAGCGCTCAACGAGTCCACTCTGTCGTCCGCCGGGAAGGAGTCGCCGTCGTCAAAGTCGAGGGTGTGCGCGCCCGAGCCGCCGTGGAGGCTCGCGAAGGGCGGCGGTGGCGGCTCCGTCTCCCACGCGTCGGGGTTCTCTTCGTAGTCCTCCTCCAACTGTCTGAACTTGTTGAAGAATTCTGCGGCCGCGCACAGATCAGCACACACCCCGCACAACGATCAATGTACTCGCGAGCAAAGAAGAAGTACCTCTGGCAGTGGGCCTTTGCTCGGGGTCGGCGTGCCAGGCCTTCTGCAACAACTTACACAGGTCGGGGTGCATGTCGTCGAGCTTTTTCGGGCGCAGGTTCTGCTTGACGACAGCGCTCATTTTCTCATAGGTCGATGTGCCCTGTATCAACATGCCCTCGTACGGATCGACGTGCCTTCCTGCGCATGCAGGCGCGAGGGGTTGTAGGATGATGAGTCACTGTGGGGGGGGGGGATTACGACACGGTGGCGTGCTTAGGGACCTGTGAGCGTGCGCGCTGCTATTTCCCAAAGAACGATAGCGGCAGAGTAGACATCGCCCTTGTCGCTCGTGACGCCTTGGACGAGAATCTCCGGCGGGCTGTAGGCCATGGCTATTTCGTCGTAGGTGGTGGTGATCCGCTTTCCCTTGGAGTTGTACCTCATCCGACCAAAGTCGCCCATCTTCAGCTGCCAATAGCCCGTCATCTGTTGCGAACAGCGTCACTCGGTGAGCAGTTAACAGCCCTGCGCTGCGCTGCGTTGCGCGGCAAAGGCGAACCAAGAGATTCTGGGGACGGATGGCCGAGTGCACGACTGAGAGATTCTGGTGATGCAGCATCTTGAGAGAGGCGAGTAGCGTCTCACCCAGCTTGAAGAAGATCTCCCAATTGAATATCTTGGCCCTGGTGCACAAGGATTGAGAATGTGTTAAGCCACACCGGCGAAGACGCCGGACATCAACAAGTGGTACCTGTTGGAGAGGTATTCCTCCATGGTGCCCTTGCACAGCTCCATCACCACGCATATCTTGGGCTCCACGCACAGACCATAGAAGAACACCATGTGCGGCGACCGGATTGAACTGTGAGCACAACAGTGCACTAATTAGCATAGAGAGGAACCAACCGCGCCCGATCGCTGCAGAGCTTCCGGAAGGCACTCAATATCGAGCACGGGACGAGCGCTCACGTGGGTACCTGACGAGTTGGAACTCTTCTTTGAAGGACTGGAGGTCGACGAAGACCGGGTTGAAGATCTTAACGGCCACCTCGTGGCCGTTGTACTCGCCCTCGTAGATCACCGACAGCTCACTTTCGTGAATCTTGTCGTTGAGCACGATATCGTTGAAGTCGATGAAGTAGTGCATGGGTATGCCCAGCCCGCGCTGGGATAGAACTGGAGAGGATAGAACGAGGTTGGCAAAGGCATTGGATTTTTGAAGTAGCGCAATTTGCCCAATTGTTGGCCAATCTATGAGCATAGGAGGTTCGTGGGGCAGGAACGGACCTTGTGAGGACTCCATGATCGGCAAGAGATGTCAAACAATTGCCTAGCAAAACAAAGAATTAAGGAATGTTCAGCGGCGTTCTTCCTTTCCTTGGATCCTCTGACAGGCCACCTTGACCTCTGAGGTTGGCGCAACCGGCTGATGCTCTCCGTCCTTTCTTGTTGTCAGGTAGGTGCAGGAGATGGCTCACTTTACTTTTCCTTTCTCTATTTCTCCTCTTCTTTTGTTGTCCCTTCCTTCTCCGCCAACCTCTTCGCCTCTTTCTCGCGAGATGTTGTGGCGAGTCACAGCCAGATGCAGATGAAGAGGTGGCGCACCTCGTCAAGTGAATGCGTTGAAGATGGCGTGGTTGGAACGCTGGGCCAAGGCGCTGAAAGACTGGACCACGCGCACCCTACACTCAGACGCGCCGTACGCAACAACAGCCGCTCTGTCTCGCGCTAGACAGACGGAAAGAGATCAAGCTCTCTCTGTTTGCCTTTGTCTGTTTCGTGGTGGCCCGAACCAAATACACAACAACACCCCTCTTGCGTTTCGTGGGTATCCGCCAAAAAAAGAAAACAAAAAAAAACACAAATCCACATTTTCTGAATACCTCCGTTGCCTTCCACATCTTGTGGCTTGCTCGCAGGTCCATCGACGCCGCCGGGCCGAGCTTGCGGGATCGCTGCGAGGGGGAAGAAGGTTTGGGACGTGCAGGATTGAGGGTGATGGCTGGCAACTAGTGCCCACAACCTGGGGAGTGGGGTATGCAGCGCACAAGAGCCCGCAAGCGAATTATTTATAATTGGAAATTTCCGGAGGCTCTGTGCGTTCGTTTGTGCTCTCGCACTCTAAACAAGAAAGAGGTAGAAGAGAGATGTGGGTCGAGCCCACGGCCCGGCCGTGCAAGGAGGATCCACGACTATGGAGCACCCTCGAGCAGAACGATTTCTTCACAATGCAAACATTTCTGCCGTTCCTCACCCAGCGGCAGATGGCCAAGGAAAATGCGGCTAAGCAGAGTGGGAGTACAGTGGAACGTACTCCTTCCTCCTCGATCGGCACTTCGTCTTCGTCGAAGAGAAAGCCATACCTCTTTGCCTCCACACCAGCTCCATCTGCAGATAATCGCACGATTTTTAGCCACTTCCGAGCTGAGCGATCCGACGCCGATGGCCCGCACCAGCAGGACTCATCTGCACCGATTGATTGCTCGGTCCAGGAGACGCAATCGAAGCCCTACAGAATCATTCTGAAAATTGATCTCTTCCCCAGCGTCACCAAGGCGCTCGGCACTTCTCCCGCTTTGGCCTCTGCGACCTCTCACCAGCTGCAACCCCCGCACTCGCTCACGGCATCGCTCAGCGGGTGGATCAGCCCACGGCGCAACACGACCAGTTTGCCCAAGCCGACGAAAGAGGACACCACCAAGTACCTGGTCGTGGTCGCTCACGCCGACAAAGAGCACCGCATACGAGAGCACTGGAACTGGCTGCAGGTGCGTTTCATTCTTTATCATTCATCTTTATCTTTTTTCTTTATTCATCAAGATTGATTAGCATGCATTTGCTAAGTGGATCGGTACAGACCGTGCTGGTGCCGGCGCTTGCACAATTCGACTTCACGACGGGCAACGCCGATGAAGAGAACGAAGTCTATCAGTTCATTGTGCGCAAGATCTCAGGTTTTTCACCCTTGCCACTTGGCCGTAACAATGCATCGTGCTAAGAACATGTACCCACCATGAATCGGCCGATGTCGTTCTGCACCGCAGGTATGGCCACGGAAGAGGACATGCAGCTGACGCAGTCGATGGCCGAACCAGCCCAGACGGGATCGCGACTCTACACATCCGACCAGGTCGTGTCGATGAAGACCAAGAAGGACATCCGCGGTCGTGCTCAGAAGGAGCCCAAGGAGCGCACGGCGTCCAATGAACTGCGGCGGCTCAAGCGCCAGTTCAAGGAGGTCGTCACCGCTTTGGAGGGACCTTGGGACAAGGAGAAGCAGTCCCTCGTCGCCTGTACGTGATTGTCACCACCTACCGCGCATCATTCTCTGGCTTTGGCTTTGGCTTTGGCTTTGGCTTACTCGAACTGTGCACACCTGCTGCAGATGATTCGTGTGCTCTGGCACGCGACGTCAAGCGAGCGGGCATCCTGTGGATCACGGCCAATACGCTCTACTTCTCCTCCGAGTCGTGCAAGCTGCTGCTGCCCGTGCACGAGATCCTCTCCATTACGCGACACGCCTGCGCCGCAGTCATCCATTCGCCACCTTCCACACTCGACGAGTCCATCGAACTATGCACCGACAACGGCACTGTGCGTTACCCCGCCGCCGCCGTGCATGGCCGCACTGCTTGTCAACTGACACAGATTCCCATTTCACCACCAACCACGAAGTTCGTGTTCACCGACTTTGCGGGGCTGAAGGCCGATGAGCTTTACAACGTGCTCGAGGAGCTGTGGGAAGTCACGCTCAACCGCATTATCATGCACATCGTGGCCGCAGCCGACGAGCCTACATTCTTTCCCGCCTTTGTGTGCGATGACGATATGCGGCAGTGGTACGCCGAAGCCGAGCTCGATGTACGCGCCTCCACACCTTGCCCCCCCTCCCATAATCTCTCTTTAAGAAGGTTGGTGACGTTGATGCGGAACCGCGTTCGCTCATGTACATGCCTAACGCGTTGCAGGATGGCGAGAGCGAAGAGAGCGACTCGGTGAGTGAGAAGTCTTTGGAGACGTCCTCATCGTCACCTTCGTCGGAAGAGACTGACAGTAGCGACCGCCACACGGGCGAACGTCACGCGCGTAAGCGGCACACCAAGACGAAGAAGAGGCGGCACCACCATCACAAGATGACTCGCGACTCCAAGCGACTGAAGAGCGACGGCGACGATGATGATGAAAAGAAGCAGAGCCAAGAAGAGCGGCGGCGGGAGCGACGCGAGCGGCAGGCCGAAATGCTCCGCAAGTTCGAAGCCGAGCTGCCCGAGGCGGATCGATACACGGGCTCGCGCTGTTACTTGCGACCGATGAGCACCGACGTGCTGGCCTTCCCGACACCCCTCACCCATTCCTCGCTCCTCGAGAAGCGGCAGCTCAAGCAATTCCGCAGCCTCTTCCGCCTGCCGCGCGATCAGAGCCCGCTTGACGGTACTGTTCCCCTTTGAACTGCACAATTTGATGTATTAATCCATTAATCAATCAATCAATCAATCACCCTGTCGGGTTGTGCGCGCAGTGTCCGATTGCTCGGTGCTGTGGATGCGCAACAAGCCCGAACGCCACGCGGGCAAACTGTACATCACCGAACGTTTTGTGTGCTTCCACAGCGAATACGATCAACAGAACTTTGTCGTACGTTCCTCCTCGCACTCTCGATCCGAGCCATGATGGTCTGTAGTGTGTATCAGCTGTTGACTTGACTCTTGCTTTCTCTCGTTTGTATCAACTGGTCACCAGTTCTCGCTGTTCCTCGGGGACATCGACGTGTGCAAGCTCAAGGACGAACAGAGCAAGGCCCTCGTCGACAAGAAGGAAGCGTCGGCCAAACGCAATCCCTCGCCACCGCGGAAGCGAGGCCTCTTCTCTTTTGTACGCCCACCCGTGTGTCAATGCCTCCCACGGTGAGCGGTGAGCGGTTGTGCCCTGCTGACGTAGTAGTGCACCCGGGTAACAGGGTAACAGTCCAGTTTCAGCGCCGGACAAGGAGCGCACCTACCTGGTGTTGTTTGTGGGCGCCAACAAGGTACACCCGACCGACGCCCCAGCCACTGCATCCACGCGCTGCGTGCATTCCCGCCAGCCTGACTCACTGATGATGGGGCTGGTCATGTATTGCTGCGTCAGATGGTGTTTGACATCCACAGCACCGATGCGCAGCCGGCCTCGAAGCGAGCCAAAAGCGTCCACCGCGCGATGTCCGAGCGGATCGTGGGCGCACGTAACGCCGTGCCTCCCGCTCCGGGCGACCACCACTCCGTCCGACCCACGTATATCCATGCATCAGTTTTTTTGTTTTTGTTTTATCTTTTCATTCGATTGGTCGCGTACTTGTACTCACCTTCTTTTGCTGTCGACTGGGCATCGGCACCGGCACAGGCCCAGGAAAATGTACCCCGGGGTCGATGTACAGCTGTATGGCAACCCTCGACACTTCAGCGATGACTACCTCGTGGATCAGGTAAGCAGCAGCAGCACCACTACTACTACCACTGGCGGTGGTGAGTGTGACTGGATGCTGATCGCGTATATACACACTACCCCAGGTGAAACAAGAGGTGCTGTGGGATGAATACTTCACTGAGTACGGGCGGGGCAAGGGCATGCTCCAGAACCGACAGCAGCTCCACCAGCTCCTCTCCAACGGCGGCGTCATTGAACACCTCATCGGTGCGTGTCTTGCCTTTTTTTCGCGCCATGCGCTTCCGTGTGCCTTCATCTTACGCGCGTTTGACTGCCCACAGGTGAGCTGTGGCAGGAACTGTCGGGTGTGAGCATGCTGCGAGCACTGGGGCGGGGCGAATACCACCAGATCCTGGCGACTTTCAAGGCCCACACCAGCCGCCACATTTACCAGATCAAGCTCGTGCGTCTCCCCTTGCCTCCCGTTCTGCAGGCTGCTCGCCAGCGTCGTTGTGACGATGCTGATGATGCTCTTTTGGGTGGTTGTTTGTCGGCAGGACGTCAAACGCAGTTTCCCGGAGCACGGCTTCTATAGGAGCGAGGAGGGCATCTCGAAGCTCACGCGTCTGCTCACGGCCTACTCGTGGCGCAACCCACACATCGGCTACACCCAGGGCATGGTACACCTCACCCCACCCCACCCCACCCCCCACAACGTACAACGACGAGAGCTCGACACTCATTCATGACTCGTTTCACTTACATTGCGCAGAACCTGATCTCGTCGGTGCTGCTGTGCTTCATGTCCGAGGAAGAGGCCTTCTGGGTGCTGGCCTACATATGCGAGGTGCTGGTCCCCGAGTACTACACCCCGGGGCTCTTCGGGCTCGTTGTCGATCAGCGCGGTACGTCGACCTATGATAGTTGTTCTTTTAGAAGAAGAAGAAGAAGACAAGGAAGACAAGGAAGTGCCATCATGAAGCAATAATGACCATCGTCCGTCGTGCCCGGCGTGGTGCAGTGTTCGACGAGTTGGCGAAGGAATGTCTGCCGGTTCTCTATGCCGAGATGCAGGAGAGGGAGACGCCGCTGGTCCTCTCATCTTCGGCCTGGTTCATGGCCCTCTTCGTTGGCTTCCTGCCCTTCGAGGTATTGTCCCCACTTCCGCACTGCTCGCCCCCCGTCTTTGTCTGCCTTGTCTCGAGAACACGAAGCGGCCGCAGTGCTGACTACATACGTGGGGGCACGCAGTCGCTTCTGTGGATGCTCAACCTGCTGCTGTTCGAGGGTCCCGGGAGCGGGATGCTGTTCAAGACGGGCCTCGCCATTCTCAAGCTCAAGGAGAAGGAGATCATCGCCAACGCCGACGCCAACCCCATCTCCCTCGCCGCCTCCATCCAATGCGGCGACCTCATCCACGTACTCCTTCTCTTCCATCCCTCTCCGTCTTCGTTCTTCGTTCTTCTCTTTTGACGTTCGGTTCTCACGCGGTGGCCACTGTGCAGTCGATGCGGGAACTCGAGGAGGGCGGAGCGCTGAGCCTCGAACGCATCGCGGCGCTGCGGAAGAAGCACCGCTGCCGGCTGGTCAAGGAGATGCTCAGCGCGAGCCACCTCACCCCGGCCATGTTCGCCTACACCACTGCCACGGGCGTCGCTGCATCTCCGTCGCTACCGACCGCCACCACCGCATCGTCGCTGCCATCGACGCCCGCGGCCGATGCTGATGCAGTGTCGAGCACGCCGCCGCTGCCCCGGGCGGGCGGCACCGGTGCATCGCCATCGCCGTCTCCGGAGAGCGCACGCCGGGCCGGCGGTCGGCCGCCCGTACCGCGCCAGCCTATCCCCACCCTCACTCGCGCTGCCACCGGTACCTAACACCCGCACGCATCGCACGCACGCACTCGCGGCTCACTCGTGTCGTGCGTTGTGCGACAGAGTCCAACTTGGTGTCCAGCAAGGAGATTGCTCTGCGCAGGCCTGCGCTCGACACAGGCGCCGATCAGAAGCCCAGCCTAGGTCGTCTGGTCCACACCAACACCGGTGCGCACTCCCCGAACGCCTGCGTGTGGGCTTGGCTGGTCCTTGAAGAGGCTCAACTGACCTAACGAGTGCACACGATGGGCCAGGCTTGAACATGTCGGTGCTGCAGAAGAGGCGAAGTTTGAAGGACAGCCCCCACCTGTCGGCAGGCGGCGGTGTGCTTGACGCCCTCATGTCGTCGTTCAACAAGTCCAAGAACAAGTTCGGCCGCAAGAAGAAAAAGTCATCCAGGTACCTTCACACGCCTATGCACACCACACGCACCGCACACGCACACGCACGCACCACACGCACACACGCCTGACATTTCTCATCACAATCACGTCACGGCAGCAGGCGAAAGAAAAAGAAGGCGGAGGCGTCGGGCAGACGCAAGTCTTCGGGGCGAAGCCGAGGCCGAGGCGACGCGGAGGAGAGCGAAAGCGAAAGCGAGACGTCGGCCTCTGAGTCGGAGACGGAGGAGCTCTACGACGGCCTGAAGCCGCAGAGTCTGGAGAACTTCCTGCTGGGCAAGCGGCCCGACGGCAAGTTCCGCGCGCCCGCCATCCGCTTCTCCGAGTCCATGGTCAACCTCCACTCGCCCTCCATGCTCGCCTCCTCCACCACTGCTTCCTCTTCCTCTTCTTCCAATTCTCTCTTCACGTCGTCGGCCTCTCATCAACCATCGGCGGGGCGACGACTGCCGGCCATAACGATGACGACGCCGGCGACGATGACGACTGCGGCGGCGGATGCGCCCCAGCCGGTGGCCAAGGTGGGGAGCAGGCTGCGCGGGATGGTGAGCCGAGCGAAGGACAAGGCCAAGGACCAGGTGACCCAGCGCGTGCGCGCCAGGAAGGGACACGAAAGCGAAGACGAAGACAGCGGTGATAGCGAAAGCAGCAGCAGCGACGATGACGAAGAGCGCCCAGCGCCACCACCACGCCGCTACCCTCGGAGGATGGAACAGGTGGAGGACTGAGCTGACAATGCGCGCATGTAATGTAATCTCTTTTCAATTCTTCTTCTGTTGTTCATGAAGGTCGTCAGTACTCATCAGAGTCCTCGTCTTCATCTGAGTCGGACGCGCCACCCAGCATGTTGAGCAACCCTTCGAGTCCGTCGCCGCCCATCATGCCGGTGCCGTCGTCATCGTCGTCTTCATCGAAGTCGTCGCCCATGAGCATGTCTTCGGCATCGGCGTCCTCGTCTTCCTCGTCCTCCCCGAAGGCGTCGTCGTCTTCGATCTGGTCGTCCATTTCGTCGCTGTCGTACGCGTCTGGCCGCTTGCGCCCCACTTCATACAGGCGCACCACCGAGTCCGAGTACGTGTTGGGCGCGTACTCCACCACCGCAATGTAGTTGTCCGGCGCCATCACGTGACTTCCCGGCCGCCCCAGCTTGTCTGTAGTGGTCGCGGGTAAGCGCGTGTCGTGCCGTGTGCCGTGTATGTGCGCATGCGTGCGTGTGCGTACCGGGATCAGGAACGTCGAGCGCGAGGTCGTAGATGGTCTTCTCGACATCGACAGAGGCGATGTGCGCATAGTCGGAGGCGTCCAGCGTGACGAAGAGGTTCTGCTGCGGCATGTGCGGACGCCTGCACCACCATCCAAGCCAGCCAAACATTCATTCAGTCTCTCTAGTGCGATCTATGCCTGCGGGGGTGGTGCGTGTACGTACGTTTGGGGGACGTTGTCGTATTTGCGCGGGAAGCCATACATGACGTCGCCCAGGCCGTTGAAGACGACATTGGTCTTGTCCAGCACGGGCACCGTCTTCAACAGCTTGAACGTGTGCAGATCCCACACCTCACTGTTGCACACGCGAGTGTGGCACGAGCGAGCGTAAGCGAGCCGGCGCACACAAGCGTGCGGCGTGAGCGGTGCCGTACCTGTTGATGACCACCTCGCGGCCCGACGGATTGAAAACGCCGCTGCCGTAGTTGGTCAGCCGATCGAACTTGTGGATGGCTCGCGAGTAGCGCGGGTCCCACAACACGCCTACACCATTGGGACTCTCTAGTTAGCAGCCACCCAGCCTGGTTCAAATTCCAGCAAAGCTCCAGCCAAAATGACGTGCAGGGTAAGGAATGTAGCAAAAGGTGGTGAACGTGCCGTGGCTGAGGACGAGGTCGTCAAAGGGACTGAAGCAGGGCTTGGTGGTTGTGTGGTGGCGCCCCGACGAGCTGTCCGGCTCGTGGGTGAGCGACGTCAGCTTCTGGCCGGTCTGCACCGAGAACAGCATCGTCGTGTGGTGATTGTCGCTGCCGGCGATGATCGTCGAGGCGTGGTTGAACACGCCCGTCTTGCAGTCCGCCAGCACGTAGACTACATTCACCACCACCACCACGCGCATGAATGTGAGGAATGTGCGCTCGACCATTGGGGTGGGGAGGGGAGTGGAGGACAAGAAGAGCGTGTGTGGTACCGGGCTCCTCGTCGCGCACTTTGGACAGATTGTCGGAGGTGTCCCACATGCAGCCGTTGTCGTAGTGCGAGAAGGTCAGCAGGTGCCGCCGGTTGTCCGAAGGCACCAGCGACATCACACTGTAATCTGCGCACACACCGCACACACCGCACACGAACAGTGATTAACGATCGTCGCCGGAGCCATGATTGTGGAGAGAAGCAGCGGGCGGTACCGTGGCATTGCCAGGAGCTGACGAGGGAGGTGGTCTCGATGTCGAAGATCTTGACATCGCCGTCGTGACTGCCGGCCAGCAGGCGGTTGTTGTTGTAGAACGCCGTGCAGGTGATGACCGACTCTTCGTCCCGATAGACGCGCACGGGTCGGAAGCGGCTGTAGACGTGCCGGCGCATGAGATGGGCACCTGGTACGCGCCACCCACAGCGTCAGCAACACTCTTCAGTTTAAGGAACTGCAGAGTTTGTGTGTGTGGTGTGACTGGCAAGGGTACCCTTCATTCCGCCATGCTGTGGCGTGGTATTGAATTCGCGTGCGAACAACCGCGAGGCGATGTTCTGAGGCGCCTTGAGCCCGAGCGGGAACGGCGTGTTCGACGGTGTTGGGCACCTGCGCGACAACACACACACACACACACACGACACGGCACAACACGAGAGGGTTAGCGGTGCGTGCGAGGGCAGCCGTCGGCCGAAACCTGTGCGTACCGATGGGGCTGGAGCAGGTTGAAGGGCGGGAGGGTGGCGATGGGCATCGGGCAGCGCTTGTGCTGGTCGACGCAGTACTGGACCACCATCTTGTCGAGCGTGTTGCGCCAGCCCGGCTCGCGGCCCTCCTGCGACGGAGCCTGCGACGGCATCGGCCGCAGCTTCGCCTCCTTCGCCAGCGTCGCCGCCGTCTTCGAAAGCCCGTGTTTCCTTTTCATGCGTGTGCGGTGGTGCGTGTGCGGTGTGAGTGGAGGCGATGAGAAGGTGCCAAAAGGGGGGAAGGTCGTACTGGAGGTGTTCGTAGACGAGCTGTAGCAGCTCGGTGTCGGAGTAGGTGATGGGGGTGCTGTTGACGATCTTGGTCCGCTCGAGCTTGGAGAAGGTCGGGTCGATGGCGTCGTTGATCGTGAGATTGGCGTCCCGCTCCTTCTTCGTGTCCTTCCGGTCCGTTCGCCCTAAAATCATCATTAACGTTATTATCATTATCATTTTAGTATTATTATGTTTGTTCAAAAAATGTACCTGCGATCTTGTTGATGAGGTCGAGCGCGTAGTACTTGAACTGCTGGTGCTCGTTGATGTTGTCCGGCAAGATCGGATCTCTGTCGGGGAGTGGCCACTCCATCAGCGCACAAACACCCCCTTTTCCAACTACAAGACACCCAGCGGTGGCGATGGTGGGTGGCGGGTGGTGGGGTGGGTACCGCATCAGGTCGGGCAGGAGGCGCGAGGTGATGTGTAGTTTGGAGAGGATCTGGCAAATGGTGGGGTCCCTCGCGATACCCAGCAGAGCCCGACACGCCAGCGACCGAATCGCATCTGAGACACGCCCACGGGCGCCCAGTGTCAGCCAGCCGGTGGCCGGCGGGGAAAGAGGGGAATGGATGGGGGGAAGGAGGGGGGAGTACCGGCGTGGGAGGCGGGCTCGCGGATGCGGAGGAGCGAGAGGAGGATGCGGATGCCGTTGCTCGCGCGGATGCTCTTCCACACGTGCTTCAGCATCTCCTCGTCTCGCGAGAGTCCCGCCATGACCCAGATTATGCCCAGCGCAGCTAACGACACGACACACGACACGACACACGACACACGACACGCGTTAGGTTTGGTGTCGTGTGTGCGTGTGCGTTCGTGTGTGTGTACCTTTCATGACATCGGGGAATTCGTAGGAAAGCATATCCTTGGTGGGGTGCTGACTGCCAGAGGCCGCGTCGAGAATGATCGCAATGCCGCGCTCGTTCGATTCCAGCGAAGTATTCACTATCAACCCTTGCACGAACGGCAACTACATGTAGCATTGTTAGTATCCCTAGTACACACGCACGCACACGCACACAGGGGAGGGTGCGTCACCAGGCAGGTCATGTAGATGATTTCGAGGCCGAACTGCGCGATCTCGGGGTAGCGCCAATGGAGGCTCTGACTAATGAGATCGAATAGCACCGTGTACCCATCCTGCTTCACAAACACCTCCACGTGCGGCCATTTTGATCTGTTTGTGTTGGTCGTGCGACACGACACGACACGCGTTAGAGCACAGAGCAATGAAGATATAGAGAGTGCGTGGAGGCACGAACCGGCTGAGGTAGTAGGCAGGGACGGGCTTTCCGCGACCTTCGCCCTTCTCGGCGGCCGACTCCTCCTTCTCGAAGGGCGACCCGAGCAGGTAGTCGATGGCCTCCCGCGCCGTGTTGGCGTCCATGTCCAGGGCCTTGTTGGGCGGCAGGAGCGGCAGCGGCGAGGCGGGCGCCATGACCGTGGCCGACGCTGACGTGGCCACGGACGATGAAGTGGTGGTGGAGGTGGAAGTCGAAGTAGAAGACGACGACGATGAAGAGGAGGAGGGTTGGTGCTTGTTGGGTGTGTGGAGACCGAGAGTGGAAGACGAGAGTGTGAGCGCGCCGCGACCGCTCTCGCGTCGCTTCTTCTGGTGCTGGGCCTGCAGGTGGGCCGCGAGGGACTTGAACTGGGCCTTGATCCCGGCCTCCTTCACCAGCAGGTGCGACCTAAAGTACTGCTTCAGGGACAGCATCACCTGATGATCGGCACCCCCACCCGCGCGGCCCAGCCAATCGTCAGTCTCCTGGAAAGCGAAGAACGAAGAGCGAAAGCGAAGAGAGGGAGGGGAGTACGGCGTGGATGAGGGAGATGATCTGCTTCTTGGGCGTGGGTTCGGCCGCCGTGTCGCTGTTGCCTTCGCCGCGCAGGATGCGCACAAGGCACGTGCGCAGAATGTGGACGAGCGTCTTGAGGCCGGCCATCGAGTCGGCGTCGAACAGTTCGAGGATCCTCGGGTAGGAGACCGCAATGCTCAGGAAATGGCCCGCCGAGATCCTGTCGTTCAGTCCCACACGCCACGTCATGCCACATCAGCACCGCACCGCCAGTTTCCCGCCATATTGGCAGCTGCGCCGAGAGAAGCGCGCGAAGGTACCTGGCCGTGTCCTGGGGCGTGTTGAGGATCCACATGACCCGCTTGACGAGGACCGAGGGCAGGGGCTCGGGGAAGAGCAGGATGCGCTCCATGACCGTTGAGAGACACGACAGGCCGTAGAAGCAGAGTGCAATGCCGCCGCACAGATAGGGCTCTTGCGGGACCTGCATACGCGAGTGTGTGTGTGTGTGTATCAGTGACCGTGCGTGGCGTCCGCGCGGTGCGTGCGGTGTGTGCGTGAGTTGAGTACCTGGAGCAGGGCGTGGAGGCCACCCTTGTCGACGAAATCGTGGGCAAACTTCTTATGGGCGAAGAGCCGATTCAGGAACGTGAGGGAGTCTGTTGGTGCGCGCGACGCATGCGCATGTCAAACAAACACTGATCAACATCGGGCGAGTGCGAGGCCTCTGAAGGTTTTCGGCGGGTGCTGATACCAAAGAGCACGAATGTGTCGGTGAGTTCGAGCAGCGCGAGTACGAGCTCAACGCCGTCTTCCTTGACCAGCGGCGGAAGGATCTCCTGATACTCGCCCAGCGCGCCGAGACACCGAACCACATACCGCTGTGTGCGCGTGTCGTGCGTGTGCCGTGTGCGTGTTAGCGACCGCCGCTTGGCAAGCGAGGTGGTGCGTGTGTGCGATGGACGTACCAGTTCGGTGAGACTGATCTCGTCCTTTGCCGGTGGCGCTTCGGTTGCGGGTTCGTCCTGCGCCGTGGCGCTGTCCGTGTCGAGTGACTTCCCCTCGGCGGCGGCGGTGGCGCTGGCGTCGGCATCAGCAGGACCAGACGATGGCGACGCGGACGGCTCTTTGGTGGACTTGGCGGACCAGCGCAGCCCCTCCTTCAGCCGCCGGAAGAAAAGAGCCGGCAAGTCCGTCCCGATGGCCAAGTCGCCCGTCTCGCCGTCGATGAAGATCGCAAACAGGCCTTAACGGGTATGGCCCACGTTGGCACGAGCGTGAGTTTGATGGCATCCGTACACGACACACGAAACGCGACACACCACACGACACCACACGACACACGACACACGACACGATATGTACACACCTGTGGCGTAAGTGCGCAGAGGCTGCGCGGCGTCCCTGACCCAGTTGCAGAGGCGATGGTAAACTTTTTCCTGAGATGCAAAGAAAAATTGGTGGTGAGTGCGTGTGAACGAGCGAGTGGTGTGAATGGACCGAGTGGTGTATAGGCGCGCACCTCTTCAGGTGTGAGGTCCAAGGACCAGTAGCGAATGGCCTGCCCACCCGTGGCGAGCAAGCAGCGCGTAGCGGCGGTGCACACCTCGAGGTCCTCGTCGAACAGATACCGATAGATGATCTAGGACGAGGCGCACACGAATCGTGAGACACGAGCACAGCGCGTGTAAGCGCGAGCAGTGCGGAAGAGAGCGTACGATCTCGGGCAGGCGACTGCTGTCGAACATGGCCATGAGCGGGCCGATGAAGCTCACCGGGACGGCCTGGTAGCGAATGCTCTCCGACTCCTCGTTGGGCTCGGTGTTGACTCGCTGGAACTTGAGGTCCTCCTCCTCGAAGATCTCTGCCAACCTTCATCCAACCACAACACCACGTGATGTGAGCACAATTTAAATTAATATAAAACATAAATCGCGAACTAAAGAAGAAATTGATTGGGATGAGATTTTGGGGTGAGCGGTACGAGTTGAGCGTGGCAGCGATCTCCTCCTTGCCAGTGATCTCTTCCTCCACTAGATTCGAGATCTTCATCATGACCTCTCGCAGGACCGGTGCCTCGGTGTCTACCGTGGAGACGCCCGGAAGAAATCCAAGGTCAACATCATCTTCATCCTCATCTTCATCCTCGTCTATATCTTCATCACCTTCCTCTTCGCCACCCTCTTCGTCTCCCTCCTCATCGCCCTCTTCGCCACCAACAACGATCACGTCCTCATCCTGATCTTCATCTTCATCTTCATTTTCATCCGCCTCGACATCCATCACTTCCTCCTCCCCATCCCCGTCCGATGATGAAACCTGAAACTGGTCATCCTCTCCCTCCATCTGCTTGCTGCCGCGCCGTACGTGTAGATGTATGACTGGCCTTCTGATATGAAAAAAAAAACAATCTCCTGATTTCTTGAATTGCGCAAGAAAACTACCCAGAATGCAAACAAAACAACAGAAAAATCGAAAAAGTTTAGAACACTACAGCCTATCATACACCCGTGTTGTGCACAATCAACGATCCTTGACTCTGTCCTGCATCAATCCAGCTGCTCCTCCTCTTCCCTCGCCGTCCTCCCGTTTTCTCGTTTTTCCATTTCGCTTTCGTTTTCGTTCATGTGGTCTTCACTTCTTCCGGGAGGCCTTGAGGGCCTTCTTGAGGTCCTTCACCTTCTTCTTGGTGTCGTTCTTGAGGTCGTAGAGCTCCTTCTCGCTGAGGCGCGGCAGATCGGTGAGCATCTTCACCAGCTCCTCCCTCGCCGTCGAGGCCTTGTTGGCCTTCTTGTCTCGCTCCCGCTTCTCGCCGTTTTCGTTGTGGTCGCCGCCGTTGTCGTGGTCGTCGCGCGGGTACGCCACATTCCCGCACTTCTTCAGCTGGCTGAGCGTGTTGTAGATCATCGACATCTTCTCGAAGTGGACCAGCTCGCTTTCCTCCTCCTCCTCCTCGCCGCCGCCCTGGATTCCACTGCCACCGCCGGCTTGAATCCCACTGCCGTCGCCCGCTTGAATACCACTGCCACTGCCGCCGTCACCGCCGCCCTGGATTCCACTGCCGCCTTCCGCTTGAATACCACTGCCGCCGCTGCCGGGTATGGCGCTGCCGCCCTGAATTCCGCTGCCCTCGCTGACCTTGATCTTGATGGAGGACTTGTTCTCCTCGATCATCGTGAGATCGGAGAGGATGAACGAGAGCACGGGGATGGCCGGCGCCTCGACCTTGGCCAGCGTCTCCCTGTACCGCTTGAAGTTGCCCCCGGACTCAAAGAACTCCTGCGCTCCCCCGGCGGGCGGTGTGAGATTGATCCATCACGTGAACGCACGCACGCACACACAACGCACACACACACACACACACACATACACACACACACAACGCCACACACCATACACACACACCACAAGAAGGGGAATACGGTACCTTGAGGCGTTCGTACATCTGGCTGACCTTCTTGGGAAGGCTGTTCCACTCCTTCTCCAGCCTTTCGATGGGCGTGAGGTTGAGTGTCGAGTAGAGTTGCATGGCCGACTGGAAGTTTTGCTGTTTTGTTGTTTTAACGCCAAAGGCGGTGAGCACTTGCGCGGTTTGTTTTTTCCAAGCGCCATTCACACACGTGCAATCGTACCAAGTTGAGGCAAGCATCGGCGACTTGGATGAAGAGCGAAAGCATCTTTGAGCGCTTCTTGGAGGAGTGGTCGCAAGTGAGAATCGCGCTGGCGGCCCAGAAGCTCACCGCATTGAATCGATTGATTAATCGGGTCAGCTTTTTCGCTGTTGTTTGTGTACGTGCGTGCGTGCGTGCGTATTGTCAGTCAAGATCTATGGGCCAAAGCGCGACACGCGAGGAGGTCTGCTTGCACGAACCCTTCTCTTTGCCATCCTTTTTGCTCCATGCCAGCTGTAGGAACTCTCTGAGCGAGATCTCCTTGTAGAGCTGCAGGCAAAGACGCGATGTCAGGTGAGTGTGGTGGTGGTGGTGGTGTCCAACAAACGGGTCGCGGTGTCTGGGGGCTTGTGGAGGCATTACCCGCTCTTCGATGAGGGTCATCTGGCGGGCGATGTCGGCCGGGTCGTGGTCGTCATCTTCGAGGTCGGGCACGCGATGCGTGATGTCCTCGCTGACCGCCAGCGCCGCGCGCTCCTTCTCCGCGTCGACTTCCTCCTGTGTCAGCCGCTTCCTGTAGGCCTCGCCCTGCACCCGGAACACCGAACGCAGATCGTCGGCGTGCGCCTCGAAGCCCTTCGAACCTGCGCGCGCGTGCGACACGGCTTAGAAATCTGCGGAGCTGTGCTGCGCTGTGTCGTGGTGGCAGCGAGGAGAGAGAGAGAGAGAGCAAGTACCGAGGTCGGACAGGAACATGTTGAAGAAGATGGCGTTCTCTTCGGTGAAGTCCTCGAAGTAGAACGTCATCCACTTCTTGAAGACGTCGATCACCCTCCCGTCCTGTGCACACATGAAGGTGAGAATTAGGAGGAGGTAAGAGGTAAGAGGAAGGAAGGAAGGAAGGAAGGGGTACCTCGCTGTCGTAGAAGCGCTCCATGAGGCGGGTCATGAGGGACTGCGAGTCGACAAAGTAGGAGTGAGTGGCCACGAAGGTCTCCACGTAGGCCGGTTGCGTGTCGCCCTCATCCGCCGTAAGCAGCTCCACCAGTCCGTCCAAGTTGCCTGTTAGCCGTACGGCATTTAAAATAATCATTGTTATTATTTATTTATTGGCAGTTGATTTTTGTTTTGTAGCGTACCGGCACGAATCAGTTTCTTGTTGTTGCGATTGCCATAGATGATCACGGAACCTCGCTTGTCTAAACCAATGAAATGGGAAATGATTCAGGTGAGCTCAGTACGTAGCAACGCAGGGTCGAAATAACTAAAAAAAGAATTAAAAAGATTTTAAAAAACGAAAGCGACAGGGAAGAACGAAGCGAAAGCGAACAAAGAACGGAGTCGGGGAGGGCATATACTGTTGATGGTGTTGTTGTTTGTCTGTATGAGCTCGAGAAAGTTGGGCACGGAGAAAAGGCGTTCTCCGGTGGCCTTGCTGATGGTCTGCCTGTCCCTCGCCTGGAGCGAGCCCCTCTTTCGCAGCCGTGCCGCCCTGTCCATGATGCTGCGGGGTGCACGGAAAGATAAGCAATACGACTTGAGATCTCAGCAGAGATGTAGAAGTATCGGGGGGCGCAGTTCGTAGAAGATGAGGAAAGCGAGCTGGGGTTTGGAGGATGAAATCACCGTCGTCTATCGGAATCAAAAAGCTGAGTTTTTATCCGTGAAGGTGCTGATAATCGATTCTATCGATTGCGAAGGTGGTCCCTCCGCGGCCCAAAACACAAGAAGAGATGCGGATGAAGGAAGGTGCGTAGATGAAGGCCTTCTTGCCGGTCGAACAGTAGAAAACGGCGTGCTCGGTGACGGTTCCTCGTGGCTGGTGCTTGGGGAGCAAGGAGACGGTGGCTGTGGTACTATATCCAGCCCCCGGATTGGCTCACGCTGGGTGGCCTAGCGATCGTCCACGCGTCGCACAACAACCAAAGGCCGGGCAAGCACACAGACACGCTGCGGGGCGCATCTTTCTGGAAGAGGAAAAGCAGCGGACCAGATGAAAGATGGATTGATGCTGAAGTGTATTGGAGACCTCTCTCTTCAGTACATCGAGCGGGAGGCAATTCCGCGCTATGGGGGTTCCTCCTCGTTCGTCGTTGTGTTGGGGGAAGGGGCAAAGTGGAGACCTTACTGGTCGGCAGCCTCCTCGGTGACCTCGGGCTTCTTGTAGATGCCCTCGTAGACGCGGGGGTTGTGGAGGAGAGCCTTGTAGTACTCAGCGCGCTGCTTCTTGATCTGCTTGGACTTCTTGAAGTGCTCCCTCTTCTTGGCGAGGATGGCGTCCTTCTTCTCGGCGCGGGCCTTCTCCTGGAGGATCTGGTTCCTGATGCGGGTCTTCTCGTAGGGGTTGAGCTTGATCATCACACCACGGTTCTTCAAGGGGTTCTTCTTGCGGATGGTGCGGGTGGGCTTGCGGTTGGCCTTGCGGAGGTGGCTCTGGACCTCGTCGGAGGTCATGATGCGGGTGAGATCGGCGTTGGTCATGAGCGGACGGGGCAGGGTGAAGTGCGTCTTCTCAGTCGACTTCTTGGTGTAGGTGCCGTAGATGGCATCGAGCTTCTCGAAGGCATCCTTGGTCCAGATGACGAAGCGGCCGAGGTGACCACCGGGGGCAAGCTGGAGGAGGTTCATGCGCTCAACGCTGCAGAGCTCCACACCGGGGATGTTCCTATTGAAGGTCGAGAAGAGAAGATTAGCCAAATGGGCATTGATTCGCAAGTTTTAAAAAGGGGAGGGCAGTACCTGAAAGCGAAGACGAGGGGGGACTTCTGATCGTAGATCACGAGGGGACCACGCCTCTGGACGCGGCGCCTGTTCCTCATCTTACCCACACCACGACGGATCTTGCGGGAATCCTTGACCTTCTCGACGTCCTCATAGGCGTTGAGCTTCTTGAGGAGGGCGACGGCGTGCTTGGTCTTGGTGACGTCCTTGACGGCCTCGGTGGCGACGACGAGCGGCACCTCGGGGATCTGGCTGATCTTGTGACCACGGGCCATCACGAGGGCGGGGACGGCCGACGCGGCGAGCGCCGAGCAGAGAGCGAAACGCTTCTGGTTGACGTTGACCTTGCGGTGCCACCTCCTGTAGGTCTTGGTCGGGGCGAACATGCGACCTCCGCGGCACATGTTACCGAAGGCACCCTGGCCTGCGCGGTGGGTACCACCACCGGGCACGCGGGGAATACGGGCCACGGCGCGACCGGTACCCCACGACTCGGCCGACGACTGCATGCCAGCGCGGCGCGAGACGGCGTAGGCCTGACGGCGGTTCTTGGCGAGGGCCGAGTGAACCTCCTGGACGACGTCGGGGCGGATGGGCGAGGTGAACACCGCGGGGAGCAGCACAGTGGCGCCAGCGCCTTCACCACCGTGAACCTGAACGAGGGGACGAGAGGCCTGCGGAGACAAGAGATTAATTAGAAGGCGAAGATGCATAGGTTCTAGAACGCACGTATAAACAGCCCCATCAACACCACGGAGTTCACTCTCCCGAAGACCGAAGCACACAGGACCCACCCGCAAAGATGAAGGGTAGTGGCGTACCATTTCTATGTGACGACGAGGATAGGAAGAGAGGGAAAGAAGAAAAAGGCTGCTTCAGTTGCTCCCCGGTTATTATAAGGTTCGATATTTGGCCGAATTCCGCAAGTCGACAGATTAGAAAAAACAAAGAATTCCACAACCAAAAATAAAGCTAGAAAAGCAAGCTGGCCTTCACATCGTCGTCCCTCCGCTGATTGCTCCCTCTTTTGTTGGGTAGTGCTGACAACCCACGCGGGTCGGTGACGTATCCGCTCTGCCTGCTGCTTTTCCTTCAGTTTCGGCCAAAATGAAGTGGGAAGGGCAGCGTTACACTTCTGGAAGGAACGGGTGGGTTGCTTCGAGGCAAGATTGACCTGGCTGCTCCCATAAGATGCACTCACAACAAAGCCCGACACGAACGCACAACTGACGGTGTAGCGATGGCCAGCACAGTTGATTCCACCAGGGTGCGCGAGCACAGCGAAGAGAACGAGCCTCTTTTTGAGGAGAAGCTTGATCGTCTGGCCAAAATGGTCCCTACTCACTCCTACACCAGCTCTCACCTAAGCTGTATTTGCTCATCATCCTTTACTTCATCAGGTAAGGCGGAGCCGGTACACCGTGTTCTTCACCGGCGCAGGAGTGTCGACCTCGGCCGGCGTGGGCGACTACCGAGGTCCCGAAGGCGCCTGGACTCGCCGCAAGATCAAGCAGCTCGAGGCCCTCGGCCCGCTACGTTCGGTCGAGGACGAGAGCGAGCTGCGCAAGCTCAAGGAGGAGGCCGCGCGTGCAGAGAAGAAGGCCAAGGCGCGGGTGGACATGTGCGACGCCCAGCCGACGCCCTCGCACATGGCCATGGCCACACTCCTGCGCCTCGGCCTCGCGCACTACGTCATCACCACCAACCTCGACGGCATATTCAGGAAGGCGGGGCTGCAGGCCCACGAACAGCTGTGTTGCCTGCACGGCGACATCTACGTCGAGCGGTGCACCAGCTGCGACTACGACTTTGAGCGCAACTACCATGTGCGCCAGCCCGAGGTGCACGTGCACGACCACAAGGTCGGCACCTGCGCCCGGTGCGGCAGCGCGCCGCCGGCGCACTACACCGGCACGCCGGGCAACCTCAAGATGCAGAACGGCCGCTGGGGCGGACGCATGGTGGGCACCCGCGACCGCAACTGCGGCACCAAGGACACCCACATCAACTTTGGCGAGCTGCTCGACGAGGTGGACTGGACCGAGGCCGACACCCACTGCCGCCGGGCCGACCTGTGCATCATCGCCGGCACGTCCATGTCCCTGCGCCACATCACCCACTTCCCCTTCCTGGCGCGTCGGGTCGTGTTGGTCAACCTCCAGCCCACGCCCGACGACCACAAGGTCGCCCTGCGCCTGTGGGCCAAGTGCGACCCCGTGTTCGAGGGACTGATGGCGCGCCTGGGCCTCGCCATCGACCCTATCCCGCCCTGGCGGCCCCGCGACGCCCTGCCACTCGACCGGCTCCCGGCCTACGTGCACCCCTACTACAAGATGAAGGCACAGCTGCTCGAACAGATGGCCCTGCTGCGTGAAGCCGAGGCAGAGGACAGAAGAAGGGAGCAGGAGCAGCAGCAGCAAGAAGAAGAAGGTGAAAAGGAGGTGGTCGGACGCGGGTATCAGCCGATGAGGTGATTGATGGTGGCAAAAATGTTGGTTACGTGTTGGTGGGTGGATGCACCACTCGAAAAATAAAAACCGGGAAAGTACAACTCTCTTTCAGCTCGCCTCTTCATCCGGCGATGAAGAAGAAAGAGAAGACGACGGCCGGAGAGCAACCGCTCTGTTAGCGCGAGGCAGCGGTGTCCATCTCCTTGTTCCTGGCGGGGTCGGTGCACTGGTTGGGATGGTTCATGCCAGTGGTGTGGCACCAGTCGCTCTTGTGGCCGGCGTAGTTGGCACCGGCGAGCTTGGCCTTAACCACCTCCGTGGTGCCGTCGTTGGGCGAGTAGAGCGCCAGCGAAGCGCCGAACACACAGTAGCCTCCGAACAGGGCTGCGCGCACAGGGAAGCATGTTTCCGGTCAGCACGCGTACCACCCCCCCCCAACGGCAGGGACCGTACCATCCTTGTACTGGGTGGTGTAGTAGAAAACATCCTTGGTGATGCCGGCGGGGAGGGCGTTGGCCCACTTGGTGGCGCCGTCGTAGGTCAAGTCGTTGTTCTTGCCGCAGCCCACGCCAAAGATGTCGCCTGCGAGCGCACGCAACCAATGGTGAGTCACTCCGGGGACGAAACCGCGAGCGAGGCACGAGCAGGCTGCAAACGCGCACCGATGGCGGCGAGGTTGCCGGCGAGACCGGAGCCATAGTAGGGGCTGCCGACCGACTGGATGAGGCGACCGCCCTTAGCAGCCTCCAGGTTGGACCAGTAGTAGGCGTGCAGGTGCGTTGCCGCGAGGCCACCCTGCGAGTGGGCCACCTGAAAAGGGGTCGCACGTCTTGCATGTAAGTTGCCGTTGTGGTCGTGGTTGTGTGTGCGGGTGCGGGTGGCATTCTGGGGCCGTACGATGGAGAAGGAATCGAACTGGTTGCCGAAATCGCGGATCTTGAGGGCAAACGCGTCGTTGGAGCGCACCTGGTTGTAGTCCTGGAACTGGACGGCATTGGTGAAGTCCGACAGCGGGAACTCGTTCTGGCCGGCGCAGTAGCCGTGCACGAGGATGAGCTTACCACCGGCCTGTGGTGTGACAAAGCAGTGTTAGTTGCGTTCGCACCGAGGCCAGAACGCGCTGGGCGTGGCCGTACCTCAGAGGCCCTGGTGCGGTTGCGCAGAGCCATGGCCGCGGGGCGAGGACCGACGGTCATCTCCTCGGTGATGGCGACGTTGTCGCGCTTGTGGGGGTTGGCCTGGAAGCTCTTGATGGCCGACGCATCGACGTAAATGGCACTGCGCTCGGAGAGCACGACGTTCCAGTTCCTGTCCTCGAGCCACACATTGCGCAGCTGGAACGGCGCAGTCACGCCCGCCTACGTCCCGCCAACAAAACACGCACAAACAGCGATCAGCCGATTGGCGCTGTGGTGTGTGGTGTGTGGTGTGTGGTGTGTGGTGTGTGGTGTGTGTACCTTGTGGACCCAATCCTCGTGGAGCTGGAGAGTGACGACGGTCTCGCCGGCGGCGCTCTTGTAGGGGTCCACCATGGCCTGCACCCATGCGACAGGCGCGTACTCGTAGCCGGTGCTGTCCGTGCCCCACACCTCGGCGTAGGCCTTGGTGGTGCTCTCCTCCGAGTCCTGTGACCGCGCAATTCACAAATGAGCACGCGCACCGGACGAGCAGCACGATAAAGAAAAGGTGCGTACCACGTCGTAGCTGTCGACATCGATGTGGAAGTAGAAGAACTTTTCCTTCGCGTTGTACTCAACATCGGCCAGGCCTTGAGGTGAAGAGGCGAGCGTGAGCAAGCGCGCGGCGGACGTGCGAGGAGGGAGAGGGAGGAGTACCGGTGAGGGTGATGTAGGGGTTGACGACGTGGAAGGAGTGCTCGGTGCTCCTCTCGAAAGCGACGCCGTCGACGGTGACGCCCTTGAACACGCTCTGCGCCATGTACTGGCCGGGGGCAAGCGCCTCGATCACAGCGCCGTAGATGCCGTCATTGGGAGCCAAGTCAGCGTGGACGCCGTCATCGTGCATGGGCACGTCGATCTACACACAGACGAACCACGCACAGTCGGTGAGTCAAAAGAAGACGGTGCGACGCGACAGCACGGGTCTGGACACGCACCTTACGGCCGTCGGGCAAGCGAACGCTCATGACGGTCGAGGCGCTAGCAAGCTGGAGCACGCCGGGGCGGCCCTGGAGGTAGAGTTCGCCTTCGGCGTTGTGGATGTTGGCGACGAGGCCGACCTCCTGGCCGACCTCGAGCTCGTACTTGTTGAGGTGCGAGAAGAGCTTCACGCTGGCCTTGTTGGTGATCATGACCACCGCCGTGGGCTTGTCCGTGGCCACGTCAGCCACGCCCTTGATGACGAGCGTCGCCGTCCAGGTACCGACGGTGGGGTTCTTGAAGGAGTAGGTCGTGACCGGGTACGAAGCGCCGTCAATACCGAACGGGCCGCTCGTCTGCATCAACGCACGCGACGCGATAATGAGCGCTCGCACACACTGAGGCGACTGACTGAAGCGCGAAGGCCTGCACACGGGCGTACCTTGGTGAAGGGCAGCTCGTACTCCTTGCCGATGCCGGCCGCGGCACGCTCGGCCCAGAGGGCGCTGGTGGCGAGGGCGACGTTGATCGAGAGGGGAAGCTCGTTGGGCGGCTGCACGATGATGTCCATGTTGTCCTCGTAGGGCGAGAACACCGAGATATCCAGCTCGACCTTGCTATCGACCACCATCTGTCGGGTAACGCGGCGAAATAAGTTGCGTAAATCAACAAATAGTGGTGAAGTAGATGACGATGATGAATTGTGGAAAGTACCTCGCCCTTCCACACGAAGGTGCCATCGTCGGCCTTGGAGAAGGTCAACTCGTGCCACGAAGATTCACTGTTGAGGGCGGCCAGCTCGGGCTTGGGGATGCGGTGCTGAGCGAATTCGGAGGGCGGACCCTGGAGCTTCTTCCTGAATTCGTCCGAGGGCGGCTTGATCGCCAGGCACGACGTTGCCACGAGAGCAAGCGCCAGCAGAATGAAGAACTTCATCTTCACACAGAGCCCTTCTATTTTCAGATCACGAATTTTATCAATGGCACAGCCTTCAAGAACAGATCCAGACCCTTAGTCGCAAGCGCGGCGTACCTTCTGCAAGTGATTTGTTGGAGATGATGGAATGAGTGAATCGTGTCGGAACAATAATCAATTTCCTTATTAATACGCCGAGGAATGCTGAGGAATGCGCCCACCGAGCACGGGGATTGGTGTGTGGTGAGGGAATTGCCACCCAGGAGAAAGCAGTCGAGTCTTCTTGTGTGAAAAAAGAAAGAAGGAAATGCTCTCTTCGTCTGGCGCCTGTTCGCTGCGCACGACCGCGAGGGGTTTACCAGCGACCGGGCGTGCCGTGGCACGAGCCGGCCAACAGTACGCCCTCCCATACGAACGGGCAGGGGAGAGGAGCCAACACGACGCCGATCCAGTCCTGTGGGCGGAGGTTAGATCGGCCACTCACGTGCATCACCACCTTGCAGGATCAGAAGGCGTACAAAGTAGGGAGCAGGGCCGTGGGGACAGCAGCAAGTGTTGTAAGCATCAACGTGCACTGGCGCACACAAAGCACAGCCCCACAAAGTGAGTGATCACCATCGTCGCTGTGAGCATTCACTCGCACGGGAGCAAAGTGGACGGCTATGTACCTTTGTAGATGAGCGGAGTGAAGTACTTCTGGAGGAAGTACTGGTACTGGATGGCGTTGTCCTTCGCCTTCTTGTCGGCCATCACCTGCCTCATCTCGGCAGGGAAGTACTGGTCTGCACAGTGCTCCGCCACCGTGAGCGTCAGCATTGCCCCCGACCGGAGCGATAACAAGAAGTGGGTCGACCACGTGGACGCAGCAAGCGTACCGGTGTAGACCTGCACGAAGCGGCGAACGCACTCGAGGGTGTTGTTGTTGTAGGAGGTCGTCTGCGAGCACACGCACATGGCGTTCTGTTCGTAGACCGACGGAAGCCACCACTTGTTGGTCTCATACCTGGTGCAACCCCACACGGTCAGCACTTAATCAACGTGGGGGGGGGGTGACTTCTTGATGATAACGGTGGAGCGGAGAGGGAACCAGGTGCAGTTCTTGTTGGTGTAGCCGCCGGGTACCCGGTCGCAAGTATTGGGGAGGGCACCGTCAGCGGAGACGACGTCCGGAGCGAAGGAGGCGTCGGCCCCGCGCAAGGCTCCGGAGAACAGGGCCAAGAAGCACACCGCAACCACCACGACCGGCATCTTCGTCATCTTCATCTTCTTTTTTCTGGCCGCAACCAACACAACCTCCGTCTCTGTTTCTGTATTAATTGCGGGGTTGTCGGGATATTTGTGACCTATCGGAAGTATTTGTAGCAACCGGTTGGCCACACTTTATTCACACAGGCGCGTACCCCACCACCCCGTCGTACTGGTTGTCGTTCATCCTCTTCAACACGATGACAGCTCTCTGGTGGCTCTTCCTTCTTACTCGCCGAGGCCCATCATGTTACCAAGGCCGCCGAGTCCGCCCAGACCGCCGCCACCGCCGCCCAGGGAGCGCATCATGTTCTGGATGGCGCCCATGCCGCCCATCTGCTTCATCACGTGCGGTGGGATGAGGTTCGACATCTGCGATAGGTTCCTGCCCTTGAGCTCTCCGCCCTGCGCATTTCCAACGAGAGCGGAACACGAGTGAGATACGGCACCATGGAGAGCGAAGGGCGCCGAGGGGGAGTGATGTTTGTTTTTCGGAGAAGGTGCAAAAGTACCTTGCCGAGCTTGAGGCCCTTGACCTTCTTCATCACCTTCTCGAAGTGCTTGAACTGTTCGAGAAGCTCGTTGACTTCCTTCACCGATCGACCCGACCCGCGGGCGATGCGCACGATGCGGGACTGCGAGTTCTTGGCCAGCACCTTCGAGTCATCCAGCTCTGCGCGATGTACATGCCAGACGCGCGAGTTAGCGGACATCGCGAAAGATTGGTTCAACACGATTGGCGGCAATCTTACCTCGTCGGTCATCGAGTCCATGATGGTCATGTAGCTCTTGATCTTCTGTGATGAATCTCGGCCAGCCCCCTCCTTGAGGATGCTGCCCATGCCCGGCAACATCTCCATCACCTTGTTCAACGGTCCCATCTACACCATTGCCGTGTCCACACGTCAGTGAAAAGGCCAAGAAGAAGGAGACAGTGGTACTGAGGTAGAGCATGAAGGTTTACCTTGAGGATATTGGAGAACTGTTCGTACATGTCCCTCAGAGTGAAGATACCCTCCGACAATCGCTTGTAGAGTTCGGGCTGGCCGTCGAGCGGCACCGCCTTCTTGATTGTGTCAACCAGGCCCGCCATGTCTCCCATACCTGTTTAAGCGGCAAACGCACAGAGATCGGAGACGGATGAGTGTTGTTGACACACATCTGTGGGGAGAAAGAAATCGAGCGGTGGCGTACCCAACATCTTGCTGACGAAGGGCCTCACAGCAAACGTCTCAAAATCGTCGATGTGTTCACCGGTGCCGATGAATGTGATAGGGCTCCCCGTCGCAGCCACACTGCGCACAAATGACTGCGTGTCAGCGAACCTCGAAGCCGTGAAAGAGAGGGTGCAGTAGAGGTTCTAGTGGCAGCAACGTACGCAGAGAGGGCGCCACCTCCCTTGGCGTGGCCGTCGAGCTTGGTCATGATGATGGAACCGATGCCCACCTTCTGCTTGAAGGCCTGTGCCTGATCGAACGCAGCCTGACCGATGGTACCGTCCATCACGAACGTCACCGTGTCCGGTTTCTGTCCGATTGCACACCGACAAGAGGCAAGAGTGAGTGAGTGGGGTGCCATTGGATGGACGGGCTGGAGCCACGTACGATGGCGGCGGCGACTTGCTCCATCTCTTCGAAGAGGGCAGCCTCCTGCTTGTGACGACCGCTGGTGTCGACGATGATGATCTCGTAGCCCTCCTGCTTGAACTTCTCCACGCCCTCCTCGGCGACCTTGACGGGATCGGTCTCGGTGTAGCTGCCGTAGAAGGGGATCTTGGCCTTGGTGGCGTTCTGCTTGAGCTGATCGAACGCACCGGCACGGAAGGTGTCGGCGCACACGAGGCAGGCCTTCCAGCTCTTCCTCTTGTAGTGGTAGGCCAGCTTGGTGACGGTGGTGGTCTTGCCAGCACCCTGGAGTCCTACGAACATGATGACGTTGGGCTTGCCCTTGACCAGCTTGTAGGGCTTCTGGCCGGGATCAACCAGAGCACAGAGCTCATCGAACACGGCCTGGCGGAGAGAGTGTGAGACGGCGGATAGATGATCAAAGATGATGCAGCGCAACATGCAAAAATGAAGGCAACTCGGGAGGGCACATGCAAATGCTCTCAAATTGTAGTGAAATCGAGGGAGTGCTGGGCAGTGCTCACCTGCTGGATGATCTTTCTCTTGTTGAGACCAGCGGCCATGTCCTCGATCTTGACCTTGTCGAGAATGTTCTTTCGCAGCTTGAGCACGAGGTTGAATTGCACGTCGGCAGCCATCAGGGCGTTGGAGATCTCCTTCAACATGGCATCCACGACGTCCTTGTCGATGACCGTGCTGTTGGACATGTTACGCAGCGCATGCGTAATCTTCGAACCGAGCTCCGCTAGCACCATCTTGTCTCAACTGCCTGAATAATCAAATCTATCTATGTATCACAATCTATCAAGAGGCAGAAAAATGAGAGTCCACCAAGATGGAGCGGAAGTAAAAGAAAATCATTTATATTTTCTCAGGCCATGAAATTCTGCGGGATGCAACGTGGGAAAGTCCGATTTGGTCAAAACAAAAATAAGAAATGGAGAAAAAATGTAAAATAAAAAATAAAAAAATAACAAAAAAGAATGGAGCATGCAGTGGGAGATGCCACGAGCGGGCCGTGAAGCTGGGTCTGCCGTGCGTCTACTACAAGCTCAACGAAAAGGAGGGCACTGGGCAGGTCCTAGACCACTCGGGCTACGCCCTTCACGCCAAGGCAGTGGGCGGACTCGCTTCAGCCCCAGGCCTGGCTGGCGATGCGGTTGCCTTTGCCGGTATGTTTTGCAGCTCATTCACTTCTTTTGCTCATTAAATTATCACACCTCATAGGATTGTTGATTTTTTAATCCATTTTGTTTAATTTAAATCCATTTTCGCCATTCCTTGTGATCGTCCAGGCGAGACCTATGTGGAATGTCCGCAGAGCCTGCGCGACATGGCGTTCCCGCACATGGAAAAGGGCGAGGTGGTGAGTTCGATCACGCTGACGCTGCTGGCCAAGCTGCCCGCCGAGCTCACGGCGCCACCCCACACGCTGTACTGCACGCATGCACGCGAGCAGGGTTGCCACTACGAGAACGGCTACCTGTTCTTCTGGCACTTCTACACTGGCCGCAAGAAGGTGACGCCCACAACCCACATACGCACACGCATACGGCTGACTTTTTCCGTGGCAGGTGGTGTTGCGAGTACCGGTTGCCACCCTCTTGGGTCAGTGGGTGCACACTGCGTGGGTACTGCATGACGGCACACTCTACGCTTATGTCAACGGCGTCGAGCACTGCTCTGCCCAGTTCGCCCAAATCCAGCCCGGTACGCACACGTAGCATCGACACACACGCGCGCAAAGCAGCGCATGCGGGGGCAGCTTGGCTCGGGTTTGGCCGATGTACTGACTCGGCGAAACCCGAAGGCAACTGTGGTGGTCCGTTCCTGCTGGGCGGCGAGTACAACAGCGAGAGCACAGAGTGCGGGCCGAAGCCGTCGTGCCGCTCGCCGCTGCAGCACTTCGCGGTCTATCCTCGGAAGCTGAGCGGCGCCGAGATTCAACGCCACATGCAAGCCGCCGGCATCAAGCACAGCACATGATGACGCCACACACGACCCAACCACCATGAGCCCTCTCCTCAGGGGAAAATCGGAGTAGTGTATTTACGATAAAGTGGTGCAGCCGGGGGGCTAGGAAGACTTGGCCTTGGGGGTGGGCGTGGCGCTCCTTCGTCGCTCCGCCTTGGTGGGCGAGAGCAGCAGCGACGAGTCCTTCGACTTGGTCGGCGTGCTCAGAAGGCTCACAACGCCGTTGCCGTTGCCGTTGGCCGTCGTCGTGGCGGCTGTGGCGTCCTCAGTGGTGGCCCGCTCGTGGCCGTTCTCCTTCTTCTCCGGCGCGTCGGCTTTGGCCGGCGTGTCGAAGATGCCACCGGTGGGAACGGGGATCGGGTCGGCGCTGGCCGCGGCAGCGGCGGCGTGTCGGATGGCGGTGGGCGTGAGCGTGACGCTCCTTCGCTTCTCCGACTTGGGCTTGACGGGCGAGAGCAGCACCGGCGACGACTCGGCCGACGAACTGACCGGCGTGCTCAGCGCGCTGTCGCTGCCAGCCGTGACGGTGGGTGTCGTGGTCGTAGCGTCGGTGGTCTGGGCTTCCTTCTCGGCGTGGGCCTCACCGTTCGCACCAGCGGCACTAGTGCTAGCCACGGTCTCGGCCTTTTCCGCAGGCTTGCTCGGCGCGTCGACAACGGCGTCTCTCGGGCTCGGGATTGGGCTCGTGTCCGGGCTCGGGCTCGGGCTCATGCCGGAAGCATCCGGGGCAGCGTTAGTGCTGGTGTCGGGCGATGCAATGGTGCGACCGACGGCGACGGGAGTGAGCGTGACGCTCCTTCGCTTCTCCGACTTCCTGGGCGAGAAAAGCGACGGCTTGGCCGGCGTGGTGTTGCCGTTGGCCGCGGTGGCACCATCGGCGGGGCTGGCACTGACCACGATGTTGGGCGTTGGCAGTCCCTCCTTCTCCTTCTCCTTCTTCTCTGCCTTGTCTTTCGTCTTCTTCGTCTGCTTCTCTTCGGCGGCCAGCTTCGACTCCTGCTTCGCCTTGCGCTTCTCCTGCTTCAGTCGCTCGGCCTCGGTGTCGGCCTCCTTAAAGTTGAGGTGCGTCACATTCATCAAGATCTCCGTCTGCGCACGCGTTGTGGTTGCTGTTAGCAAGACACACGCACGACACACAGTGTAAGCGGAGCAATACCATTTTGGCACTCATCTCGTCTATCTGCAGGCTGAGCTCGTGGTTCTTCTGCTTCTCGGCCTCGTTTTCGCCCTTGAGTCGTTCCACCTTTTCGTATTCGGCGTCGAGTCGTCGTCGCCACTCGTCGGCCTTGGCCCGCTCCTCGTCGATTTTCTTGTAGAGCTCGAGCGCCATCGCCTCCTCGCCGGTGCCGTCGCTCGCTCTCTTCATCCGCATCTCCATCTCCTTCATCGCCTCCTCGGTGGCCCGCTTCTCGCTTTCGTGTCGCGTTCGCTCTTCCACCAATCGCTCTTCGTTCTTGGTTCGCTCGTCGTCCATGCGTCGCGTGATTTCGTCCACCTTGGCGCGCTCGTCGTCGAGTCGTCGGTTGAGTTCCTCGTTGCGCTGACGCTCTTCCGCCAGCTTCCTCTTGATCCGTTCGGCCCTCGCGCGTTCGTCTTCGTTCTTTTTATGCATCATCTCTTCGTTCTTCCGCGCCGCCTCGTCGACGCTACGCTGGAGCGCGTCGAGATCGGCCGCCTTCTCCTTCGTCAGCCGTTGCTCGAGTTCGGCGCGGGCCCGCGCTTCATTCCGCTTGGCCCGGTCGGCCTGCTCGTCCGCCTCGCGCATGCGCTGGGCAAAGGTCTGCTTGAGGTTCCGGTACTTGTGTCGCTCCCGCTCGTATCGCTGCTTGAGCGACTCGAGCTCGGCCATGGTGCGCTCCCGCTCCCGCCAGAACTTGGCGCCCAGCTCCTCGCTGATCGACTCCTTGATGACCTCCTTGATCGTGTCCTCCACCTGCTCGTCGTCATCATCATCTTCCACTTCTGCCTCCCGCTCCTCCTCCACTTGCTCCTCCTCTTCGTCTTCGTTTCGCTGTCGGCCTTCGCCGGGTCGGGCGTCGTTGCGCTCTGTCCCGCTTCCGACCGACTGCCGCCTCTCATACCCGCCCCGACACACGCCCGCGCCGCTGTCCTCCTCTCCGGCTTCTCGCTCCGACCCGCTGGCCGTGGTCGACGTCCAGCCCTCATCGCTCGCGCTGCCCCTGTTCTTCTTCTCCTTCTTCGCGCCCGTTTTCGCTTTCGGCTTCGTTCGTTCGTTCTTCGCCGCCTGTCGCTTTGGCGTCGACGCCGAGGGCTTGCGCGAATGTGCCGTCGGCGTGGTGCTCGTGGAGTTGAACGGCGGGTTGCGGTAGAGGTCGCCGCCGTTGCCATTGACGTTGCCATCGAGGCCTGCATCGTGAATCAAATCCGCCGAGGTTTTGGACCGCGGCGACGGCAGCGGCGACACGCGGCGCGTCGAGGCGCTCGGCAGCGACAGCGAAGGGAGGGACATGCGCTTGCTGGCGCGCTCCTCGGCCCGGGTCGCGCGGGTGGCGGGATGGCCACCACCAAAGTCCTGAATCGCGGCGTCGCCTTCATCGCCGTCACGGTCGCTCTTCGAATTGCGCCGTCGGCGCAACGACGGCGAAGTCGCGCGCGTGATGAGCACCGGCGGCGTGAGGAACGTGGACGACGAACGACCACCCGAGGCCGAGTGCGGCTGCGGCGTCGCGAGCGAAGTGGCCGAGGCCTGGCGCGATAGCCGGCGTTGGCCCGTCGAGGCCTTGGCCGCCGGCGGCTCATGCTCGCTGTCTTCGTCGTCGGCCGAATCCTCACTGTCGCGGCCGGTCGCAGGGGTAGCAGCGTTGTTGGGGTCGATGTAGGTCGGGAAGGCAAAGGCCGGCGGTTGCTCGGCCAGGCCCGGACCCGGCGGCTGGGTCATGGGCGGCACGGCCACGGCGACCGCGGCGGGGTGGAGGGGCAGTACGGCGTGGCTCGGAATCATGTTCTCCTTCCAGATGAGGTACGCGCACCCGACGCACGTCGCGAGGATGATGATCCAGCACCCGTAGTAGATCGCCGGATTGTTGACCGCGAAGTCGAGGTAGCTCTTCTTCAGCGCGCGCAGCCACCCGAGCGATGGCGTCGTGGCGCCGGTCGGCGGCAGCTGGCCCTGCGCCACCGGTGCGGCACCGTGTTGATGATGCGGCGACGACGGCGGCTGGGCACCAGGGTGGTAGAGGCCGGGCTTCTTCTCCCTCTCCTTCTTCATCTCCTTGACTAGCTTCTCGTAGTCCTTCTTGTTGGCCTTCTCGCTCTTCGACAGCTTGCCGTCGCAATTGCGATCGAACGGCTCGCAGTCAAGCTCCAGCTCTTCCTCCTCCTCGTTGTCGTTGTAGGGGTAGAAGTCGTCTCGAAGGTGGTCGGACTTGCTGGCCTCGACGCCGGAGCCGCTGAGCCCGGCGGCCGGGGCGAGGGCCGCGCTGTTCATGACGGAGGTGAAGGAGAGGAAGAGGACGAAGACGAAGACGCCGATGGCCGCGCCGATGGTCATGATCTTGTACTCGGTCGTGCTGCGCTCGTACTTGAGGGTGATGAACTTGGTGAAGACATAGCACAGCGCGATGTAGAGCACCAGGCACGTCGCCAGCACGAAACCGAGCACCAGGGCCATCGCCGGTGTTTCCTATGGATGGAAATAAGATTGATTGATTAATCATTATGTTTTATTTACATTCTTTATTAGTACAAGAATTATATAATTTTTCATCTAATAATACTTCTAATAATTAATAATTAATAAACTATAAAAAGAGGATTGGGTCGTACCCGAATGCTGAGGGCTTCGTAGAGATGGGAGAGCGGCCATATGGAGAGGCAGTGGTGCGGGTCGTTGTAGCAGATGTAGGGAATGAAGAAGGAGGTTGCTCCGATGATTAGAGCCTTGACAGCCAGCGGTAGTTTGCTCGGATCGAAGAATATGGAGAGCAGCATACCGAGCAGCAGCTCCAAGATGTACAGATGGGGAGACCATTTCGTGCCTCCTCGCATCTTGAGTGAAGATGGATGGCCCGTGTGGGCACCCGTTGTTGTGCTGTTCACGGTGACGTCGAAATGAAATCGAATTTAAAGCGATTTCTCGCTTTTTGCAAACGCTGAAGATGATGAAGCGAGCTTGGGCCCAATCTCTCTAAACCCAGGTCTGCCAGCTCAGGGAAGTAATGTTTTTTGGTGCAGTAAATGATTTTATCCTTAGAAAACAAAACAACAGAAGCATTCCCGTAGGAAGCGTCGACAGGAAGCGGCCGTCTCGCGATTGGCCGTAGGCCACGGAACACTTTCGTGTGCCACTACTACCCCCCCTGCACCACCATCAACGACTGGCTGGTTCACGCTCTCTACACGCCTCCTCCAGTCAAGCCGTTCGCACTGGTGATACAAGTACAGTTAATTGTGATTCTCTTCCCTCGTCGGCGCGCAGGGGTTCAGACAGGGCGAGAGGGAGGCGGAGCGAAGGTGATGCCGGCTCCGGCCTGCTCCCACTGGGCGAGGAGGTGGGTGGTGCGGCTCTGCTCCTGCAGCATCATAATGCTCTTCCTCTTGTCGTGCCAGTCCTTGCGCGACGCCTCGCCTCTCTGTCATTGAACGAGACAAAGAAAGAAGAAGAGGCCTGATAAGAGTGGTGCGAAAAAGAACGAAGGAGTTGTTGGCGCACGTACCTGCGTGGGCTTGAGGGAAGAGCGGGGCACGGCAGGCCTGGGCGAAGACGAACCCTCGCGATCTACACGCAAGAGAGAGAAAGAGAGAGGGAGAGAGAGTTAACAATGCACTCCGCAAACAAGGTGAGCCCACGAAAGTTGATCTTACCTTGGGTCAGCGGCGTCCGACCTTGCGGGGCAGACGCTGCGGCCGGGCGCTGACGAACGGCAGGAACGTGCGTAGCAGAGACTGGTAAGAGAGAGTAAGTCGGTGGAAGAAAGCAAGTCGCGCTGCAGAGCAAAGAGCGAACTGACGGTACCATCGGCGGAAGAAGGTGCGCCACTCTGCGAGTGTTGGTCCTCAAACGCAGCGGCGGGTGAGACTGAGTGAGTGGGCGCTCCGACGAGACTGGCGGGCTTCAGATGAGCCGCTGGCGGTGGAGGTGAGGGTCGGTGTCTCGCCGCGGGAGGAGGAACAACCGAGGCAGCGGAAGCAGGAGTTGCAGCGGCAGCCGGAATGGGCGCGGCCGTGAATGAATCGGAGGAGGAGGTCAGCGGGTGGGGTGTGTGCTGCGAGACGGAAGAGCCGGAAGACGACAAGTGGTTGTACGACGACGAGCGTGCGGGAGGAGGAGAGGCAGCGCCCTTGCTGACCTTCATCTTCTCGAGGCGCTGCTGCGAGCCCTGGCGCGCCAGCGGCTTCGGTCCGGCGGGCGGCGGAGGCTTCGGGCGGGCGCCATCCTCCACCACCGCTGCACCACCATGATTGTCGATCGCCGGCGGCTGCTGAGCCTGCTGATGGTGGTACGACTCGTGTCCATGCTGCTGCTGCTGCTGCTGCTGCTGCTGCTGCTGCTGCTGCTCTCTTCGGCCGCCTCTTCGCTGGGGTCATCTTCGCGAATGGGCAGCGCCTCCGGGTTGCCCTCTGGGCAGACATGCACCCGCAAACACGCTTTCATGTGAGACGCCGCGCTCTGACTGCACCACAGCACCCAGCAAACGTACCGAGCACGGTGACAAAGTTGGATGGGAAGATGCCCACCCTGCCGTCGGGCCGCTGGCCCCACCACCAGCTCTCGTCCTGTGCACAGCGAAGATCATGAACGAAAGTTTCTTCGAACTTCTTCAAAATGGGCGTTCCACTGATTGCATGATGGAATGAGGAAGTACCTCGCGCATGAAGGCGATTAGCTCGAGTCCCTTGGGGAGGGGCAGCTCATCTTCCTCTTGCGATTCGAACTTGTAGGCGGCACGCACGCGCACGACCAGAGCTTCGGCCTGGCGTGCAGGCGCTACGCGGCGTGATTTGCTAGCTCCCGCAATGTGATCTCCTTCAACAGGGGCCTGGGGAGGTAGGGCAGGAGGCGGGGTACTCGAAGATGAAGATGAGCTAAGAGTGCCGGGGCTCAATGCCAGTTGCGATTGCCGAAGCGAGGCAGGCACTACTGTGGATGAAAAAGAGGAAGTAGACTTCACGGTCTTTGCCTCGGGCGGAGCGTGCTCGCCCCCGGCATCTCCATCGGCTGCGCCATTCGGAACTTCGTGCTGCCCTTCCCGGCCGTTTTTTACAACTCCACGGAACGAGCCAGAGGGCGACGTCGAAGGCGAAGCGTACGCCGATGAAGGCGACGGAGAAGTGAAAGATGTGTTGACCTCGTTGTCGATGTTGGTATAGTACTTCTCGTCATCCACCTTCAATTGCCCCAGTATGTCGTCCTTAAGGCGCTCCACTTCGGCCAGGAAGTTGCGTTCCAGCTGATTCAACCGCTCCTCCCACGCAGCCATCTTCCTTCTTCTCCTTCTACTTGTGCTCTTGTTGTCTCGCCACACAAGACACCGTGGTTGCATTAATTTTGATGGCTGGAGTTACTTTAAATGGACCAATCAGCGAGTACCAAGGAGATGGTACGTGGTGGTGTACATAGCATCCAGTGATGGTGGTGTACAACTTCTCAGACAACACTGTGCAGGATGCCACCTTCTGCTCTGATGGAGGAGCTGTTGATGCAGCCTGACACCTCAGAAGCAACAAAGGCAACAATGTTGGTGATCTCCTCCAGCTTGATGAAGCATTGGAGCAGTGAGGTGGGCCACTTCCTTGATGTAGTTGGCCCTCATCTCTTCTGGTGTCAGGCCTGTGTGGGTGTGTGTGTCAACATCAGTGACATGTCCTTGGTTGATGGAGGGGTTCTTATTGTTTGGGTACCTTGCTGAGCAGCCATTCCCTTGATGTAGGTGGCAATGCCATCAGTCCAAGTAGGTCCAGGGAGCATGGTGTTGATGTGTATGTTGGTGCCCTTGGTGAGCTCAGCAAGGCTGCTGTGTTGGCATACCATGATGGATCAGCCACCAATGTGAAGAGAAGCATGATGGCCTGGAGAGTGTGTGGAGTACTGGGAGATGGTGAGCTGGGTGGTCTTGGTCATGTTGTAGTGGATCATGAACAGCTTTACCATGATGGTGGCCTCAGATGCCACAAACATGATGTTCCCCAAGTTGCACTCCAGCATGCACAAACACTGTGTCCAGAAAAAGGTGCCAGTGGCACCTTTTGTAAAGTAAAATCTGTACAAGTGATATATGTGTATGTGCAGCAAAAGCAGTACTTTTGTGAACATGGTGTGTGAGTGGTTTTGGCAAAATATGTACAGAGAGTTGCAAAACAGGGAAAAATGGTGTAGGTCATGGTAAAAGCAGATGGGGGCAATGAAGAATTTCAAGGCATAAGTGTAAAAAAGGGCTAATGTATTTTGTTGAAATGAGGAACAGAACAGAGTGGAGGGAAACATTGCTCCATTGGACTTCCACACTTTCCATGGACCAGAAGAGGAGGAGGAGCTGGTCTTGGGTGTGAGAGGGGCAAGGGCAGGATGTGAAGTTAGGCCTTGTAGGAAGGAAGTGATGGCTGTGAGATCTGACTCCTCCAGGAATTTAGAGTGGAAGGTGAGGAGCCAGTTGGTGAGAGAGGAGATGTTGCCCTCTGCTATGGGGGTAGAGGAGAGGCAGACAAAGCTGGAGTAAAGGGCAGCACAGAAGGAGAGGTAGTAGGTGGGATTTGCCTCATAGAGAATGTGGTAGGGAGTGGTGGGTGATGTGATGGGGTGGGAAGGATTGGGAAGCTCTAAGCTCTGGATGAGGAAGACATCAGGAAATAAGTGAAATTAGAAAAACCGATGCACATCAGGGAAAAGAGTCAACAAATAAAAAAACCGATGCACATCAGGAAAACAATGTGGGACAATAAACACACCAGCCATTCATGGAATTGCGTTGGTTGGCCAAGAAGCTTGGTGAGTGGCTTGGTGAATTGGGGGAGATACTGTTTCTGGAGAGCAAGCTCTGCCTTGTGCTTGATGGTAGATGGCAACTTTTCCTCTTCAGCCTTACCCTTGCCATGTTTCTTGGTAGCTGTAAAGAACAAGCATGTGGTGAGCTTGGAACTTTACCAGCAAAATGAAAACATACTGGTTGGGGTGGTCAGAGTGGTGCCAGCGGCAGTGGGTACTGTGGGCTGAAGTCAGATAATAGTGGTGTAAGTGAAAGTAATGGGGTGTGAATTGGAACAGGAAGGAGTTGATTTGTACCATTTTCCCCTTGGCCAATGCAGAGAGATGCTGGTGCTGTTTGCTTGTGGATGTTGAGGCAAGGGAGGCCTCCTCTGCTCAAGAGGCTGTGGTGGCACATGCAATCTCCCTTCATAACTGGCAAGGAGAGGTCTCCTCATCACTGAGAAGTTTCAACTGGAACAGGTGCTTGCAGAATGTGTTGACAACTTTGGAGGTGATGCTGTGAGGCTGCTCAATCTTGATGTTTTTACTGCGTGGTGCAATGTATTCCACAACACAGATCCAGCCAGATGTGGTGAAGCTCCTCAGGATCTTTGCAGCAGCAGTCAGCCTCTGTGGCTGCATGAATGGCCTGATGAAAGGCCTCCATCTGCCTTTTGATCATGCTCCAGTGGTTGGTGATTAGCAACCAGAAGTTCTCTGGCAAGAGGGAAGTAGTTAGACTTGTGGGGTGAATAACAATTACTACAAAGAAAGGACATACTCTTGGAAGGGGCTTGGTGTTGATAGCACTTATAATGGCAAAGCACAGCAATCATGTCATTGGCACTCAATTCCCTGAAGGCACCAGAGTTGAGGTTGTCAAGGGAGATGAACACCTGACCCTCTGGAACAAGGCAATTGAGTTCCTTGATAAGACTGGAAAAGGGGAACAGTTAGTGAGGACTCAAAACAAAGGTGAAGAGTTAGAGTAGAAATAACATACTCCACCACTCCTGGAGCATTGAACAGGGCCCTTAAGGTAGTCAAGTACTTCTGCAGAGTGGTGGGCTTTGGTGCAGCATGACCCTCAAGCGTTTTCTGTGAGGTGTGGGGTGATGAGTAATGGTTTGGAATACAAAGGTGGTGGACATACCAGGTGCTCAGCAAGAGCATTGTAGTCAGTAACAGTTTTTTTGCCACACATGATCTGGAAGAGTGGGTTTTGGCTGAGGGTGTAGTAGTTCAGGGCCTTCTCAAAAGCATTCAGGACGACTGAGCCTGCTGAGTTGATGTAGTTCTTGAAGCTGGAGATGCAGTCAAGGATGATCCAGCTGAGTTCCATCCCTGCAGCTGCCAGCAGAACTTCATAGACATTCTCCCACTGCCAGTGCTCAATGAGGTTCCAGACCACAACTCTGTGGTTACAATCAATGGCCTCTGGAAGGTTAAAAGTTAGTACCCAAAAAAACTGATGTGCATCAGGAATTGCAAATAGCCTAAAAACTGAATAGCCATGGGTGCAGCTAAAACGAAGTGGTGTGGGAAGTAATACCAAACTCATCAACGTTGTTTTGGTCAAGGTGCTCATCTTCATTGAGAAATCTAACAATGAAGGGCTTGGTTGTGAGACACCCTCCATCCACAACAGACTGCAGCAAGTGATGAATTCCTGGAACTGTCACTGGGCAATGCCATTCTGATGGCAGTGCAGGCAGTTAGCAAGTGAAAGCATCAACACATTGCCAGAATGAAAAGAGGAGTTGTACCAAAGATGGTGCAGTTCCAAATGTCAATGTGGTGTGATGTGGGTTGAACCCAGGTACAGTGCAAAGTTGAAGGGTCTATGCAATTGAGCTGCTCCTTCTGCTGGCAAATTGCTTGGTCATTGTGGGTCACCCAAAGGCTGGCGCTGATGATGTTGGGGTTGGACTGAAGTGATCAGAAATTCAGGAGCATATGAATTTTCATTTCTGCATAGTAATTGAGGTCAGCAACACAAACTGTTAGAGAACATGATTCTCACAGGTTGAATAGAAAACCCAATGTGCATTGGGAAACAAGTCAACAAATAAAAAACCCAATGCACATCAGGAAACAAGTCAACAAATAAAAAACCTGATGCACATCAGTTTGGAACTTGTCAGTGTGGTGAACAGTAAACACACACAAAGTGTACATACTGAGCTCCAGGTTGGGCAGGGCAAGTAGTCTGGCAGCCTCCTTGCATTGCTCTTCAGTGTTGCCTTCAGAGTACTGGCGCACCACCAGCTGCTTGTGAGGCTTGGTCTTGATCTCCTCTGCCTCCATCTCCTTGTCCAGGTCAATCACCACTGGGCATGCATGTTTCCTCTCCTTGTGCTCTTCCTCTACCAGCTTGCACTTCCTTGGTGGTGCTTGGTGCTCCTCCTCCTCCAGCTCCTCCTCCTCCTCTAGCTCCTTCTCTGCCTCCAACTCCTCCTCCTGCTCCTCCTCCAGTGCTTCCTCTCCCTTCTCCTCCTTTTTCTCCTCCTCCACTATCTCCTCCTCCAGCTCCACCCCCTTCTCCTCCTCCACTTGCTCCTCCCCATGCTTCTCCTCCTCCTCCTCCAGCTCCTTCTCCTGCTCTTCCTCCTTCTCCTGCTCTTCCTCCTTATCCTCCATCTGCTCCTCCTCCTCTTCCTCTTCCACATCCATCAGCTCTTTCACTCCCTCCTCTGCTGTCATTGGCATACACTGCATTAGCAGTTTGAGAGACTGCTGCTTCATGCAGCCAGTGTCTTGGCCCCACACCTGCAGCAACCCATCAATGTATGCCTTGGTGATAACCTTGGTGCTGGGTTGCTGGTGCACCTTTGCCAGGGCATTATGGGAGCTTGCTAGAAGCTTGGTGGCTGACATGGCTGAGAAGTTGGGAAGGACTGAGG